ATGCCCCAGCAGAGCCGTAAGCACGAGTATGAGCAGCAGCGAGTCTCTTTACGAATCAGCCGATTCAGCAAGTGCCTAAAAGAGCTCGGATTTTGGGAAAATCATTTCAAAGCACTTGGCAATTGTGCCCGGCGATCCCAGAGCAGCTCCGTGACAATTAGTCGACTCTTTGTTTAATGTCCGCCTCCGCACAGACGTGCATGGAGAGCGAGTACACGTGGCCGTGTGTTTGAGCAACTTCGCCAAAGGTATTATTCAAGAGGAGACAGAAGATGGAAGGCGAGACGCCGACGATGATGAGACTGGTCGCGCGCAGCCACCGACAAAGTTAAAGCTCCCGTAAACTCGCGTCGTACACCTCGAGCCGACCTGTCTGCGTCGTGCACATGCGTGTATATTTGTGTACGTGTGCGGCGATAGCGTCGCGCGTCGGGTTGCCTAGGCGCGCGTACTGTGCTCTATGCATGCGAATACGCGCGACGGAATTCGATTAGTCTCGGCGTAGCGTTACATTTACGTACTCGATGCAGACTAAGCCAGGCTCATTGTGTCGGCGCCAAAAATCATCCTGGCTACGAGGAGGAAGCGCGGCGCTTTAGGGAGGAACAGCTCGGGGGCTGGATTAATCCGACTAAAGGCTGAAACTTGCGCCGAGCAATTGCCGGGATTTCAGAATTATAATACTGTGCGTATTATTAGTCATGCGGTATCTCTTCTCTCGTGTGTGTAGATATACGAAATTTTTTTACCTTCACGCGTGGCTGGGGTAATTCCATCGGCTCGCGAATTATCAATCCGAGCGTGCCAGTCTATTTACGGTTATTGGAAAAGCTCGCGCGAGTCTTGCGCTGCAAGCTCTGCAAGCCCGACCGACTGAAAAAGCATATATTTAACCGAGTCGGCGCGATGGCTAGCCAGACTATTATTAGTAAACGACATTTTATTAAACTTGCTTGCAAGCGAATATTAATTAAAATCATAATCCAGCGAGAATTCCATTTATTATTATTTTTTTTTCACATAGCTTATATTTGCATGAAAAGAAAAAGAGGCTAAAAGAAAATCATGAAAACGAGCAATCAGATTCAAATTTTTCTCTCGAATTATTGCGTACGCCCGCGACAATTGTCGATCGAGGCGGTAATTCACGACATGGCACTAGCTGTTGTTGAGAAAGAGAAAAAAAAATAAAAGAAAATGAATCAAGCGTTCTAAAAATAGCCTACTCTATATTCTGCGAGTCTTTTAGGCGAAAATACCACAACCTGGTTCGAATGCCCTCGCAATCAGTCTGCAGCAGCAGAGGCAGAGGCGGCAGAGTCGTACGGTAATAGCTGCATTAAATCGACCTCGAGTAACCTGCTTTTCGTCGCTCGTCGTTCTCATTGTTAAACAAATCAGCGAAACGTTGACTCTATCTATCGTGCAGCAGCAGCAGCAGCAGCAGCAGCAGCAGCAGCAGCAGCGGCAGTAGCTCGTTCTTTGCCTCGCGCGTTCGTGGGCTGGGGAATTTTTGTCGTTGCCTCAGTGCATCGCCTCCTCGGTAAACGCGAATATACACGAGCGTCTGTGAGTGTACATGTATGCGTGTGCGTGTGTGTATGTGGGTGCAGGTGCGAGTGTATGGATGCGATATACAGGGAGTCTGGAGAAATTAGAGAAGTAACATTGTGCATGGATTTGCATCGCAGCGTTAACGAGTTCAGCCGCGCTGCTGCTGTCAAAACCAGATTTTCCCGAGTTTACAAGACAAGCTGCTGCCTCTGTATATACACGCAGTCGCGCTATCTCTTCTCTCTCGTTCTTTGCCTTCCTCGCTTATATCTATATGCACTCATACTCGCTCGCGCTAACCAACTTCTCACTCCTCCGACTGCTGCTTGGGCCAAAATCAATGAAATTCCCTCGCTGCGGTCTCTGCCCTATAGCATGCATTAAACCGTACGCCACGTTGTTTTTGGCCCTTAGCAGAGCTCTCTGCGCGCCGCTGCAGTCACTCGCTCGCTCGGAACAATTTACAATCCGAAATTTGTTATTCCAGTCAACTAGCCCCCTTTGCACACATGCATTATGATTCCTTCGATCCTTTTCGTCCGCGTGTGTATGTGTAGGCGCTGCACCCGCATTTATATATAAAGTACAGTGCCAAACCTCTTTGCAATTCGATGCGAACGACTGCGGCGCGGAGTAGCCACCGATGAAATTAGCACAAAAGTCAAGAATGGCAAATCGAGGACGACTCTGACTCTCGTGCGTATATATATGTACTCATTGTTTTGCCTCCCTCGAGCTCAGCTGCACTCTCGTTCCTCCTTTTATTCTTTCTCTGCTTCGATTGGAATTATTCTAATGAACCGCGGCTAAATATAGACAAAGGTACAGAATGAGACAGGGAGACAGATACAGAAAACGCAGAATGAGAGTGAGAAAAAGCAAAGGATGAACGGCTCGTCAGAGAATAGATGAGATTCTCGTCGCTTTTATATATACCAGACTTGCAACTTTCAAACCTCCGCCTTTTTCCTCTGTCTTTTCGCGTTCTGTAAATCAGCAAGCACCACTACTCTGTGGCTACCGCAGTAGCTTTCGTTTTTTTTTGTTTTCGTTCACAAATGCTTTTTATACGCGGGAACAAAGATTGGATATAGTCTGATATAATTTACGGAGCTGTTTGTTTTCGATTGTTAAACGCATTCCAAAATCTTATTAGTTTCGTCAGTTTGTTTATCGTGCGACAAAAAAAACGTCTTTACTCTAGCATCGTAAATGAATGGCTCGCTCGAGAAAGTAAATAAAACGAACGCGTGTATGTAAAGAAAAATTTGAAGAAACTCGCAACTCGCCGATAAGTCCATAGAAAAGCTGACGAACATTCAAGAAAATGTTACTTTGATCGTACGGCCCCGAGCAAATTGGAAATTCAAATATCCATTTAAGCCATTCGGTCGTTTTCCCTCCTTATACTTTCTTTCTTTCTTCCTTTTTTTCATATAATTGATATTGTACAGCTAGCTCTTCACCTTAACTTTATCGGGCGTAATTTTCAGAAAATGCACACATTATGGAAAGTTAGCTTTGCTTGAGAACTGCGTCCAATGTCGATCGGAAGAAAAGTAGAAAACCTATATCGAGGAGTGGGTATTATAATAAAAAGTCATTGGCGCGCAAAAGTGTTCTGGTTGCATATGACTGGGGCCGAGAGAGAGAGAGAGAGTCCCTCCAGGCGCATTCGCCGAGTCGATATAATATGAATTGAAATGGAAATCCATTGATTACTTTTGTGTTGCCCTCGTGGTTCTCTTTCAGTCGTTCTATAGCAGTGCTCGGTGGCCACGTCCAACTTGATGAATTAAACAATTCTCCGAGCCAAGTTTTGCGCCCCCGAGATGCGGTTTTATTATACGTGTTGGCGAGGAATTCCTTTTTCTCCACGGTGCGTTGCGCTTGGCCAGGGGACGAGGGCAATGGAGTGATGGATTATTCGTATACTTCATCCGTGCTCGAGAAACTGCGCTATGTCTTGCTCTACGCTACGCGCGAGTTAAGTATCAAGTTTTACAATCCAAAGATGAGCATTAAAATCTCGCGCGCAGCCGTATTATAACTCAAGCGCTAAAAATTTTACGATTGCGCATCGCTCCAGTTCTCCTATCGCTCGTCGAGCGTGTACGCAGGCAACATTAGAGTCTGAAATCAGGTATCAGATGCAACAATAGCACTGGCAGCAGCTAGATACGAAGAGGAGAGGATTTTTGACAAGTGCAGCTAGCGCTCGCACAAAATGAGACACAGCGAGTCTAGATAAATAAGGTTTTACGATGCACTCGACTTGGAAATACTTGTATTTTCGCGTTTCAATAAGATTTCGCTCGACAGAATGCGATAAAGTCGAGTGCGCTTCGGTTCCACGAAAGCGCAATATAAGAAACAATGAGATAACAAACATACCAATTCGCCGCCCCCGCCCCAACTATACATACACAGAGCATCTATGCTACACATTGAGCATGCGAGCGCATACACAGCTCCAGTGCAATGTCCGCCTGCAGTAAGTGCGTGTACGTATTATAGAAAAGTCGAGCAACTTCGCTTGTACTCTGTGCCTTTTAAATGGAATCAATTTGGCGCGAGAGATGAGTCTCGCGTCAGTCGTGTGTATATATAGTGGCGCGCACGCTCGGCACTGAATAGAGAGAACTTGTACAATCGATTAGAGCTCTTCAACTCAACAGCCCAGGCATCGAGTTGAAGTGAAAATTTAGTCTACATCGTGTACGGAACGAGCGAGAGAGAGAGAGAGGTAGACATCTCGAGCTATTTTTCCAGTTTGTGCACGCGCAGGTACACAGAGTGTTAGCGTGAGTAGTAGTAGTACTTACATTGTCGAGATATCGTTTGTTCTTTTAGAGTCGGGCGTTGCCGTACAACAGTTTCCCTTTGTCAAAGCGTCGATACAATTCGAATGGACTTTTTCATTTTTCCAATTTCGAGTGAACTTTTACTCGAAAAAATTGAACCGTTACAAGCGGTGAAAACGCCAAGTGACGCCGATCGCGATATCGAACTACCTAGACGGTATTATATATACCCAACGTAGACCGTAAGTTTAATCTGTTAAGCTGCCGAAAGCAGCAGCAACAGCTCGAAGACATCAGGAATCCTAATTCAAATTTTCCCGTCCTCACGGCGCGCCATATACGAGCTATATATACGGAGTCGAATAGCAGCGATCCCTCCCATACGTCCTCCCATCCCCGCATATCTTTCTTGTCGTGGTTAAATGGAATCAATTTGCCGCTTCGTCTGCGGTTGAGCGAGCCCCGCCGCGCACTGCACCTAGTATACCTCTAGACCCCCCCGAGTCTACGAGTACGAAACGTCCACATCAGCTGCCTCAATCTCAATATCGATCGATTAAGTTTTCAATGAACGAGTCGACTGTATGCATATATTTATAGGTATACGCGTAGTAAGAAAGCTCGTCGCATTTATGCTTACAGATAGAAAAGCTGCCGGCACAAGGCAACGGTGCGCAAGAATCAGCAGCAGCAGCAGCAGCGAAATGGCTTGCTCGCGGTCCGCTGGCCTCTGGCTCTTGGCGACTGCTCTGCTCCTCGGGGCGAGCCACGGCTTCAACGGCGAGCTGGCCGAGCAGGAGTGCCCGGTCGACTGTCACTGTCACTACTTCCGCATCAATTGGGTCACCGACTGCTCCGAGAGCAACCTCACGGCCATTCCGCACGACGGCTTGAGCCAGAACGTTTACGTGCTCGACATGAACGGCAACAACGTCGAGCACATCGAGCCCTTCCCGGCCGACATCAAGCTGCGCAAGCTCCAAGTCGCCCACAACCGGCTCACCGAGCTCAAGTACGAGTCTTTCGCCGGACTCACCTATCTCCTCGACGCCGACTTCTCCTACAACAATATCAAATACGTCGATCCAGACGCGTTTCGGTAAGTTTACCCCCTTGTTCGATTGCTTGAGCCGCTCAAAGTTTGAGAAAAGTGCGCTATCGAGCTTTTTTCTCTCACTTTTTCGTACAATCTTTTACTCGGCTACTATAGTATGTGAGCTACGAAATTTACCCGGTCTATTGGACACTGTCGGCGAAAAATTAATGGGCTTCGGGAAAATTATTACGCTTAATTTAACGCAGCGTTCAACGTCACTCGCCGCCCTGAAAATGGAGAATAATGAATTCGCTAAAAGAATCCAAGTAAATTGAATTAATTGAGCCGTGCGCGTAACTCTACTTTGGCGCGAAGAGCTTTTTGCACGCTCTATCGCGCATGGAGTTCATAAAAAGTTAAAGCTCGAAAGGAATTTTTTTGGCTCGCTCTATTTGCCTCGAGACTAAAATAGTATCGCGCTTGATTGCAGGGATAGTCCAGGATTAATAACTTTGGAGCTGCAGCACAACCCGCTGACGGAGGTCGACGGATTCTTCCTGAACAGCCGACCGCTCATGTACCTGGACCTGAGCAGCTGCGGCATTCGTCGGCTCAACGAGCAGTTCTTCCACAACACCAAGGACCTGAACAAGCTCGACCTGTCGCACAATCCGCTGGGTCGTCTCGAGCGGGGTCCCCTGGACCACCTGCCGAATCTCGAGTACCTGAAGCTGGCCTCGTGCAACATCAGCCACGTGGCGTCGGACGCGTTCGCGCGACTCGAGAATCTGCGCGAGCTCGACCTCGGCGACAACATGCTCGGCGGCATCGACTGGTCGGGCGTGCTGGCCCCGATGATGCGTCTCGAGCACCTCGACATCCGGCGGACGCGCATCCGCAATCTGCCCGGCGACGCCTTCAGCCGCAACCTGTACCTGCGCCAGCTGGTGCTGGCCGACAACGATCTGCACCACCTGAACGTGGCCGAGACCCTGGGCCACAATCTGCACTCGCTGCAGTCGCTCGACCTGTCCAACTGCAATCTGCAGGACCGCCTGTCCGAGGAGGCCTTCCGCAACGCCAGCAAGCTGCGAGTGCTCAATCTCAGCGGCAACCCCATGTTCGCGGCCGACCTCACGGCCGTGCTGCAGCACCTGCCGCGGCTCCACAAGCTCTCCCTGAGCAACTGCAGCCTGCGCCGGCTGCCCGACGCCTTCGAGAGCCTCGAGACCCTGGCCGAGCTCGACATCTCGCACAATCCGCTGGCCGACGCGTTCGTCCGGCTGCTCAAGCCCCTGAGGTCGCTCGAGTTCCTGGACATGTCGTACTGCAGCCTCGGCCACGTGGGCAACAACACCTTCGCCCTCATGACGGAGCTGCGCCGGCTGGTCATGTCCGGCAACAGCCTGCACACCCTCGAGAGCGGCCTCTTCGCCAACCTGACGCGCCTCGAGGTCCTCGAGCTGGACGACTGCGGCCTGCGCGGGCCCCTCAACGCCCGCCTCTTCGGCGAGCAGACCGAGAGCAACGTGGTCGAGCTCAAGCTCAGCAGGAATCCGCTGACCCTGCCCGAGGACGGCTCGCTGCTGCCCAAACAGCTGGCCGCGCTCTCGAGCCTCGACCTCTCGCACTGCGGCTTCGCTCGGCTCAACGACAATCTCTTCCTGCGCACCCGCAACCTCACGAATCTCAACCTGGCCAACAATCGGCTGGCCGACCTCGAGGCTCTGGCCCCGCTGCGCAAGCTCCGCCAGCTCGAGCACCTCGACCTGTCCAACAACAATTTGAGCAGCGTCAGTCCGCGCGTCTTCAAGGCCAACTCGCGTCTGCTCAGCCTCAATCTCATTGGCAATCCCTTCGTGTGCAACTGCTCGATCGTCGACATGTGGGACTGGGCCGTGCAGGTGAAGAACGACCTGGACGTGCTGGTGGGCAGCCAGCCGGCCCAGTACAGCACCGGCTCGACCAAGCTGCGCAAGACCCTCAGCTGTGCCTACGACCCGGTCACTTATCGCGCCATTCTCGAGCAGAACAAGGCCGGGGGTCAGTCCAAGCCCTTCGTGCGCAAGGCCGACCAGACGCCCAACAGGACCTGGGCCAAGTACATACGCGAGAGCCAGTGCGGTGGTCGGCGCTCATGATACGTCCTGCCCACGCCTCTTCAGGATGGACCCGACAAGCCCTCCCGAGTCGAGCTCTAACTTCAAGCTTCGTTTCCTATTACCCTCCCGCTGGTCTAGATTGCGTCATTTTCAACGCAATACATCAGTAAATTTAAAATTATGGCCATACAAATAACAATAAGTTAAATAATGTTCGACTCAAAAAAGATTATTGTATACTTTACGTCAAAAAATCTATTCAAAGCAGAGCCAATTTTTAACAAATTGTTAAAAACAATAATATATTGCAGTATATACTATACCTTTTATGCCATAGAGTGGCATTCAACAAGCCACATAAAAGTATTTTATTTTTAAGAACATTTTTGTAGATTAGTTTGTATGGTTGAATATTAACTGTACCAATGCCTTAAGCTAAGAACTAATGAATATTGTGAAATTCATTGACATTTTAATTAATTAAACTGTTAAAGTCAACGTTGTTTTTCATCACAGTTTTTCTTCATAAAACTGTACAAAAAATCGAGTTTATAGATGAAAAATATTTGTAGACGTTGAAATCATTAGTATTGTATGAAAACAATATGGTTTGTTAACAAGAAAATTCATAATGCATGCGTGAACAATTTCTTTATCCAATTCAAACATATCTACGTGAAAAATATCATTTGAATTGTAAACTTTGCAATAATGTAAAAGTGTATGAGCACAATTCAACTAGTTTAAACTTGTCTGTAACGCGTTGAAATAAAACAATACAGCCAATACATTTTATATGCAGTAACTATGATGCAACATAGTATTTGTTGAAGCGAAAAAGATTGTATAACACTTTAATTAAAGAATTAATTGATTTTCCATTGCTTGAAATAATAGAAACCCTTGTAATTGTACACGCAATGACGTCAGTCGAGTCATATTTCAAAAAGAATAGAGTTACGACTTTAGATTATTTATTGATTTCAAAGTTTGTACGCGTGTTAAGCGATGAAATAAAAATAAATTTTTTTCATTTATTCTTGTAGATATGTAAAAACGAAAATTCATTTATGACGAATGAAGCTACTTTGTAACATGTATAGGCTCACGGTGACAAAAAGACAATTGCATCGACTGTGATTAATCTTTATGCTCACGTCTGTAAATGTATAAGACTGTATTTAATAAATGAACGCCATATCTTTCTCTTAAAATTGGATCAGTCAGTGATTTTTTTCATAAATATGTCGTTTTTAATTTTAAATAGGAATCGTGATATTTCAAAATGAGATTGTTTGAGAGGTCATGAAAATATGCCGTCAACTTATATAATTTAAACAAGAGATAAGTAAATAGCAGAGATTTAATTTCTTTCAACAATATCAAATGAAAAATCAAATGGATTCGTAGAACGGACCCTAATATCATTAATGCCTGGTAGATAAGCGAGTTTCCCATTCAGCCGAAAGTTGTCTTCAACAGTGATTGTTTTCGAATTTCTCTGTAATAGCAGTTTGAAAATTTAATCGACGAAGTTTCGATGATCGCGGACGCGAGCAAAGTGTTTGCCGTGGCACATTTGTGAGTGGCGCCCGCGCAGATGCGCCCCCAAAGCTGCATAACTCAGTTATCCGGAGGGCGGGGAAGCGCACACGCTGCTCCAATAATAATAGCTGCGTCAAACATGCTTATATATACACACATACGCACACGTGTGCTGCCTAGCCGGTGCTTAGCCAGTCAGATTGAAAACTTAATAAATCGAACATAATCAATGTTTCGAGGCGCGCGAGCGGGATAATCGATCCTCTGTACGTCGACGGCATACGAAACTGTTTTCCTCTCTTCGTCCTTGCTTCGCACACTGCGTGTGGCTTTTAACGGAGCCAGTATGTATATGGCTCAGTCATATGGGAAAGAGTATAAAGACCATCGATAACGGAGCAGCGGCTGCACGAGGACCCGCAAAAGCCGCAAAGTCTCGATCGAAGCGTCTCGCCGAAAAAGCCCGTTATCTACTTAGGCTACGTCAACAGCCTGCAGCCCGATGGGGAGGGAGCTTTTCGTACGTTCGACCTCGGAGTCGAATTTGAAAGCCTAACGAAAGAATCCTCAAAGTCTATCCTTTAATCCGATACTTTTAGACAACGTGTCTTGTCGGCTTAAATTTGATGTTCTTATATCAGAGCTCCACTGACGTTTCTCCGAAAATCCTCACTTCCTAGCAGAGAGTTTGAACTTGCAAGCTCGTCCAATTTTGTTCGATTGACGACAGGAAATAATATAAATCAATTGTTCCTTTGTTGATACAATATGATTTAATTAATCGGAATAAGAATTGTTTGATTTCTAATATTTAATTGAACGAGTCGATTGTTAAAAATACATTTGAGCTTGATGAATTAAAGTAACATAAGAGTATATATCACTAGCTGCGTAAAAATTTATTCATATTACGCCTTCGTTGCTAATTTGCATGAATAATTTTAGAAATGAAACAAACAAATTAACATGAGTAATTCGTGAAACGAGTTTGCATATTATTTTTGCCCCAAAACCTCCGAACAAAACGAATAAACGCAAATGAAGCAGTTAATAATAATTGAGCGAAATTTTAAATTAAGCGCGCGCAAAAATCCAGCTCGGCTGCGAGTATGGGTGCAATGCAGAGAAGCTATATCGTCGGTCGCGGAGAGTGTCAAAGAGAAGAGAGCGGGAGCGCAAGCGCGAATTCTCCAGGCAATCTCTATTCTCTGACGCATTCAAGAGTTGCCTCTATGTATGTGTGCAAAAGCACACGCATCTATAAAACGTGTTACAATATATACGTGCCGCAGCACTAGCGAGCTTGGAGTGTAATTCTACTGCTGTTGTATGTGAGCGTCGACTACGGGACAGTCGGGGCATGCCTCACATGTACGCGATGTCTGTCGCAGTAACGTCACTTTTGTAACAGTGTCCGTCCAGCTGTCTGTCACTCGTCGAGCCACGAGGAACTTGGGCAAATTGAGCGGAGACGCCGAGCGAAACAGAGAGCAGAGCGAGAGGCAGGGAGGGAGGGAGGGAGAGCAAGTCCGTGTTCTATGCAACATATATAATACTGCTGTTAGCCGTAGCAGCGGAGCAAATTTGTCGACTCTCTGCGCGCGAGAAGCTCGCTCGAGCGCGACGCAAGTGTAGGAGGAGGCGCAGCGCAGCTTTCTCAGTGAACGGAGCAGCCCAGCTATCTATTCTCTGTAGCATATAATAATACAGGCCCGTAATAAAAATTCAGTTTGTCGCGCGTGCGGACGATGCCGAAATCAGCGGCTCGTCATTCCGGCGTATCCGTGGTCGTCTGCTGCGTAGCGAGCGGCTCGAAGATCGCCGAGTCCGGCTCGACGCGGCGGCGTCCTCTCAACCGCTGACGACTATTTTGTCGCGCGCCAGTGAAGGAATCCTCGCTGTAGTCCTCGGACGCACGAGCACGAGTCACCGCCGCCGCCTCTCCTCCAGCAACTTCTTGCCGCATTGGATCGTTACGTGTTATAAGTTGGCGCCGCCGCCGCTGCTGCTAGCCACTGCACCGTCGTATCGTCATCGCGATGCTTGCCGTACTCGAGAGCGCCCTCTGCGTGCCCAAGCTCTATTACGGTGCCCTGTTCGGCCTCGGTTTCGGCATTTACTATCTCTTCGAAGTCGTCAAGGTGAGCCAGTCAACTGGGTCTTTTTACCTTCTTTTTTCTCTTTCGAGCTTCTATACTTGCTTATAAATATACATCTACGCGATTCCGATCGATCGAGGCCCGTGCGCGCCTCGAGCAATGCAACAAAAGCCGTGCTCGATCGATCTCGCAATTCGATCGGCGAAACGCGCCCGGCCACAAGCTCTCGTCGCGCCAAATTTTTTTTTCCAAATAAAAAAAGCTCTGCCTAGTTAACAGTCACGGCAGCGCGTTCCAAAGTCCGGTCGACGAAACTCTTTCGCGTACATTCTTCGTCGACGACGGAATCTCATATTAGCCCCAACCGTAATTCTTGATTGTCTTATCGGTGTAACGTATCGAGAACAATCGCATTAATAGCCGAGCCGTCAATCTAAACCGAGAGACGCGAACTGGTATCGTAAGCGATACCACGCAGCATTGACGCAAAATCCGTCTCGTCGGAAGGTGATTAAATTTATGCCATAGTCCGAGGTCAACTTGGAATCTTTCACGCGTTCTCTTCGTGCTATTCGGGAAAACTTTTTTCAATAAGCATATCGAAAGCATTAAAATAAGTTGAGACAAAAAATGAAGCTCCAGCGATTAGTGGTCGCGTGTATAGCCCGAACGAGAGAATTTTGCATAAGAAGAAACTCGCTTCTCAAAGTTTGTCATTATTATTAATTTGACCTTGCTGATTTGCAACACATTTACAAGTCGTATGAACTCCTATTGAGCTCGCTTCTCTTACGTGCTCTTGCGTGTAGTTTTGATGAGTGCAGTAGCAGTTGTCGTAACTGTCTACGAGCACGTGTCTATGTGCTTTCCTGACTGATAATAGACTATTGTCGATACGCACTGGAAAATGCACCGGTACAGTTTTTATAATTATTGAAGATTGCGCTCTCGGCGCGTTGCATAACGATCGCGTTCGTGCGGACGCACGAGACTCGTTCGACGATCGATTTCATCGATGTGTAGTAGTCGTTTTTTCATTGGGAATTAACGATTGATTTCAGGAACCTCTGGTAGTTTGTGCCAAAGGGCCGTTGCGTAATTTTTTGGAAGACAACGTGCCTATATTGAAGGCGAAATTCTGGCCTACGCTATGGTGCTTCGAATCGAGAGCTCAAACGGTATTCGCTAGCCTACTTCGATCGAGACTGTGGCCAGCGATACAGTACCGCAGGTTGGTTATTCAAATGAAATTTTAAAAAATAAAAAATAAAAATTTCATTTCTTGCTTTACTCTTCTTTGCTATGATACAGAGTGCTTGAATCGTAACAGACACACGTGAACGATTTGGAATTGCATTGGGAATTGCTCGCACGAGGCTTTAGAGTTGATTGCCCTCTCGAGCTCTTCGTAAAATATTATTCATTATTTTAACGTCGTTGCACAATGCGCCTGCATTTAGTTTGCTTCGTTGGAAACATTAACATCCGCCACTACCTATCATTGCATTTGTTATTACAATTATTCACGTTTCGATCTCTCGCTTCGACCCAACTAGCCTTCAAAATATGAAGAAAAAAAAATATTCTATATCTGGCAATGAAAACAAGCTTGAATAAATCGTAGTTATTATTTTGAATATAAATCTGTTATAAAATATATTCATATATATCTGCCTACAGAGAAATATTGACACTGTCGGATGGCGGCGAAGTAGCGCTGGACTGGGCCGAGCATAATTGCTGCTCCACATCGCCAATCGTGGTAATTCTACCGGGATTGACGGGAGCCAGTCAAGCCGAATACATTAAGTGTCTAGTCTATGCGGCTAAAAACGTCGGCATCAAATGCGTCATATTCAATAACAGAGGGCTGGGAGGTGTTAAATTGAAGGTACGGATTTCATAAGTAGAGAAATAGCTACAGCTAATAAATTTGTCCATCGCAGATGTGTAGCGTTTTTTGTTTCGGGCGCAAAAAGTGTATGGGACATTTTTTGACTTATTTGCGGAAAATAAATACACGTGTAATAATTCGCTTATTCGTGTCTCGCTATATGACTTTGCATATTTTTTTATCAAATATTTGATTAGCCATAAGCTCGTATAGTTGTGATAAAAACTGGCCCGTGATTTGAATGATGCTGTTATTTCACGCGTATTAATGAACGACCAAAGTCGGTTCGTAATTGCAATAATGTCGATAACTTTAATGGTTAAAGGAATCAAAGTAGCGATCTTCTCGACAATCGATTTTCAACTGTTAATTTGACCGTGTAAATCATGCATGCACGCAGTGGCAGAACAGAATAGCCAGACACGATAAAGCTCCGCAGACGAGCAAGCGGATCGACAGAAAGCTCCGAGAGATACGAGAGAGAATATTTGAAATAACTTTGATTGTTATAATTTTCATGATTGACTCGATGCAAATCCACACTCGTCTGCTTTGCGTAGACTCGCCGATTGTATTGCGCGGCAAACTGCGAGGATCTGTCCGAAGTTATCGAACACGTAAGGCGACTCCATCCGAACGTGCCCGTCGCCGGCGCTGGCATCTCAATGGGAGGGTATGTATGCGTGCGCTTTCAAAGCTATTTTCTATTGTACGAAACTCGAGCAATTCTCGAGCGGCGATTTATTATTCAAGCGTATACTGTAAGCTCGGTCACAGTTCTATGCACGTATACCCTCGGTGCGCAGATGGCCGATTTTTAATTAATGAATTTGTTGTTCACCCACGCACAGTCTCATTCTCGGCAATTACCTGGCTCAGCGAGGCAGAGCCGCGATCGGCAAGCTCAAAGCCGGCCTGGCCATCTCCGTGCCTTGGAACGTCTTCGAGGCTACCAAGAGCATCGAGAAGCCTTACCTCAACTTGATGCTCAACAAGCACTTGTGCGGCAATCTGAGAAGAAACGTGAAACACCACGCGGCCAATGACATGGAAGAATGGAATCTTGACTTCGATACGATATTCAAGGTATAGTATGCGTGTTGAGTTATTTTCTTCGGCTTTGCACGATTCAATTGTTCCCCTCGCTATTTACCGTGTAATTGTATCTGATTTACAGAGCGAAACTGTTCGCGAATTCGACGATTACTTTACGTCGAGGCATTTCGGTTACAAAGACGTCAACGAGTATTATTCCGTGGCAACAGCCCACGACAAGCTCCATCAGATTCAAGTGCCCTTGCTATGTTTGAGTGCAGCCGATGATCCTTTCCAGCCGCTCGAAGGTATGCCTCGCTTTTATTTTAATTTCATTTGCGATTAGCGCACAAAAATAATGACGAGTTTTCGTTTTTCGACACAGCTCTACCGCTCAAAGAAGTCAGTGAGACGCAGCACGTCGCCATGATCGTGACCTCGCGAGGCGGCCACATCGGTTTCCTCGAGGGCATCTGGCCTATCCGAGAAGATCAATACATGGGGAAAATATTCTCGCAATTTTTCTCCGGTGTCTTCTCGCAGGACAATGAACATTTTTTCCGCAGTTAGAACCCAGCACCTGTCACGATCACGAGCAACTGTATAAATGATTTAGTTTTTACAAAATAATCGCAAAATTAACATTTTTATACTCTTGCGGTAAAAGTCTAGCCCAATATTAGCGGAAAAATCGTTAACTAGTCCAGGTAAAAAAAAAAAAATTACGCATAGTATACGAGAGAGTCATAATAAGGCCATCTGTATAGCTATGAAGGAATTGCCGCAATTGAGAATTAAACGAGCGATTCCATTTGCATGTAATTAAAATAGAATCGTCCTAATCCTGCCAAGATTTTATACGAAACATTTATGCGTAACGAATCGCACAATGAAAACGTTTTAACGACGATAAATGAAGCTGTGAAATGATCATCGGGAGAACATTTATACTCCGAGGAGTACATAAAAATTCATATAATTTAGCTCCTTTTGACTAAATGTACATTTTGTATTTTTTAATTACTAATTTTATTTGCCCTTTGTGATAATAAGACTCGAATGTGAAAATTCGTCAGTGATATGAAAGTGATTGTAATTGGTCGAAAGCGTGGAAAGTGCAATATTTTTTTCTTTGTAAGACATATTTACATTACCATTAAAATGCACAAGTTGATGTCAACCCGAATGAAGTGATAAAACTCTTGCCGAGTCGAATTTTGGGATTCGTATAGAGTATTTTTCTGATAATAAGCTTTGTGTTAATATTTTTTATAGTTGTTCAGAAAAATATTCTGTTTAAATGCCCAGAACTCGGGGGTGGAAATTTTTTATTTTTTCTTTGATGCTAGCACCTTCTTCATAATCATATGTTATTTATTTGTTATTCAATATCTAATTATTTAACATCGTTTCGTACCTATTTTTATTTAATATTTTATTGTCTGCTTCTTATTAAAATAGAGTGTATTGTTATATTTATTTTAGATAGAAAATAACGGACAGGGTAGTTGAAAGTAGAGCGTAGTCCCAATTGTTAAAAATTGGATTAGAAAACTGTTATGCTTGACCTTTGTAAGCACAAATAGCTGCTCAATGAACTTGAATAAATTTGTTACGACAATGAACCTAAAAAATGTAGTAGATTTCTTTTGTCCGGCACGTTGTAAATGGACCTTTGACAAAGGCAAAAAGATAAAGTATTTGTCATCAGGATATTTCTGCATAAGCTACTTGTAAATGAACGATTTGTCCGTGAGGTGTTGGAATCGAAACAAGCGAGTACTATTGGTAAAATTGTTGTTTTTAATTTCATTCGGATGTAAGGCAAACGGTATATTTAAGGAGTCGCAATGAATAAATAAAGGAGCCGCTCGCGGCATTGTAAGAGTTCGCGAACGAGTTGCGAGATATTTATATAGAGGCACACTTAGAGCAGGCCACACGTCGCGCATATATATCGATCTCGTGTGTACCTAGGCACGGTGCAGCTATGTTCGCGCGAGCAAGTGCACAAAAGTGCGATATCCGAGCTTTGTCGCAGCTCGGGCCGAAAATACATATACGTATTTAGGTTTGTTCGCATACGTAGGTACTACGTAAGCATTCGCGAATTCGCAATAATGCACAATAACCCTTGGCTCTCGAGCGGAGCGGAGCTTTCGGCCGCAGCACGTAATAGCGAGTGCCGCCTTGGCGAGCAGTCGCAGCCAAGGGCGCGTGCACTCAGCTGCTCTAAAAAAAAAGCGAAGAAGAAGAAAAAACGTAGAGCGGCGGTGGCGGCTGCTCACAAAGCTCTTTTCGCTCGCGAGGGTAGGGAAAATCGACCGCTACATAAACGCGTGGCGCAGATTTGCACTGGTGCGCTTGCAGGCTCGTTGTCGGAGCTTTCGGGCCGCTGTAAGATGTCGTCGGCTTCGCTGCGGTACACGTGCTCGTGACTCGCGCCACTGGAAGTGGTGGCGGTGGCGGCACAGATAGCAGTGTACGCGCGCGCACTGCATCTATATAGCGCAGTTAAAGCATCAGCCAGAGACGAGGGTAGCGTATGCATGTGTGTGCTCATACGCGACGAGCTATTGCACGGAGCGTACAAACGACTGGACGTTGCATACTTGTATGTGCTCTCTCTCTCTCTCTCTTTCTCTCTGCCCATGTACGTGCGGGTATTGTAAGTCATGCGCCCGCAGCGACCAAAGCTCGCGATTCTCTCGCTGCTGTGCGCGTGTTGCAGGTACAGCGTGAAGAGGCACTAGCCAGTCCGTCCGTTTGCGTCGATACCGAGTCCAACGGCAGTGGCAGTGGAGCAGTGGCATCAGTGACAGTTGAGCGCACCACCAGCAGTGCCTATAAAACTAGTGCGCCCGTAAAAAGCTCCCAAGCACTCGTGCTCAACGCCCTCGTGCTCGCGATCCAGTGTTTGTTTTGTCTATCAAAAATGTAGCGACTCGACCATTCCGGAGGTGAAAGCTGCGCCACATCTTGCGAGCACTCTCGCAAGTACCCCCCGTTGACTCGCTTTCGAGTGCGACCCGAGGCGTACGGGCTTGCTGCCAGTTCCTCATTAGCCTCGACGCGTGCCCGTAAGCTCTCGCTCCCGCAGCCAATAAAGACGGACTGCGGCCCACTGCTGCTGCCGGAGACGTAATCATGGAGCTGGAAATCGGTCGCCAAGTCATCGAGGGCATCAAGGCCATCATTCCCATCAGCCTGCTCGAGTGCGCCCTCTGCGTGCCCCAGTACTGCTGCGGGGCCCTCTTTGGACTCGGCTTCTGCGCCTATTACTTCTTCGAAGTTGTCAAAGTGAGTCTGCAGCATCTATTCCTTCTTACCTTTCCTTATTGGCTTTTTTACTCGACCATTTCACGCGTCCTTCCTTTGCAGCCTGTACGCATTATCTGACCGGTAGTAGTTCCTCGTCTACTTTTTCCGCTCCATAGTAGGACACCGCACTAATAGCTCCCAACACCGGCCCACGCTTCATACACGTCATAATATCGTAGGCGATGCAGCGAGAAAAAATTACATCGTTCAATGAGATCGTCCAAGCGGTGAAATTGCTCAATTTGCCGAATTATACGATTCATTGAAAAATTCTCGCTCTCTCTTATCGTTCACAGACGCTGCATATTCACACATATTTTTGCGCGAAAAATGTATAACGACGTACGTATAAATATGAGCGCGTGCTCATCAATGCACGAGCTGCACTGTATGTATCGAACGAATTTGATCGATCATTATTTATTCGTCGGCTGATATTATAACCGCCGAGTCGGGAATACGTGAATAATGCATACACGGAGATAAAAGAAAAATCGCGGGTCATATAGCTGCAAAAAAACTCCAATGTGTGTAATACTACGCTCGCGAATCGTTGCCTGCGTATATCAATCGATTCAATAAAAATTTTAACGAGATCAGCACTTGCAAAGCCCGATCTTATCGCAAGTTGTCGTGGATAATTCGAATTCTAAGGTCTTAATGACTCTTTGGCTCTAAATAATGTTGATTAAACTGACTATTGAATCAAATGAATTTTCAAAATACATGATACTTTTCAACGATTCAACCCTATCGGCATCGGCGAAGGTGTCTTATTTATGCATATTGAGCTTAGTATTTGACATTGAAAGGCACGATTCATGCATAAAAAATGCACGTACACACATAATTGGCCAGCGTACACGTGTTACAGCGCCGAAGAGTATAAAAAAATTGATTCCCTTCAAGTTCAGCCGCGTTGCGTGATTAATTTAATATTTGTTATTCTGGTTTGTATACGTATGTAACAAATACAAGCTGGCACTGAATCATATACACGCTCGGCTCATGTGCCGGGAGCCCATTATATTCATCGATCAAAAGTTAATACTTGCAATATGCTCCGGGTAATCTTACATGCCTACGACACGTATTTCAATCGCGTGCATGGTACGCATGCTGATATTGTGCTTGCGAAGCAGCATGGCGTAAAACATTTTACGGCCATCCACCGTCAGCTACGACGCGAAACATATATGCATTGAAAAAATTATTCGCTTTCACGCTCGTTATCGGCCATCCACTACTTCACACATTCTTTTCTTTCGCTCTTTTTTTTTTATTATTCTTCATCGATGCAATTATTCATTCTTTATTTTCTTGCTTATCTTTGTTTTTTTGTTGAGCCTTGTTACAGACACCGCTGCTGGTCTGCGCAGAGGGTCCATTTTATGATTTTCTCGTTGAAAACGTGCCAATACTGAAGAGCAAATTCTGGCCGACTTTATGGTGCTTCGAGTCGAGGGCTCAAACGATATTTGCGAGCGTCGTGCGTGCCAGTGTACTGCCACACATGAAATATCGCCGGTAAATTCTTCATCTTTGCGCATTTGTACGACGAGCAATTTGCTCTACCTTTTGTTTCCCTTGTATTTTTCCCTAAGCTATTAAGCACGTCAAGTGAATCTTTTAAGGACTGATTAATCTTTGAAATTAAATAATAAAACGTCTACTTCTGAGCAAGTCAGCGGAAAACTGACGTAAATGTAAAAGTGAACATGTCATTTATTCTTGATGTAACAAAAATGATGTCACAAGTTCAGACTTGAATCTAATGCACAAGTTTTGCGGGTGAAATAAAAACATTTCTATATATGGACAAATGACGCTAAAATTTATCGACTTGGCGTAAAATAAAGTTCCAGCTGGTAGACATACCACGTGTATTCAAAATCAATAGTTGAACATTATTGGCAATTATTCAAAGTTATTGTTTACTTACATCGTATAATAAAAATACCGAGAAAAAGATTTTGCCACTTGCATTATTGGCTCCAATTGCGTTGCTCAGAATATTGATTTTTCTAAATTAAATTTCAGAAAAATGAAGTTTCAACCTAACCCGGCTTCACTAATACATAGATTCACTTGGTTCATTGTCATTTTGTTCATATTCCTTATTCGTTGCAATAAAAATGCCACAATAAGTCTCGTTCTGCTATTTTCAGAGAATTACTCACTTTATCGGACGGCGGCGAGGTAGCCCTCGACTGGGCAGAAGAAAACTCCTCCAACTCGTCGCCAATCGTCATTATTCTGCCGGGCTTGACGGGAGCTAGCCAAGCGGAATATATCAAGTGCCTAGTGTTTGCGGCTCGAAATTCGGGCATGAAGTGCGTAATTTTCAACTACAGAGGCATGGGAGGTGTAAAAATTAAGGTACGACATTAATAACTACAAGTATAATTTCTGCAGCTGCGTCGTTTATCGTAAAAGCCATAATTTCTCACGATAAAATACGCACGACGCGCGCTCGTGCGATAATTTCATTTTGTTGCACATTTACATTATGAAAGAAATGTATTATATCTCAGAGATTACCGAGGCAGACCGTTTTATTGAGCTTTGATACTAAGCTGCCGCCGGGAGATCGGAGAGAAAAAAAAATCAATATACGCAAAGTAACGGGGAAAAATACTCGAGAGCCCTATCAATCAAGCGAGCGAAAAGGGGAATTGATCGTGTTTCTCTCTTATCTAAATGCATTCTTTGCGTTTGTCTAGACACCAAGATTTTATTGCGCCACGAGCTACGAAGATTTGGCCGAGGTTATCGATCACGTGAAAAAACTACATCCTCACATCTCACTGGGAGCGACGGGAATATCGATGGGAGGGTAAGTTACACGCGCTCGCGTGAATAATATAGTAGAAAATTGCAGCCTGGAAAATCGATCGACCCGAGCTTTTCCTCTTTTCTCGCGCCTGCAGGTTACTGTTGGGCAATTACCTGGCCAAGTACGGCCGCGACGCTTATGGCAAATTGAAGGCGGCCCTCATCATATCCGTGCCAATGAACATTTTCGAGGCCACGAAGAGCATCGAAAAGCCCTACATTAATTTATTACTCAACAAGTACCTCTGTGATAATCTACAAAGAATACTGAGGCGTCACGTGGGCGAGGAGAGCTTCCAAGATTTAGATTTAAATAAAGTTTATCAGGTTTGTGGCGCCGCTCATTATTGATTCGATCAACATGTAAAAATGAAATTTTTGTATTTCTTACACGCGTACGATTGGCAGAGCAAGACCGTCCGAGAATTCGACGAGAGCTTCACCTCAAGGCACTTTGGCTACCGAGACGCGGCGGATTACTACACGTGCGCGTCTCTGCACGACAAGCTGCACCTCGTCGAGATACCCCTGCTGTGTCTTGGCGCAGCGGATGATCCGTTTCAGCCGTTGCAAGGTACGATCGACCTCGTCATTTTTCCCTCACCTATGCGTTCGATATATAACGACTGAAAATTAACATTTGACCCGCTGTTAAATCCGTGCAGCTATACCTCTGGAGGAGGCGAGCAAACTGAAAAACGTGGCGATGGTCGTGACATCGAGAGGCGGACACATCGGCTTCCTCGAGGGCTTCTGGCCGCTCAAGGAGGAGCAGTACATAGGCAAAGTGTTCGCCCAGTACTTCACCGCCGTTTTTACAGCCAAAAAAGGACATCCAGCCTTTTAAAATCGAGGGGCCGCATGCGACAAATAACTGATTTCAAGCGAATTTTCCTCAATAAAAGACTCGATTCCATTCATAAGATTCGTATATTACCTCGTCGTCACGCAATCTCTGCGGGCGCGAGGCAATGAATAATTTTACTTTGATACATTAGGGCCAAGCATTTAATGCGCAATTACAAGATAATGTTATTATATTATTGTGTACCAGCAAAGGCTTTGAAATATGGACATTCGTCACTGGACAATTTCTTTTAATCATACATGATCTATTGTAAATTAGATAAATCAATTTATATAAACGAGGAAGAAAATGTTTTAATAATATAATAATATCGATCAAGTAAGCTGGCTTAACTTGTTCGACGGCAAATTTACAATAAAGTTACAATAAATAGCATTTAATTAATTCACCGATCAAGTTACAAAATATAAGTATATAATAACAGTAATTATATAAAAAAATAAATAATGTGTACATGCACATGTGATATTCTCACGGTTATAACGGAGTTGAATTTCGTTTGCTGCAATCAATAATTAAAAATTGTTCTCACAAACTTATAAAGTATAGAGACGCTTGCCGGCAATGCTCGCGAATGTTTGAAATAGGTTTACGAATCTATAGATGCAGAGGACACAATGAAGCTCGTTACTCATGCATTTATTATGTCGTACTAGAAATACACGTTTAGTTGGGTAAGAGTGAGAGAATGAATGGTTTTTGATCGTTGTGTGAGTCACGCTAAAAGTGACAAATACTTTATCTTAATTTTTATACGATAAATGCGATCGCCGATGCTCATGTAGCATTTTGATCACAAAATCATCGTATACGATAGAATTAATAAGAGTGAGGTGAAAAAATACGAGTGTCGCGCGTACTTTACCTAAAAGTACACGTTGCGCTCGTTTTTCTCCGATTATAACGTATTCATACCTAAAACTAGACACATAATATTTATAGATAAAAGTGCCTATAAGCTAAGACTATAAATAAAATTATTTGTACTTGTACATATATATGATACACCTAAATAAATATATGAAAGCGTTATAGTTAATACGAATAATTTTAAAATATATTATAACGTGTAAGGCAAGAAAATAAAATATCTTCTTATATACCATATTAAGATGAAAAGTTTAACGAGCCTTTTTTTCATCCTTGCTTTATTTTCCGCTCTAATTTATATTTAGCACCGATGCGTTATAACCGACTGACGTCATTCGTTGACAGCGCTTTCTTAAATTCAGTACGGGGGTTGTTTTCTTGCGATACAAATATATAATACGGAACAACCACTTGCGAGTTGTGAGTGTATACTGTACAGTTAACAGTAGTCAATACAAAAAAGATCACTGCGCACAATGCACTGCGCCTGTACAGCAGAAGCTTTCTGCAACGCCAATGTCAAACCGCATCCCACAGCAGCGGTAAATGTCAATGGCTCTGTTATTGTTTTCTAGAGGTTATCCTCGCAGAGCTTTTGTATAAACACGATTTTGACGCGCTTCGTTGTACACGTAAATACTGAACGTTGAGAAAAAATAGTGATTATTCTAAACGTCAAGCATGTCGAACGCGTACGGCACCACTAATTACAGTGGAACCTACCGAAATAAGGATTATCAAGAGAACCTTTTGTACAAGAAGAAACTGAAGCGATTGAAAAAATGGATAAAAAATCTAGTGTTTGTGAGTAAAGGATCATTTTATTCGCGATTATTTTACGATTGCTACAATTCATAATCAACTTTTCGGTTACAGGAAAATTCAGCTCTCTGTGATCAAGTTGCAGACATGCAAAACAGTCTTGCTGTTAGCAAAGAAGAACGCTTAATGTTAGTAAAAAAACTTAATTTATTTCAAGGAGAAATTGAACCTCCTACTTTGACCACTAAAACACAAATTGGAAACTCCAATTCACCTGTGCCTCCTATTGAAATCAGTACCCCTAAGAAAATTGTAAAAAAACGAACTCCAACAGAAGTATCAGGTAATTTTTTGGTACTGGAAATTATACTCTTGATTGACCTAACATTTTCATTTAATTTTTAGTAGAAGCTAAGCAAAAACCAAAGAAAAATAGCAAGACAGCACGAAAAGTTGTCCAACTAATACCATTAGATGTTCATGGCAGACCAATATTTCCTATATCCTTAGGCGATCTAACGGTGTTTTCTTTGGGAGATGTTGTAGCTGATAAACCAGCTTATCATACAGAAGATCTCATATTTCCAATAGGTTATTGCAGTACTCGAGCTTATGCTAGTCTTAAAGATGCTAGAGTTAAAAGTTTATATACTTGTAAAATTTTAGATGGAGGATTTAAACCAAGGTGAGACTTGACATATGATTTTCTTCAGGTTTTACATAATTATGACACTAATTTTAATTTATCTCTTAGGTTTGAAATTGTTTCGGATAGTGATTTAGATCAACCTTTAGTTGGATCTACTCCTGATGAATGTCATTGGAGATTATTATCAGCTATTTCGCCTAGCTTAAGTTCTATAACTCCTAAAGGAGCAGATTTTTTTGGCATTTCTCATCCAACTATTCAAAATCTTATTCAAAGTTCACCAGGGACTCGAAAATTAGCAAATTATAAGCAACAAAAATTTGCAGTAATGTTTATTCTTATGATATAAATTTGTGATATTTTATAACTCAAATACTAATTTTTACTTTTGTTTTTCCTTCAAGATTAAAAAAAGCTTGTCAGACAGAGACACAAGTCCTGCAACTGAGGAAGAAAACGATCCAAGCCTAGATTTTACAGCCTTACACCGGCATTACTCTCTAACTTCTGTATATCCTGCTATTAAACAAGAAATTCCTAATGACATAATACATTTTCAAGGACTTCTTTCTTAATGATTGCTTAAACAAATTATGAAATTCTAAAACGAAATTTAATTTTAAGGATTGAGTATGTACATAATGAGAAATTAACTTTTTCAAGTATAATTAGTGTAAAAAATGTTTATTCAATTAAATAGATCATACAAAAAATTCTTGGCACCAATAAAATACATTTTATTAATTATAATTTTTATTTTCTTTCAAAAATGTTAATGTTTTTATTCTCTTAAGTTTTTTTCATGGCATTTTATATGTAAAGCATAAATAATCGTTGTTACAAAAGATCATTTCCATCAATATTCACAAGTTTATCAGAGTAAATTGACCAATATAAAACATTTATAAAAACTTTGGTAATTCTTTTTTTTTCTGAAACTTAATCAATTCATTAAATAAAGAGTTTTATGAGGCAAAATATTTAAGATGTATCACATACTTCAAGAACAATCACTTCATGTCTCAGTTGTTTAAAGTGAATTCTATAATAATTTCATTTTGAATCTTGCCATTCAATTTATTTTAAAAACATTACAATATATAAATCAAATGTTAGAATCATTTAATAAAGTGGATCAAAAATCAATAGACTGATTAAGTAATGTAACAAAATTAACATAAATAACAAAAGTCTTGAACAGCAATTCTAATATTTAATAATATTAGTTTCTAAGCAATACCCATTATATACAAATATAGTAACTTCAATGTATAATATTGGTTCACACATTTTTATTCTCTATGCTTTTATAGCAATTATTCAAAAATATTTCATCAATATTTAAGCAAAAAACAATTGATTGATAAAATTTTAAAGTAAATGAATGACTAGCTAATAATTACAAAAATAAAGTACTTCTTACTAAATAAACTATCAAAAAAGCGATAATACAATACAATTTTTGCACAATCGCAGCAAATAAACAATTTAAATTTAATTAAAATATCATTCATTCTTGAAATTTTCATTTACAATATTATGTATTTAAAGTAATACATTAAAAGATAAGCACATGCCCAATTGATTAATAAGTTAGCTCTCTCAAACAATTGCAACTCTGATTTTTGTAGCTTCAATAATTACTATCTGAACAGCGAAGTTTAGCTCATAAAAATTGATAAAATATATCTGCATTGGCATAAAATATGTTTCATATATATACACTATAACATACTTAAGTGTATTTGTTAAACCATCTATATCAGTACTTGTATAATTGCGTATTTACAAGATTTATTTCATAATGCTCATCAACATTAATTACACTGTAAATACCCAATAAATTTATCACATTATATATTATATATAATTATTATAACGCCATATAGTATCAAAAGTCATTGAAAATTTACTTGATACAAAAATTATCAATAGTTTTAACTTAATGGGTTTTGTAAAAGATTCAAAACGTCTTCTTGTCACCGCTTTTTAGCTGGCCCAATTGTTTTATTAAATAAGGTATTTGCAATAGCAACAACAGGAGAAAACAATTTGAGTGGGCAGTCACTATAAAAAATATTCATTTATAGCATTCAAAATATTTTATTTGTTATTTAAACATTAAGTAAACTTACCAAACATCTGTGACAGGTTCGGCTTCGTTCCCGCTTACAATAAACAAAGGAAATAGAATGGAAAAAACGCATCCACTGAAAGAAAAAGAAAAAAATTTCAATTTTAGCCAACAACACAATTCAATAGTGAAAATATTATTTAATATCACTTACCTCACAATATATGAATCAGCAAGTTTAGTTGATATTGCTAAAGGTAAACCAAATCCAACAAAATATGGCCAGTTACATTCAATAAAAGTTAATCGTCTGTGCAATTCCCAACCCATGTTGTACCACTTATATTCAAAAGCATACAAAGCATAAAGAAGGCACATGTGAACTAGTGCAAGAGCTTCTCCAATGGGTGGTAATGGAACTTTAGATACCAACACACCTTGACCCAAAAATAGGGCTTGCACTAACACACTGAACAGCATATCTGCAATAAGTTTGCTAATTGATAAAAATACAGGTCTCCCTTGTCGATACCTGTATGCACTATCTGCTATGTCCTATAATGAGTAAAATTTATTATATTCATTATTTAATTCTAGACAAATAATTTTTTAGAATAATTGTTGAAATTATCTATAAAGTTCATTAAAATTATAGTTTAAATCAAATTTTATGTAATTCATTAGAATTAAATTTAAAAAAATTGATGATCAATGAAAATTCATCCATATATATTATGTAACTCTTTAGAGAAGAAAATGATTAAAAATTCGAAAAAACTATTAATATAAATAAATGAAATTGTTACAATTCAGTTAAAAAAAGAACATGAAATTATTCATTGGAAGTGTATCATTGAATTGTATATATGTATTGCTAAATAAAAAGTACAATTATTTTACCTGGAACCATAGACTGTTGACTACTTTGCTTAGAATAAATAATGGTAGAACCCATATAGTACTAAATGTTATGCTCAGAAATGGCTTTGTCCAAGACCAAATAAGCATACCCATGCCTGGTGATTGTCCAAATATTGTAGTTAATATGTACTTTAATGATGGTAAAACAATATACTCAAAAACTATTATGCTAGCCCAACAAAGTCCTCCATTCAAAGCACAACATTGAATTGTTCTTTTCAAAACTTTAGATTCTCTAAAATAAAAGTAAATGAATTTTTTAAAAAAGCATAGATAATAAAAAATCTATAATGAAAATATTAATCCACTAAGTGAAGTATTTAAAGTAAAAATTGACTGTACCTATGGTTCTTGGAAAACTTGGCTGGACTCTGTCCAACAACAGTACTATCTCTTCGTCTGGCATCAGTCTTGAGTGATATCTTTTTCATTCTATCATTAATCTGTTTGTCCATAGAAAAAAGGACCAAACCACCCTTCAGGCTATCGAGGAAACCGCGCCACATGGCGACAATTATGCCCTGCAAAATAGAAAATAATGGAGCATTGAGCAAAAAAGCTCATAAATCACGAATGTGTCTGTGCATAGATAGTACAACTGTAATGCAGCAGCCAGTTGGATTCTATCCAACCGGGCATTACAGATCTTTCCTCAAATAATCTTAGACCGTGGGAAACATGCCATGAATCCAAATGTAGGAAAAAAGTCGTAAAAATTTCATTCTAAAAATATTAACGCGAATTGTCGAAGATCATGAAATACTTACGGCGACGTTCATGATTTTGAAAGATACCGGCTAATGTTTATAACAAGTGTTGCGTTGATGGTACAGAATGGTGTTGTCGTGCAGTAGAGAACAGAGGTGGCAATGACCACTGCGCATCTTCTTCAGTAATGTTGCGTATATTATGAGGTGTGCACGCAACAACGAAACGGCCAACGATACAAATCCTCTTCGCTCCGTCGATTGGCACTCGTGTTGATCACTATCTAAAGATTATCACGCAAAGCTCCAATAACTAGACTCTCCTTACTACTAAGTACGGCTAAACTATATTTATTTTTCCTGCTACACGGTTGGCAGTGACGTTTGAGCAGAATGCTCTACCTACGCACGCACGACAACGACAAAGGATCGAATTTTCGAGCGCCGTGGAAAGGAGGAGGCGAGCTGAGCCGTTCGTTTGTTGCTTTTTCACTGCGTCACGTCAAGTGTCACACGGCCGAGCAAGCGAGCGCAGCAGTCATCAGAGAAGCGCGAGCAGCTGTCTCGGACTGCGCTTCAAAGACCATGATCTATGACTATAAATGATTACCGCGCAGAGTGACTCCGCGTGTCGTGGAGTATGCTTTTTGCACGATATACGATTACGTTTACATGTATAATGAAGCAGGCTTTTCCTCAATGCGGAGCTCGGACTGACGTCCGATTTCACTGGCATTTAATTAGAAATTGTCCGAGTGTCTGCCGTCAGGTGTCGGCACACGACGAACTGCGAGCCAGCTGCTCACGATGTACATAACTAATGTTTTATATTAAAAAATTACAGCCTATAGTCTTTGAGGAATGCAGCTGTTGTGACTTTGCACTATGCATGCATCCATACTGTTGAGCCCTATATTACTACAGATGTTATAACATAATTCTTAAACATAATTCTCAGTTATCAGCTTCAATAAATTGACAAGCACTTTTTAAAGGAGACACTTTATTTAAAAATTATAATTCTTAACAGTTTTGTTAATTAGACAAACTTTTGGAAATTGATGATGTAGAAAAATTTTTGAATAATATAATATAATGGTTCACAACCAACTTATAAGTAATTCACTATTTATCTGAGTTGATTACGTCCCATTGTGGATACTTCCCAATTGTGTTCAATTTCAATTGGACCTCTGATTTCAACTCCTTTTTCTTTTGAAATAACTCCAAGATGATACTAAAATTGAAAAATTATTGAAAGTTAATTTATTTGTAAAATATTTTTTCAAAAAAAGTTTTATTGATATATTACCTTGGGGAAAGATCTAGCATCTCTGTAGAACAGAACTTGCATTACTTTATAGATTAGATTTGTAGCTTCTTCTTCTGTCATTTGACTATTAGCATCATAAGCTTTTGTTAAAATAGGAGTAGCTAAGTATGCACCATATCCAGTAGCAATCACAGGATCAGAAAATGCAGTTCCTAATTTGTCTACAGTACCTAAAAATCTGGAAATAAAATTTGAAGTTATCAATACAAAAGTAACATTTTGATTCTATATATTTTGTAGAAATTATTTACGGTTTTCCATCCTCAATGCCACCAATGATAAAGTTATTCCACAGAGGATTAAAATTGGACCTTTTGTTGTACATAACTCTGGTTAACCAACAATGCAGAGATTTAGGTTTCAATGTAAATCCATCATCCAGACATTTTTCATCAATGCTATAAAGAATTAATTTTCATTATTACTTGTGTTACTGATAAAAGAAATCATTTAGAATATATAAATCATACATTTTTTGTTCAATGAGGCTTCTAAGATATTGGTAATCAGCATAATCGCCACCAGCACCAAGAATAATGTTATCATTAACTTTCATAACACGTTCACAATTCCTAAATCTTGCAAGGGATCCATATGATGCCAATACATCAGCAGCAATTATGATTCCATCTTTATATTGAATTCCTATTACGGAACTTCCAGTAACCATCGGAGTTCTATAAAATAGAAAAGAAACAAAAATGATTAATGTGTAGAAATTGTTAGAGGTTACATGGATGATATTTTTTAATTTCAAGCATTTGTAAGAATCTTCAAAATTTCCAGTCAATGATTCGTAGAAAGTTCAAAATATTTATTTAAGCATGAATTTCGACTCAAACACTCAGGAAAACCTGAGATAAATCGGTCACTTCATGCTACTTGTATCGCAAGTTGTATCGTATTGATAAACATTTGCAATAATTAACTTACTGAGTCCTTTGAATGCCGCAATCATTGTAATTGGAGCTCGACGCTGCTGTTCCTGGAAAATTGTAAAATGCACCAGGAGCTGGGCCGTTTTGCCAAAAAGGCAATGAACTAAAACAATCAGCTTTATTCGGCATCGACATTGTTGCAAAATTTAAATGTCATCGTCCCTAACCTGCGAGGCTGCGGCAAAACTTAGATTTCACAGTTGCGCTGCGCAGAATATGCTTCTGCGGCGCCGTGTCGCAAATCTGTATTAAGATTTAAGTCTGCGAAAATTCAAAATTGGCAATTTTTCTGAACATTCTGCTGCAATTGTTAATTTTAGTTATAAAAACTTTATTAATAATTATACTTCTTGTTGACATAATTTTCAACGTAATTGTGCATTGAATTTTGCAAAAAAAGTGAATAATCTTTGCAATGTAATTCACAAAATAAAAATTTCCAGCTCTTAAAATGATCATTCGGAAAATACATTTTTGAACACATATAAGAGTATATTTTGGAAACAGTTTCAAAAATAATCTTCACATACCATGATTTTTTATGATTTTATAAACGCGTCAAAAGCGATTGAACTTAATATTGCAACGAACCAATAAGATAACGTTAATTTAATTAGAAATTAAAAGAAAAAGGCGTAAAATTTAATTATGTGCTACAATTAGATTTAGGATTTATTGATTTTTCGCCAGAAATTTTTATACATTTGAATTACATATTTCCAAATTTTATAAATCATTCTGGTTTGAGTCAGAATTGATTCATCTCAAATGTACATGCTTGATTTAATTGATTTAATTTGATATTAATATGATTTATTAGAACTAACTCACTAGAAATTCATGAAAAATAATTTAAAAAACACCAATATCAGGTATTTTAATCAGACAATAAGTACATGTTGATAATTGATTTATGCGTTTAAAAAAGATAAAACTTTGTAATAGTAGATAATTTTCCATCTTAATAGATGTAAAATGATGATTGTTTAAATTCTCATAAATTTAGAATGATTATTATTGGTTTTGAAATCATTTCTGTTTTCTATGATAAAATTGTCATGTTTAAATGTCAAAATAAAATGCTTACTTTACTTTACCAGATCTATTCTTGTAAATAACTGGATTCTGTTATAAGTCTTACAAAAATGTACTATACATAACTACATTTTAGTATATCGTCATACTTTGAACATGTAGATAATTTTATGAAACATGTACAAACAACTCTACATAGTGACTATTATATACATATTTTCTCAATCTTTAGTATGTATCATCATAGTTAATCACTTAATCATTCATACTACGAACAAAAAATTCACTGTACATTTATAAATGCTATGTATAACGGCACATTGACTCTTACAATGGTATTAGGTAAAAAAATATCTCTGATAATTTTTAACATTGAATGAAAATTCCTTTAGATAATCATATTATTGAATCTTGTTCTCGCCTGCAGTAACTTCCAAGTTCTTTGCATTTCTCACAGAGATTCTGAGGGTGAACTTTGCTCTGGTCCGATACATCCAAGCCATCAGGTTTTTCCAAAGGTCTCTGAAATACGTGGATGAATAATTAAATAAAACGATGGAGAAAAAGGTATAGAAGTGAGATCGCAGCGATGTGTTATATATGCTGGATAATGTACAATATGCGGAAGAAATTATAGAAAAGAGGCAAGTTGCAAAAGTTTATGTGCATAATGTACAGAAAAAGCTCGAAATTCGATTCAATTAAATTGCTGCACTAAGAACTCAGTTTTTTTCACAAAAAAATTAATTAATACTCCAATATACAGTAGAAAAATAAGCATTTATTTCGAGCCTCTTATGTTAATGCATGTTAAATTTGAAAAGCTGCTTGCAAGCTCGTCATCACAATTGGGTTACACACAATACAAGTAGGTTGTTGGAAAATAATCAAATCGAGCACACGCGAATCGATGAAGAATTTGGAGACTCGCGAGCATTAAATCCCGGCTTCACTCATAGGTCTCGCGGTCGACCTTGAACATAACTTTAATTAGGTTCCATTAATGTACATTTGTGCGAGTAACTTTTGTATACGACACAGCAAATTATTCTCACTTGTTTGTGGGGGTAAACGTTGATGCGGCACTTCATGCACTCCTGGCCCATATTTGCCCAGCTGTTTCCGGACATCCACTTACGCATGCACTTGGGACACTTGTACTCGCCGAAGCAACGTTTCTTGCCTTGGTAAGGCGTTCGACCTTCTCCCTTGGGATGAGCCTGCAACAATTTCTATTCGTTACATGATTACTCTCGTAGCTGATATAGACGCTTCGTTAAAATCTGGTATATGACAAAGCTAGCCAAAAAGGTTTAAAAACTCACTTGCGGACAATCTCTGATGTAATGACCTTTCCTAAAACACGAGTGACACATATAACTTGCAGGGGGTTTCTTTAGCGGTTTTGAATTTATCGATAGGTCGTTTAATAATTCGGAAAAACTTTCAGATAAACCAGAGTTCTTATTTTTAATATTCACATCATTGAATAAATTATTAACTTGAGGTAAATGATGAGGCTGCATCGGTGATGCTCTGCTCCACCAGCCAAGCCGTTGAAATTCACTCTGTAGCTGAAACAAGAATCACAGAATCGCTTGACAATTTAGCATCAATTTTACAAACTAGAAAATAAAATTGAATAATCTGAATCTACCTGGTCCATATTTTGAAGATAATCTCTTCTCGGCGATTGGATGGCTGGTTCGGCAACTTTGAAATAAAGATAATTGCACTGATGCAGACGATTGTTGTTGGCCACCTCGTGCGGCAGATGTTGATGTTGAAATTGATACGGGTGGCACGCAGTGCTAGCCATGCTTTAGTGCCGCTTGAAGCTTTTAGGTCTCCATATTCTAATGCCTTTTTTGGTACTATATGGGTTACAGATTATTAATCTGCAAACGAAATGACGGTAGAATCATTGAATATTAATGTGGTTTTTTGATCGTAACTTTGAGAAAAATCCAAAAGATTTGTACGAATTTTATCGTAAAGAAAAACAACAAAATTCAGGGAAAAAGTAACTTTTTTTTTCAATATCCAGTCGAAGAAAGAACTCGTCGTCGCTGGCATAAAATGAACGTAGAGCTCGAGGTATACAGTTGAACGACTCATGAGTTTTGATTTACATTCGTAGAAGAGTCGTAACGCCACACAAAGCCCTTCGAACTTGATTGTTTCGTCGCGGCACGCATCGATATGTGCTACATAAATAAAAGTCGAATCTGACGAATAACAGACGCTTACGCGTAAGCTCGCTAACTCAAGGATCGAATGTACTTTCTTTATCGATATGTAAGCGCACGCATAAATGATCTAAAGGAAGGCACGCAAGTTTATCGTGGCGTAATATAATATATTTAGGTAATGTATATACGACGTCGCAGTAAATGCGCGACGTTTCCGATTTGAAATTTTATTGCGCGTACACGAGCGAGCTGCGGCATTGCGGGGCGCGACGTCATCCGTCGTTCGTATGGGCTATCGGCTTCTCGGAAGTAAACTTTATAATATATGTGTATATATAGTAGCAAGCGAGATCGCGCGTATTTGACATTGATTAAGTGCCTCGCGCATTTTTAATCGTTTTTCTCAAACGCGCTCGAACGAGTACCGCGAACTTTAAAAACATTACGATGTTTATTGTTTACGCTTACAAGCTCGCCAGCGTCAAAATCTAAAATGGCTTGAAAATCAAGTGCAAAATAAAAGCGTCGATTTTCGATATTGCCTCCGTGCGCAACTGACCGAGCAATGCCGATATCGACGATCCACTTTTCCGAATACGACACGTACGCGAATCGCAAATATAGGCGTAGGGTTTATTTTTTAAGCGAATAAACACGCACGATGAGTAGCGTCTCGCTGTATCCAACATATAAGACAGTACGCGTAATTCTTGAAAAGAGTCGAGCGAAGCGCAAGTTGCCGCGCGCGTCTGTACGAGGAGACGCTCACTATATAATGATACTCCGAGGCGCAATCGAGCTCGGGTATTTTTGGCCTTTTCTCGCACTTTCGATGTACCATTCACATGCATATTTGCTCAAGCTTCGTGCGCGAATATTCACGCACGTTAAAGTCAAATCTCCGTAATTATCGATAAGAATTACGTGCTAAAATGCGAGGAAAAAGAGGAAAAAATTAGATTGTTGACTCACCGTCGGGGCTGCAATTTACAGAAGCGTCGTTTTTAGCTTTGATCTCGTTCGAACTGCGTATTTCAGCCTTAAACTTGTACGAAAGCTCTCACTTGCTTGCGAGAGCAGTTGCAGCTGACAGTGCGTTGGGAGGCGAAAAATAGCAGAATCTCGAGTCATGCCACGATTCCAAAGGCTATTTACTTTTTGGTACTTTTAACGCGGCACATTACAACGCGAACGAGAAATTGGTAAGAAGTAATGCATGAGCCGATCATTGCAAACGGAAGAAATCACATGGCGAGCCGTCGGTAATTGTATTACAAGATGGGCCACTCGTCGCTATAAGTCGGCACGGAACTGCCATCGACGGGAGTGAGGGATGCAGAGTCGGCGCGCGGCAATAAGTCGAGAGCGTCTGGACCACATCGAACACGGAGAGTCAGGCAAGACTCGAGACTCGAGCATGATCTGGCGCGCGCGGGTGCTATCGTGTGTTGGCCTGCACGCTCGTTCGTAATTCTGCGCCGGCCCATGCCTGCTTCTTTATTCACGCAGTTTGCCTCACTGTTTATATAATAATATACATGCACACCCATATACAGGTATTATAGATGCACGTGCTCGTATGTGCTGCGCGTATCGACTACTAGCATTGTTGCGACTAAATAAAAAGTTGTGATCGGTGCCTGCGACCAATCATTCAATCATTCTTTTCACTTTCTTTTCAAATCTTCATTTCTACATTCTTTTTTTAACAAGTTTTTTATTCTTATTTTCCACGTCTAAATACATTTGAAGTGTTCGGTTTATCCTTTATTTAGGAATTCAATCGTGCCAGTTGCAACGCGTTACAAACGTATCTGACTCTACGATAAATTAATTTTAAAAGGTCTCCGTTTTAATATTTTTATAAAACATTATTTGAAACTCGATTAAATATTTTTACTGATGCGGTTATATTATTTAACAACGATCTTTTTTCATTTTTTATTTCATTCAGAAGCAATAATTGTATATCAATAACGCACATTATCTTAAAACAATAATTCTTTCATACATTTTAACGTTTTTAATTGTAAATGGTATTTGTATAAATTAAAATCATTTGGTGGTACACAGGAAATTGCAGTTTATTGAAGTTCAGTTGGTCGAGCTCTCAACTACAACTGCGAATCATAAAAGCAAACTTCAATAACCACGTGCAACACACAGATAACAGATTTATACAGCTGCTCGGCGAAAACAGTAAAAATATTCTTCTCTGTTAATATAATAACTTTATCAAAGTCTCTTGAGCGTGAAAATTTGAATGCGATATGTGCTACAATGAGGAAAACCAGCTCTGACCAAATAGTGGCATATTTACTAGCGTTAAGAAACGAAAGCTTCCATTCGAAAGCTCAAGAGCCTTGAGATATCATAGCGGTATGGAAAAAAAGTAACTTGTCGACCTCTCGCAAGTGCCAAGTGCATCCAACACCTCGGCGCAGCACCTATGATATCAGATCTCCTTCGCATTCCATCGGCGGGCATTCGCTATCGCTTCCTGAGAATCTTTGGCCAGCGCGAGACATCTTTACAATCGGGCCATGTTCCGCGACCGAAAGCTATTACTTATTCGCGTATGCACATATAGCAAAGCCGCTGCTGCGAGCTATCCTCGCGCAACCAGAAGCTACTTTCGACCTTTGAACTTCGAAGCTGGAATGAGCGACGCTGGCGTATGTGAGCAGCCAGTTGCTGTGGCTGCGCACACGATCCACAGCCCCCCCGCGCTCCCGCGTCAAGGATACGCACGCAAACCTGTTTGGCTGCTCCTAATATTACGTATATCCGTTTAGCTGTGCTTGCAAGCTTATATATACGAGTCAAGCCACCCTTCGCGGGCCAGCAACTCATAGTCGTCGCTAGTACAACTTCTGCTGCTGCTGCTGCTGCCAGCACATAATAACGAGTGAAACACTGTAATCGTGATTCGTCCAATGCCGTATCTTTCTCAAGTTTCCTTGTAGTCGAAAAATTTATTTCATTTCAGCTTTTATTTGTTCTTACATTTTTTACGTACTTTTTCCGCGTTCAACATCTGAATTCAAGGTAAGAGCTTGCAGGAAAACAAATACCACCGCATAGTAATTAGTCATCGTATATTAAGAAAGTAATCAAATAATTCGATTGAAATTCTATCAAGTATCATTGATTACAATAAAATTAGTCACCTTTCTTTAACGGAATTGTAAAAAAAATTTTATTTCGTCTTTTGTTGGCTCTGTTAAAAAATTATGTAAAAAAAAATATTAAGCCTGTTATAGGTATCGTGTTATTGTTAATGAGTTATTGTGGCTACGAATTTCATTTGTTCGAATTCTTTCAATGCACTACTGAATTCAAAAAGTCTCCAAACATTTATATTTAGTTCCAAAACAAATGCATCCATATTAATTCATTTGTGTAGCTTTCAGCATTATATTCGGTACAAATCGTACAAAACGTTTAAAAATTTCCTTTTACCAAAACCTGAAAGTACGATTCTTTTTATAATTATTTTCAACTATTTTTACTTTTAAATATATTAATAATTCTCAAATTGAATATAATATTTTGAACATTCAAAAACTTATAACAAGAAATATTTTTTAATTGAATTTCAATTTTCCAATAGGAATTCTCGCATAAAATAAATAAAAGCTTGCTATTTTAAACTTTAAAACTTTATAGTAGATTTTACAGTAAATTGCGCTACTTAATTAGAATACTATTAAAAATTGACGCATTAAAAGAGGAACACGCAAAAAAGTCGTTGAGTACAGATATTATGTCACATCCGCATATTTTTACAATGCTTTATACGAAAATCATCTATTTTTTCAGCCAAAGAAATTTTCTTGATAGGAGCAAAACTTTTTTATGCACTATGCGACATATTCGTATTAGGAAACCAAAATAGAACATTTGCGTGCGTGCCACGACCGCAACAGCAACGTTTTTTGCACAAATTAAAGATAATAATATAAAAATATATAGAGCTTTGCCAAAGCGGTAGGGGGTGGGTGGCTCGCGAGCTTGCGTTTTTGTACATGCTTCTAAAAAAAAGTCTATCATTGTTCAATCATCGACACGAGTATTGCATATGTGCGGTTTTTCGGGGAAATTTCTTTATAATTCGTAGTTACCGGTAGCGGCGGCGTCGATGGCTCATTTATATACGACGATTTAACACGTGAGTTCCTATTATTTCGAGGTCAGGGGCGATGCACAATAATAGGAGGGTAACGAAGTTTTTCGACAATTTGCCAAATGCCTGCGTTGTTTCTTGTATCGTGTGCTGCTTGCCCAGTTGCGTATGCACGTCGAACAAGTTACTTTTTTACGTCACACAAATAGCGCACAAGGATGTGAGTCCACGTGCAGCACATTACATATACATACATATATACAGACATAGATTTGGCTACTTTTGAGTATGACGTACTTACGAGAGAGCTAAATTTTCGTGCTCTCTGCTTTGTATTTAAATCGATTAAACATACAAAATGTGCGATTTAAGTGTAGCTGTGTGAAACTTATCTTTAGGGTAAATTAATTGTACGAAAAGGAGCACAAATTATTCTATATTTTCAAAACCACGATGACAATTAATTTTAGCGATTCGGATATATTTTTAGAAAAAGTTTTTTTTAGTTTTACCATATTACCTGAATATTTTCTTAAAACTTTAGATTGTAGTTATTTTTATAAGTACAATTTCTACTAGAAACTTTATAAAGCTATAGAATCCTCTTCAAATATCCACTCGATTTATTTATTCTGCGGCTATTATAGAGTATTCAAAAGTAATGACTGCAACTAAAGCATATTTAAAGAAAGATTATTCTATGTATATCAAACTTTACAGTGTAAACCTCTATATGTACGTAATAAATACAACGATTGCGAGAAAAATTCAAATTACACGAGAAAAAATACTTAAATTTAATGTGAAACATTGCCAGCACTTATATATGATTTGATATTGTAATTCACAATAATTGAGACAAAATTAAAGTACACCCATATTTGTTAATTTACTTTTAAAGTATCTGAAATACATTTACGCGATTTCATTTTACAAAGAAAAGTTAATTCATTGTGTAACTGGATAGTTCACGAGAAGGAATTTTAAAACTTATTCTATTTATCATGTTCGACTATTTTAACAGTCGTTATTTCATTATTAATAAACTACTCATGAGTAGTATAGGTATTTGGCCCTATGAAAATAATGTTAAAAAGTTATTTTTAAAAAGTTTTTTCATTACCTTCATATTCATATCAGCTTTACCGCAAGTATGATATAACATATAATTTTTCGTTTGCAATCGATTACATGTAATATTATCAAATGTTCTAGATCTATGGGTTGTATAAACATTTCGGGCATGGCGTTGATAAAATAATTGAGCATTCAACTCTTACCTTATATTTATTCCAAATTGAATTAAAATTAGTGACTACTATTTTGTCTGAAAAAAAGGTGAGATTTTTATTAAACTCAAATGGTTTTTAATTTTATCAATTGTTATGATTTATAGTTAAAAATCTTGTACGATAGTCTGGAAAAAAATTGGAGCTCAATCAAAAACCCTGAAGAACTGCATTTGTTTCGTAAATATTTAGAAAATGGAAGATTTTTAACCATCGGCTACATGAGTATTCATCTATTTTCTTATTCGCTTCTCGACTGATACATTTGAATCATTCATTTGGTCTGCATGATTATTCGCTGATTTTTAAAGAATTGAATCATTTCGTTTGTTCTTAGCGTACATGACATCTGCCATGCTTTTCTACGTCATTATGCCAGTGGCCCCAACATTCTTCGAAAATGTTTTCTCAAGGATGAACGAAACAAAATCCTTCGACTTTGTAATGAAGGGAGAATTTCCTGTTAACAATATGCGTGATTACTACTTTGAAATTTTTATATTCGACATGCTCGTGTGCGTAGCGACTGTTTTTGTCCTCGGTGCAGTCGACAGTACTTACGCTGCTTGTACTGAGCATTGCATTGGTTTATTTGGATTGCTCAAGTAACCTTTTACGTTTTTTCCTCGTCGCACGATACAAGTTAACATCTAGCATTATATTCCTCCCATTTTAGATTTCGCTTAGTAAATTTAACTCCGAAAATTTCACAAAACTACAGTGACATGGCAAATTCAAATTACGATCAAGATGATGCCACTTATAATTTTTTTGTAGATACCATAAAATTACATCAAAAATCAATTCGGTACTAACAGATTGTATCAATCGCAATTATACACTATTACTTTCATTTTTTCCTAGATTTGCAGAAATTCTCAAAACTTCGTATTCTCTTACATTTTTAATTCTAATGGGTGCTACTGTAATTTATAGCAGTCTTGTTTGTACCCTTGTAAGTATAGAAAATTTCACCATCAGTGCAAGTTAAAATGATTGCTTTTTTCACTTTTGATCCAGATCCTTTTAAAGGGAGATGAGTTAAAAGATCGTTTGAGATATTCAGGTATTTTTGTTGGACTATTGATCCATTTGTTTTATATCAGTTGGCCTGGGCAAAAATTGATTGATCACAGTACAGGTCTATTTGATGATGCGTAAGTTCAAGAGTTTTAATGCTCATATTGATAGCTTAAGTTATGGATAAAGCTAACGAAATAACTTTTTTTGTCTATTTTTTAGTTATACAAACAAGTGGTACGAGTGTAATTTTAGAACAAAAAATTTATTGAGAATTGTGAGATTACGTTGTTTGACACCATGCCAATTGACCGCCAGTGACTTGTACATAATGAATTTTCCAAACTTTGCTGCGGTATGGACTTGATTATCTTGCGAATCAACACATTCAACGTACTCAGTAATTTCTCTTTGCAGGTTCTCAAAACTTCAATGTCCTACATGACCGTCCTCGCATCTTTCATATGATTTATTTATGAAATGATATTCAATCTCAATTAAATTAAAACGGTCAGCTCTATATTCTTCAGAATCTCGATGCACAACAAATGAATAGATTTATTTTATTTTCGATCTATTGAACAGTCTGTAACTATTACAACGAATTTATTCATTTCCGTTCGTTCCATTTTTTTTTGCATAAAAGTGCTCGCCTTTCGTCCTTTCGTGCACTGCCTCAAACGTGCGAGTACAATGACATAAAGACAGTTGTTAGAGCATGCTAAGTAGGTAGGAAAAAGAGCTTGGAAAAAAGCTGAAGGAGCTGCCTCGGTCGATATGCCTCAATAGCAAAAAAGCTAGCACTCTATGCCCATGACAATATGCAGTAGAAACGTCGACGAGGCAATGGTTGAAAATTGTCAGCCAATTGAACCAAGTGAGAAACGAGCAATTATCACATTTACGTACAGCTATGGTACTTTTCGTTCAATTCTTTGACTTTACACTCATTTCAATAACTATTTCTATTTAATCTTTTCTCACACTATTAAATTTATAATAATTATCTTCAACCGACATTTCTTATTATCATTTAACAGAATTTTAATTTTTGTCGAATAAAGAGTTCCAATAAAACTTAAAATATATTCCAATCAGAACAAATGTTGAACTTTTTTAAACCAGCGTTTAAGAGCACACGTTCTTAACTAAATCAACTCTCGCGGAATTTAAAATATATTAGGATTATTTTTTAAATTTCACGACATTTATAAAATATCCTCAAATAGCTTCGTTTTATTTGGTTTTCTTTGATTTGTTCAAATTATCAAGTTATGGATTGTAATTATTTATTTATTTATTAATTAAATACGTAGCTAGTTTGAAATGCAATATTAATACTAAGAGATTAAACTCTTAGCGAGTAAGATGAAATAAAGCGGTTAATTCAACGCTACAGTTGTGAACATTTTTCAATTTTTTAGATTTTTAGGGTAAAATGTAATGTTTTTCATGGTCAGCTGTATTCATCAAAACTTTTTCGCGACTCAAATTTTATTACGCACCCACATACTTTTAGAATCAGACAAAAATCATGAACGTTTTTGTTGAAAATTGTCCGAATTTTTAGAAAAATAATTCCTCAAAGTGATTTGAACATTATGCTAGAGGCTTGTTTCAGTAAAAAGAAACACAAAACTCAAAATCTATTTGCGTTCGATCTGGACTTTTATCTCCAAAATATTCACAGTGTGCTTCTTCAAAATATCAACTACTGTTTCATATATTTTTTGCAATGAAGCTTCGAGTCTAAAATCCTGGACGGATTAAAGTATGTTGAAAAACATGCAAAAAATATTATAAAAAGATACAAAAAGCTCGAAGTTGCCAATAACAGTCTGCGCAGGTAGTAATCGACATTTAACATCAAGATCTTCATGTTCGCAGAAAAAAAATTTTTTTGACCTCTCGACATCACTGAGAGTCAAAAAAACCCTTGATTTTTTTAACATTATGTTACCATTATAGTCGAAATTCTAATTAAACTCTACGATTCACTTCATAATGATAATAATCACTTGCATGCGAATCGACAAATGCATTACACGTTTATGCTTTTGTTCAAAAGCCTATTGAAGATTTTCATTTATAATGACAATCTAAACATAATAAGTGAGCATCGAGTTTATTTTCCGAAGAAAATCATGAAATTGCCAATTTCATAATATTCAAATATTGTCTACGAAGAATGTATCATAAAATTAATCATCACGTTTTAAGAGTGGATAATACGATAATTTGAATTAAGAAAAAAAAACAATTAAATTGAAGCACGACGTGCAGACTTATAGCTATATTAAAAATGAGCCTGTACATCCATAAAAAGTCGGAGCAGATAATAGCACATTGTATGACGTGGTTAAAATGAAACCATTCAATAATGTCATATGTCAATTTTTCAGTGTCGATACATGGTATAGCTGTTGCACACTTTAGTTAAAGTTTCAGCGACAAGGCATTGTTTGCCGATTAGACAGCGATCCGCGTAGACTGCAACGTATCTAGAGCATTACAATGTGCTTTGAACTTTTAGCGGGTCGTTCAACGACTCGTAATACAGTGTGTTCAATGCACCCGCAGCTTTTTCTCGAGCTTTCTTTATACGCGCAAGCAGCAGAATCCGAATTTATCTCTCGCGCTTTCTTATGGACGCGATCGTCATGTCTATAGCCGCGGGCATATGGCGATGCTATAACGCGTACAGCAGCTGCAGTGTACGCTATGTGTACCAAGGGAAGTCTAAAGCTCGTGGCTGCAACGACAATCGATATGAGGCCGTTCATATTTTTGCCTCCTATATGCCGAGTCGCCCACCTAGACTCAGTGTCTATTCGCGTCTACGAAACGACTCGTGTATTTTAAGTATTATATACAAGCATAGCGAATATATATATTGAATTATATATGCATATCGTGTAAGTCGCGCGCATCCGTCGATTTTCCTTTTCATCCCCATTCCTCTTATATGCATATATGTAATGTATATGTATATGCAGAGCGCCGCTAGCTCGTCGGCAAAAAGTCTCTCTCTGTCTCGCTCGCGGGCCATATCTTGGGCGTATTTCAATTTATGTTGTACATAAGTTTTATTTTGCGGGCTGCATGATCGTGACTCGTCGCTTGAGCTGCGGCTGACACGCTCCTAGGCCTGCTACATTTTGGCCAATCGATGTGCGTCCGCTTCTACCGCTGCTTTTGCCATTGTCTAAATGTATAAACACCGTTGAATTATTTCGACGTATTTTCATATTTTCAAACGGAACTTGGTACTTTTTGAATCGAGCGGCACGACTCCAAATCGAACGCTAACGAAACGCAAAATTACCGTTGAATAAATTGGGATTCGAGTCATCACGATTCGACGTCACTTTGAAAAGTCCACGATCGCGTGTTTACAGCCAAGGCGCAGGTATGAAAGCTTCCAAGCCTGTACAAAAGATTGTTGATATTTTTCCTCTATATCCTATATATCTATTAACCAGACCTGCTCGTCGCTTTATTAAGCTATATATATACGACTGTGCAGTTGCATTTTGTTTGCGCTTTAATTATGGACGTACCTAAAAATTTTAACAGTCCTTCAGTTAGCTTTTATTTTATTATCATTATTTGTTTTAAATTTTATGCGAAAATGTGTGATACAGTTGAATTCGAGACAGCAAACTTTTTATACTTTACCGAGAGTCAAAAATGTAAGCAAGCTGTTTTATTTCCATAAATTATGCAGTTATTCTTCTTGTGTCTCAAATTACAATTGAATATTTCATTACGATGCATTGATTTGACCATTTTGCACTGTGCGTACATGACCATATACTTTTAAAACAAGTTGGTACACAATTTATTTTTACCCTTGATGTTTACGTAATTTTCCTCTATTTTACAGTTTCATGCAAATTACAACTCAATTATTAAATATGCTCTAAACAAATATCAATCAAAAATAATATAACCTCTGTGCGATAAAAACAAAAATCGTTTTTGATCTTGATACATTTTTTATCCTTTTTTTTTCAAATAATTCATTATTTCTCGATGCCACTTAATTTCTATGTGAATAGAAAAAGAATTTCAAGTTAAAAAACTTACCTGTATTTTTTAGTGGACGTAAGCAGAAGAAATGGATTTTAAATGGCAGTCTGAAAAATCATAAAAATGGAAAGGTACGAAAACATTGAAGTGGTTGGAGAAGGCAGCTACGGTATAGTAATGAAATGTCGGCACAAAGAGACTGGCCAGATAGTGGCGATAAAAAAATTTCTCGAGTCCGTAGAAAATATTCATGTAAGAAAACTGGCCTTTCGAGAAATACGAATGCTGAAGGTAAGAGTCAAGACATTTTATCATAAACCTAAGCGAGCAATGGACATAAAAAGCTTGTAAATTTTTGCAGAGATTGAGACACGAAAATCTCGTGAGTTTGATCGAAGTTTTCAAGCGGAAGAAGCGCTTTTACCTCGTCTTCGAATACTTGGATCATACGATATTAGAAGAGCTGGAGGCTGTGGGTGGTGGTCTCGGCTTCGAGTTGTCTCGTCGGCACATTTTTCAGGTTCTACGAGGCTTGAATTTCTGCCACCACAATAACGTAAGGAGAAATACCGAATCTTATTTGAACTTTTAAAAAGCCATTTAAAGTCGCTGTAAAATGGTTCGATCGGTTCGCTGGCAGATAATGCATCGCGACATCAAGCCGGAAAACGTTCTGGTCTCGTCGCACGGGGTAGTCAAGCTGTGCGACTTTGGCTTCGCACGGATTTCGGGGCCGAACGAGTCGTGCACGGATTACGTGGCGACCAGGTGGTACCGGGCGCCGGAACTCCTCGTCGGCGACGCTCGTTACGGCCGAGCCGTCGACACTTGGGCGGCTGGCTGCCTCTACGCCGAGATGCTGACGGGCGAGCCACTGTTTCCCGGTGACAGCGACGTCGATCAACTCTTCCGGATCACCAGGCTCATGGGTAAAAGCAAACTTAGCGTCGGATGCAGCGACGGATCGTCCGACGGCTCGAGTTCGAGAGAGCAATGAAAGAGCGTTTGATCCATAGGTGGTCTCTGCCACAGGCATCAAAGCCTGCTGAACCGCAACAGCAGCCACGGTCGGAGCTTGCGCAAGGCCAGCGTGGAGAGTCTGTCGTATCGACACGCCACCCTGACGAACTTGAACGGGCCGTCGGCTGCCTCGGCTCGGGGCCCCAGCGGAGGCCTCCGATCGCTGCGCAATCATCTGCCCTGCTGCAGCTCCAGCGGCCTGGACTTTCTGTCGCAGTGCCTGCGAATGGACCCGGACACGAGGCCCAACTGCGCCCAACTGCTGCAGCATCCGCTCTTCATGCAGGACAACTTCGCCGAGCGCTTCCTCGTCGAGCTGCGGGACTACGTGGCCAAGGAGGCGGCGGGAAATCCTCTGCTGCAGTTGAGACGCGTCGAGGAGAGGAGGTTCAGCGTCATGTCGCTCGAGGAGCCGCCCAGAGTCTACGCCACCGGAGCCTTGCCGAGGTGCGACTCGCCAGCGAGTTCGATGTCGATGCGAACTCCGTCCTCGACGATCATGGCAACGTCCCTTTCTTTTGCAGGTGGAGCATGAAACTCGTGAGGGAGCCTTCGGACAAGATAAGCGCGGACGTCAACGTCAACGCGGACTCCTTGAACCAGACGCGCAATTGCAACGGACGAGCTAATAATCGTCAAACGCCCGAGCATCCACAGCAATTACCGATCCAAAGGAAGCCTCTGTCCCGACCGAGAGAACTGAGCTTCATCGGCCCGACCAACGTCCAGCCCAACGCGACTTACATTCGCCGACTGGAGCACAAGGGCCTGCTACCGATGCTCGACTCGAACAATGGCAAGAGCTGCACGCTGCCGATCCTCGCCTCCAAGGAGTCGCTCCTGTCGAGCAGAGTAGCCCCCAAGAGGACAAAGCTCGATGTCTCGTCGAGCAATGCGATCGCGTGACGTTTGGCCGCTGTCGGCCCGGCGCCCTCGCTAGCCCAGACCAATCATAGATAATACTCTTATTATTTGCAGACCCACGTCTTGTTCCTCGTCCCAACTCCTACTGTAATAATATTGTATAACTGTAAAAATATTTATCTAATTTATATTAGAAAATGCTTGTTTTTCGTAATCAATCATATCCTAATGATAAATAAATCATGTGATGACGTGTGATTAACGTACATTATTCTGTGTAAATAGTCTGCGCAGCATTTTTTATAGCATAATTCAAGTATCTCCAATTTCGCGAACCGTTCAGTTTTCGCTCATTTACAAAGGATCAATAATATCATTTTAATTGAACAATTTTCAATTTTTCCTTCAAAGTATCTTTGAAATCAAAGTTACTAAAAAGTATGAATAGTTTATACCTTAAAAATCTCAGGCACGATATGTGAGATAAATCATCATTCTTTGAAAAAATACTGCGCTTATCAAGCCGATTTTTATTATAGTTTATGTATGCAAAGAAAAATTATTGCAAACGAATCTCGTTTTTTTTTTAATTATCATACATTCAGTTCCAAATTTAGGAACCATTTATCATTTCATCTCAATTGAAGTCGATGCAATATTTAAATGTACTAATCTTATTGAAAATTAAATGAGTCTTAAAAATTAAAATCGTGGTATATTTACTTAAAAATATCATTTTCATTTTATAAGTTAACATCTCAAAATGTCAATTCTATCAAGAATAGACTTACAGATAGAATCCTTATTCAACAATGTTTTTTAAAATTATTTTTTGTATTTACTGACCTATTAAGACATTGTGTCTTTTTTCGTATCCAAATTACATCTAATATTATAAATGAAGACAATATGATCACATCATCATTGAATATTAAAAATGAATAAAAGTAAATCAAGTCTCGTGCGCGTAACAGATTCTCTGATATTTGAATAATATGCGGGGATAAAATAAAAGTTTCATCAATATAAACAGTACTACGCCTTTAAATCGTTATGTAAGCATTTTTTTCGATTAACATTTCCAATGCAAAATATTACTAAATTCAATAAACTTGAGCTAATTATTATCTCAATTGTATTCCAAGTCTATGCTCCACTGGGGGTCTCGTTGCTTCGACATCGCCTTCATACACACGCACACATACTCATGCATGCAACAGCTTACATCAAATGGGTGTATACTGCTTGGAGCGTCGCGTGCGTAATCAAGTCTTCAATATCAAAGATCCGTTTTTTTAAATATCTTTTACGCGCGTACTCGGCAAATTTCATCACATCATTCGCGGATGAGACAAACAAATATCGAGCGACCACACGCGAATTCATTTATTCACTCTCATTTGTCACTTCACTATCGAAAGGTACTTAAGTATCCGTGCTCATCGGGAAAGCTCGTAAAATTGCATTTTCTACCACTCGCAACAAAAGCTTCACTTCTCACTTCCTGTCGGTCTTTTTCATTGCATTAAGGGAGGTTACATTTTTCACCCACACGTGCGCTTACTCGATCACCAGCGACATCATGAAAGAGTAATAAATCAAATATTATTGTTTTAGAAGTATTGTAAAACTTTAACAGTATTACAAAGTATTAAATTATTTTGAATAATGACACTTTGGAAATTATTGAAGCCACTTGTAATCCAGTGGCCTTCCAGAGGTTTACATACTTCTAATAAATTGTAAATATTTTTGTAATGTCTGGTAGAATTTTAAAAGTTTATTTATTAATATTTTTGTTTTAATTTTAAACAGTTACGGAGCAGTTTTGATTGATGGCCAAGCAATAGCAGAACAAGTACTAGAAGAAGTTAAAGCAGAAGTTGAAGAATGGACAAGAGCAGGAGAGAGAAGGCCAAAACTTATTGCTATTTTAGTGGGTGAAAATCCTGCTAGTAAAGCATATGTTGGAAGAAAAATGAAAGCTGCCAAAGCTGTTGGAATTGACAGCGAGACATTAAGATTTTCAAATGATATAACTAGAGAAGAGTTATTAAACTCAATAAAAAAAATTAATGAAGATCCTACAATAGATGGACTTTTGGTTCAATTACCAGTTCCTGAACATATTAATCAGCAGGAAGTTTGTCAAGCTGTGTCTGCAGACAAAGATGTTGATGGATTCCATTTAGAAAATATTGGAAAACTTTCTCTCAACCGCAAAGGAATTATTCCAGCCACTGCTTTAGGAGTTAAGGAGCTAATTGTTAGATCAAATATCCCTACTTTTGCTAAAAATGCTGTAGTCATTGGTCGATCAAAACATGTTGGATTTCCTATCGCTTCTTTACTTCATTCTGATGGAACAGGTAAATTTTTATTATTCATACTGTATGAATCATGATCATTTATATTCTAATAATATTGATACAATTTATTAGGAGAGACACCTGGCCTTGACATGACAACAACAATCTGCCACCGTTACACCCCACGTGTAGAGCTTGAAAAACACACAAAACTAGCAGATATTGTTATTACATGTGCAGGAGTCCCTGGTTTAGTGACAATGGATATGATAAAACCAGGAGCTTGCGTGATTGATGTTGGTATTACAAGAATCAAAACAGATGAAGGTAAATATAGATTGGTTGGTGATGTGGATTATGACAATGTGAGAAAAGTAGCTGGACATATAACTCCAGTTCCTGGAGGTGTTGGTCCAATGACTGTGGCTATGCTTATGAAAAATACTATGATTGCTGTTAAAATGATGAAAAGTAGGAGCTTGAAAAATGGTAACTTGCGTTACATTAGTTCCTAGCAAAAAATTTAATTTATTCTATTTGTAATTGTATATTTTTGTGATGATGCTTGATTTGATAATGTATTATTGTAATGTTTTATAATACTTCATTGTTATGTGTCATTTTTACTAATTTTTTTGTACAGAGAAAAACATGAATATTATTCAACATTTTACTACAATTATATATAAGTCTATTTTCAAAGAAAATGAAGAAATCGTTTTATTTCTTGACAATCATCTTCAAAAACCTCTATTCGGAATTCATAAATCAAAATTAAATCAAAATATTAATTTTAATCGCTAATTATTTCCTGAAATTTTCTTATCAATTGTGATAAGGTCAACTCAAAATTTGCGTTGCCGAATGTTTATGTCCACAATCATCAACAAATTCGCATTTTCTGCGTGACTTGGCAATCGGCTGCTCGGTGTTTTACGGTTTTGTGGTTTCTTATCGTCTGCTGCAACACAGACGGGCAGCTGTAAATACAACACGCATACACGTATATTGCCTATTTAAAATTCATAAATACTAGCATGCTTACCAAGGTCCTCGTTGGAGCTGTTCGACTGCAGCGAAACACTATAAATTGCATTGTAACGGATTATTTGAAGCTTACAAGCTGCCAGTTGTCCAATATCGCACACCACAGCATGACTCGTCCCAAGGTGTTCGTTACTCGAGCCGGCTTGCCCGAAGCCGGATTGAAATTGTTACAAGACGAGTGAGTACATTTCAAGTATGAAAGTTCTTGAATATTTTCAAGTCATTACGATTAATATGTATTTTTATTTATTTAGATGTGATGTTGACATTTGGGAGAAAACGAATCCAATACCTAAATCGGAATTGATGGCCAGAATCAAAAATGTGGATGGAGTACTATGTTTGTTGACTGACAAAATCGACGATGAAGTTTTAAATGCTGCTGGTTCAAAGCTTAAAGTTATAGCAACCATGTCTGTTGGAGTTGATCACTTGGATTTGAAAGCAATCAAATCAAGAAATATCCCAATTGGCTACACACCAGGTGTTTTAACAGATGCTACTGCTGAATTAACCATGGCTCTTCTGTTAGCTACTTCTCGAAGACTCATTGAAGCTAATAGAGCCATTTATAAGTAAGAAGCATAATTACATTCTTATTGTTTCTATTTTATTCTAGTTATATATCTCAGCTATAATTTGTATTTTCAGAGGAGAATGGGTATCTTGGTCCCCAACTTGGATGACAGGTGGAAAACTTTCTGGTTCAAATATTGGTATTGTCGGTTTAGGCAGAATAGGACTAAGAGTAGCAGAATATTTGAAGGGTTTTGGTGTAGCAAAAATTCTGTACACTAGTCGTACTGAAAAACCAGCAGCAACTGCCATAGGTGCTGTGCATGTCGATCTAGACACTTTGTTAAGAACAAGTGATTTTGTAATTGTAACAACAGCTTTGGTGCCAGAAACAAAAGAATTATTTAGAAAAGAAACATTCGAAAAAATGAAAAATACTGCTATTTTTATAAATGTAAGCAGAGGAGAAGTTGTTCATCAACCATCTTTAATTGAAGCTTTAAAAAACAATAAAATTAGAGCTGCTGGATTAGATGTAATGACACCTGAGCCAATACCTCTGGATAGTGAATTGTTAAAACTAGATAACTGTGGTACGTATTTTATAATTTTTATTTCAATATGACAAAATGTTGACCCCTTTTCTAAAATATATTTTATGTCCTTAGTTATCACACCTCATTTGGGAAGTGCATCAATAGAAACTCGCGCCGAAATGTGTGTCATATCTGCAAAAAATGTTCTAGCAGTACTTCACAATAAGCCTGAAGAAATGCCTGCTAAGTACAATTACTGAAGATATGAGATTTAATATTATTTAGAAATTATTTTATTGAAATTTATTCTTGTTTAATGCTTGAAAGTTATAATGTAAAGATATTTATATACATATAATGTAAAGATATTATATATACATTTATATATTTATACACAAAGAAAGTTATATTTTTAATCAAAAAGTATTCATTTATAATGAATTATAGAGATTACTATGTAATTATAGAAAAACAAAATTTACTGTAAACAATTTTATAAAAACAATACAAAAAAATTATGTTTTATCCGATAACTTATTTCCGATATTTATTTAAAAAAAAAATTTCAAACGAAAGTATAAGTTCGTCTTCTAATTTTAATTCTCAAATTATTAGCAAAAATAATTTTTTTACCTACTGCTAAAAAAACTATTAAAAATTAAAATACTAATTAAAACTTTAGACTCGCTCAAGTCTTCAATTAATAGCGCATCATCTGTATCAGAATACGAAGGGATCGGGCATCCCCCATCTACGACTGTCAGTTTTACGGGTTACCTCATACTCATTGCTTTACGTCAGAAGTTTCCGAGTGATGTAAATATACAATACATAGAACAGTCAAAGTAAATATTATCCTCGTATAATACACAATGATTCCATTCTATCCTAAATAACGTTTTTCCAGTACAAGTCAAATATACGAACGTATGGAATCTGAATCAGTATTAACCGATATTCGTTGAATCGCGATACGTATTTCAACTTTCGCAAGTTATTAGTAACCAGCTTACAGGTTATGTGCAAAAATGCATATATTATCAAAGAAAATCTATATTGTGACTACCATTTTAGGTAAGATTTTTCGATAAAAACGTAAAAAATCGTTGAGTTCGTTTATTCCTATTAGTAAATTGTAACGACTATTTTTACAGTTCTACACTTGACGTTAAGTTTTGGAGAGCAAAAAACTTCTGTAAATGTGGATGAAAACATCCCTAATACAGGAAAAGGTGTAGATGAAGATAATGCTGTAAATTCAATAGACGATGGTACGAAGAGTACAGAAAATGTGGGAAAATTAGGTAACATTTTTTTAAGACAATTTACTTATGGTAGATCAAACACTCTCTTTGTTTGAATTGGAATGTATAACTTCAGCTCCTAAAAAATTAATGTAATTTTCTGATAATTCATTCATATTGTTGTACTTGGAATATTTTTTGAGTTGGGTATCCCTATTATTTAATATTAAAACTATAACATATTGTAATGGACAAATTAATCTTATTTTTCTAAAGATATCATTCATTGTTCCAACTACAAGAATAATATATATTTATTAATTTAATGATTCAAAGCAAAGAACCAACAAACATTGGGTGAAATTCTCAATAAAAAAAAGTCCATGATTCATTCTATAAAAAAGTGTTTATAAAATTATTTTATTAAATGCAAAAAAAACAGATATTCTTCTTGAAGAAAATGACCTTCCTGTTGAAGAAGACAGTGAATATTCTGATGAAAAAAATACTGAATCTTCTGTACCTTTTACTGAATTTCTAGGATTTCTTGAATCTAGTTCTAAAACTTCTGTTGAAAAAAGTAATGTTACAATAATTGACCCTAATGCTGTGAATTTAACTAAAGTTAATTGTGTGACAGACAACTCTTACGGACCAGTTGAGGTAAAAATCTTGTTAAAAAATGTGTTGTTATAATAAATTTTTCATTGTCATATTTTTTTAATTTTTAGATTGTTAATTATACAAGGTTTTTAGAACTACTCATTGAAAGTGGACCTTCTAATAAAACTAGAAATAATAAAGAAGAAAAAGCTTTACCTGGTAAATGTTTGTTAGTATTTTTTTATGCTCCATGGTGTGTCTTTAGTAGCCATGCAGCTCCTCATTTCAATGCAATATCAAGATTTTATCCTCACCTAAAAACTGTAGCCATTGATGCCATAAAACACCAACAGTAAGTTAATTCATGTAAGAAGAGACAAATATTTTGATAAATTATTCAACTTTTAATTTTAATTTTAGTTGAAACTAACAATTTGATGAGAATACTAGTTGAAATAATTGTCTTGAAGATATCGACGGTCCCCACGAAGAGTAACACATTTCTATTTGAATTAACACACAAACGTGTTACTCTTCGTGGGGACCGTCGATATATTTTATTTGCAAAAAATGTATCAATGCACAAATAAACGTATTTGCCTTTCAGATATAATACGCAGTATGGAATAGTGGGTGTTCCTACATTAATGCTTCTTCATAATTCAAAGCCAGTTGCAAAGTTCAATCTCACTGAGTATACTTTGGCAACTTTTTCCACATTCATATCAACATCAACAAATTTACAGCCAAATGAATCATTGTATGTGACATCAGCAGATTTTAGTGGACCTCTTTCTAGTACAGTATCAACAGACACTGATTACTGTTTGGTTCTCTCTTGTGTATTCATCGTAGCTTGCATAATTTATTATACAATGCAAAGTCAATGGTGGAGACAATTCATTGAACAAGTACAACATACATGGCGAGAAAGCAATGCACAACATGAACATGCGGAATGAATAATTTAACTGTAAACAATTTGAGTAACAAACTGAGTTCTTTGTTACTCGGGTGTTAATTTATTCATTAATTAGTGTGATATACTTGACTAGGATGTGGATAATGTGATAATAAACTACGATTTATGTTGCAACAAATGTAAATATTGAAAAATATACTGTTAAATAAAAAATTTCATTAATTAACTATATACAGAGTTACAATTTTTAAATGATCTTAGCCATTGCGTTTTTCATTGCACCTTAATATTTAATGCACTCAATATTTAATGTACATTAATATTTTATCAACTCATCATAACTTTGTAATAAAATCGCTCATTAATTATTATTTTATTAATTTGATTATTAAATTATTTAAATATACGAATTTACTCTTTTTTATAATTCATTTTGACTAAAAATATTTGTTCAAAAACAAGTTTGGATATAATTGAAACGAAAAAACAATTTTTCAACTTGTCGACACTCATTTTTTCGAAATTATCATTTTTATCTACATAATATAAGTTCAAAGACGTCATACACGATCTTTTGAAATTTATATTCATCATAAAAGCTTTAACGATATTTTCATTTTTTTAAAGTGTTTAAATTGGATAATATATTTTAAAAACTACGTAGCCTTAAGAATGGTTATAGAAGTTCCTATTTCACACGTCAATTACAAATTTATCCATTAATTAAGATAATCAAGATGATTTGGAGTACTTTATATTTATTGTGCTTTCTTATTCTCATTACAAAAGCAGACAAGGTAAAAAAAGAGCTTACAAAAAATGTCATTGATTCCGAATAATGTATGTTTTATGATCTCAAGATTCACGAGTATATGACAAAAAAAGAAATTAAATCAGTTTTTGGTGTGGATCATAATAATGGTAAAATGTGAAAAATTTATTCTGATAATTTTGGACAAAATTAAATTTTAAATCATGTTTTCAATTTAACAGTACCTAATTTAGAGTACGAAGTAGTTCCTGTCTACCATACTCTTGATGGCAATGAAAAAAAATCAGCAAAATCCATGAATTTTAAGGCATTTAAAAGAAATTATACATTGCAATTACAAAAAAATGATGGTGTACTCATTGGATCTGAAACCCCCATTTACATTGCCAGAATTTCACCAAAAAACGAATCGGCGATAATTTACGAAAAAATGAAATTTGTATGTAATGCGACTGGAAAATAGTTCGTTAAACCAATTAAAATTAATTTTTTCACTTGCTTAGCCTTTACCAAAAGATTTGAAACTTTACCACGATGTTCATGAGCGATCATCAATTATTACGCACAAAGGCCAAGAAGACAATCGACTTCACATTGTGAGTATATAATATGGATCTTTGACATAAAATATTTTGGATTAAATTTGAAATATTTTTTCCATCAGAACGGCATAATTGAAGATGGTATTCACTTACGATCTTTACCTAGTCGGGTTCATGAGAAAGTTATTGAATATAAAAAAAAATTTGAACCTAATTTCAAGTCAGTGTTACATTCAACCCGTTCACCTTTAACTTATCACGTTGCCATAAAATCAAATTACACATATAAGCCAAAGCAGTATAAAAGTTTTAAATCTTCTTCAGGTTCGTTTTTCATAATGTCATCAAAACAATGTTGAAATAATAAGCCTAATTATAAAAAAAAACACAATGTATGTTACGTTACACAGCTATTCAAAATTACTTCGGAGTGCACACTCAAGGGCGCATAAAACGTCACTCTGATATACCTCCAATAATCGATAATACAGTGTATCCAAAAATCTTAGTAACTCTGGATTATGAGTACTACCAGTAAGTGCAGAAAATACAACCAATCTTATACTCAAAAAATTCAACATGTTTTAATTTTAAAAAATAATCATGAAATGCCTTCAGATTATTTCATGACGATGTCAACGAATTAGCCAAGTATATGATAGCTTTTTGGAATGGAGTAGATTTGAAATTCAGAAGTATGTTTGATCCAGAAGTAAGATTGAATGTGGCCGGATTTATTTTACCCAAGGTAAATTAAAGTTTCTAACTTTTTTCATAAATTAAAGATTTATTTCACTTTATTATTTTGGGAATAATTTATTTCAAAAGGAACCCAAAGCAGTTTATTATATGATCGAAAATCATCGTCATAGTGGAACAATTCTGACTGAAGAAACGGTTGAGTCCATTGGCCGTTACTTCAAACATATGACAGACATACCACATGAAAATTACGATGTTATCGTCGGACTAACAAAGTATGTAACAAGGATATATTTTGATGCTCTTTTTGAAGTCGATTTTGGCTCGATCATTCGACACTTTTATTTTTCAGTCGCAATTTAACAGATTCGACATATATCGATCCACTTTCGGAGATCAAAGGTATACGCAGATATCTTGCCGATTTATGTATTGAAAATCTATTAAGGAGTATAAAAACGGATTTTTCTATCGTAAATATTGATTTGTGCAGGAATAGCTCAAATTGCTGGAACTTGTTTCCGAGGACTCAACGCAGCTGTCTTGGTGGACGCTGGACTAGGCACCGGTATACACAATGCAGCACACGAATTAGCTCATACGTTCGTTCTTTTACTGATGTAATTCTTTATTACTTTATTTACTTGATTATAAAAAATTCATAATATTTTAGATTCGATGTGCATCACGACGGGCCTGAAGCTGAAGAGGCAAGTGGAGAGAATTGCGATTGGAACGATGGATACATAATGAGCTACAAGAGGAAAAATACGAATTTTTTTTATTGGTCAAACTGCAGCATCGTCGCCATGCAAAAATTTTTCAAGTAAATATGAAATTCAAATTGTTAGGAATATATTAACCAAAATTAAATTTTAAATTACAAACTAAAGAAAAATTTAATAAACCGATATTTTAAAGTGATCCATCGCGATCGGCGTGCGTCAGACATAAACCGAATCCCGGTAAACTTTTCCCCAGCATTTACCCAGGACACGTGGTGAGTCGCAATAAGCAATGCCTTCGCTATACTGACGATAAAAAATTTTTTGCAGAAAAGGTAACATTAATATTTGGTTTTATCACTTATTGTAAATGTAATCTTAGAATAAAATTTTTAATTCATTCGAATAATAATGAAATTTCAGAGTTCGCAGTCAAATTGTATGAATTTAACTTGTATTAAATATTATCCAGATATCATAATGTACAGACACGTAATTCCACTAGATGGCACATACTGCGGCGAAGGAAAAGTAAATTTGACTCTGATAATAAAACATTATACCTACAATCCGAGTTACTGAATAATATTTACATAGTTTTTTTTTTCTACAGTCATGCTTTGGTGGAGAATGTATTTTTGATGTGAATTCGAATCAGGCGGAATTAGACCCGGCCGATATCACGGATTCAAGCGAATTACCAGGCAAAATCTTCACTCGAAATCGTCAATGTCAATTTGCAAACAAAAGTTATTATTCGGAGAGCGGGGTAAAAATGTCGCCATATACAATCTGTATTTTTTGATTACTTATTTAGCTAGAATACAGGATGGATAGACAATAATGGATTTTAAAACGATCGGTTTCATATTCGTATTTTTCCTTCAAGGATATAGAATCTGCCGCTGACTGTAAAAACCTAATATGCACTGACGGAGAGGAAAATATAAAATTGCCTTATCCACTTGAGGATGGTTCTTTTTGTGGACCACGTCAGGTAAGCTTTTTGTTAAAGAAAAAATTTCTCATACAAGAATTCATTTTCATTTATATTGCTGTGCAGATTTGTTATGCCGGAGCTTGCGTTCCAGACCTAAGTGCTCCAGAACTTAAGTTTCCGGATAAAGTTTACAGCCGGGAAGAACAATGCCAAGAAAAAAGTTCTAATTTGCACGCATTCAAGGCGAGTACCTATGCTTTTTTGGTAAATCTATAGCATGCCTATTACGTTTAGTTCATTTAATTTTTTACATTTTTTTAGAAATACGAGCACGATTGTTCATTTTTACGTTGCATAAAAGTTATTAATGAAAAGGGTGATACTGTTAATTTCGGTACAACTCGCTTTACCTATCCTCCAGTCGACGGTACCTACTGTGGCAAAGGAAAGGTACGATTATTAACAATATTAAAATATCTCGTTTTAACTTTAACCAACCTCTTACGTTTCAAAATAGGCTTGTTTCGACGGATATTGCATCGATAACGAGCATGCGGTGTACGAACCTAATAAAGGGAAAAATTGGGAACATTTGCCAGGCAGATTTTTTTCTCGTAACAATCAATGCTACTTTTTCATGCGACAAAATGATAAAAGCCCTACGAATATTTGGAAATCAAATGAAGTAAAGTCTACACATTATTGAAGGGAATATCGACGCCTGATTTCTTGTACTTTTTATCTGGCTTCGATATCTCTTTCATTTGTCTATGCAATGGTTCGAACGAAATTAAAAACGAAATTAATTATCGTAAATTCATCCAGGCCATGGAGAACGTATGCTCGCACTTAAGCTGTGAGTTTTCCGCTACTCCAGGAAAAATGCAAAATATGACATTCCCTCCAGTGGACGGTACACCGTGTGGAAAAAAACGGGTAAAAATTAGAGAACGACTATAGTTTTTCATGCAACATGCTCCAGTCAATTGAAACATAAATTTTCAAAAAAAAAAAAACATTTGCACAGATTTGCTTTGATGGTGAATGTGTTGAAGACAAAAAGCCAACAACAACAACGTGGAGCAAGTTCAAAAGCTTTTTCGGATAAATTCGCAGAATAATACCGATCAATTTGGTATTTAATTTAGAATTATATTGATAAGATATGCTCACTCTTTATAATAACTTCCTAGTTAAAAAAATAAAACTATTCGATTTTATCATCATTACTATATACTGTCAAGTTTTGTTTTATTAATTGTCATATGAATCGAACGTTTTTAAAAAAGGTTGGGATAACTTCACTGAGTCTGAGGATTTTGTGCACTGCTCAAGTGCTCACTTGCAACCTCTTTCACTGCCATCATGAGTAATGTTATGTCTGTCAGTTTGTCTATTTTTCCGAGTAACTGAAGTGCTTTATCGACTTACCGTTATTAAGATTGCGCGGGAGAATTTACCACGTCAACTGTCTAAATTCATAAAGAAAGTATATTCTGTAATATAAACCTGCAAACTGCACAGTGCAAATAGTAAGCTGGCTGACGAAGCGGTGGTTGGCAGAACGAGTAACGCCATCAAGTCATTACAAGTCCCTCCAAAACATCAAAATTTAAGGTTACAGTAGCTATCAAAAGAGCTCTCTGTGTAAACACGACAGTGTGAATTTGCGTGATCGCATGACTTATCCGGAGATGTAAACAAAATATTTTATGCTAAGCATTTGAAAACAAGGTACTTTTTTTTAATTTATTTAATTACAACTTTGATTTAAACATCTATTAAAAGAAAGCATTTTAGAATTTTGCGAAACATCTTCATCAAGGGTGACCAAACTGTCAATCAAGATGATGCATCGGAGAAACGGCGGAAAACGCATCCGGATGGACGATCCAGTTCCTCCGGAGTACGAGACTTCCATTCTCAATGATGCCTACGGCGATGATCCGAATAATGCAGGCGAAAATGATTTGTTGAATAATCCGAACATGCGGATAACCCGGAATACAAGAGCGCGGCTAAGAGGTGGCGTCGTTCAACAGCCTAAGTACCGCGAAATTGACGAAGATACAATTCCCTCGGCACCTTCGCATCACGGTACAAAAAGTCGACGAGGTGGAGGCGGCGGTCGGGGTAGACGTGCTGCTGCTCACGTTCAACAGCAACAACAACAGCAGCAGCAGCCACAGCAGCAGCAGCCACAACAAACACATCATCTTGAAGATGAAGCTAGTTTGTATTTCGAAGTTCGTAATAGTAAGGGTTCATTGACTGGCATAGTCGATGAATGGATTGAAAAATATAAAACTAACAAAGAAAATGCTCTTCTTATGTTGATGCAATTCTTTATCAGCGCAAGTGGCTGTAAAGGGATAATTACCCCTGAAATGCAAACCTTAGAACACGTTCACATAATTCGTAGAATGACTGAGGAATTTGAAGAAGAAAGCGGCGAATATCCTCTTATAATGAGCGGTCAACAGTATAAAAAGTTTAGAACAAATTTCTCCGAATTTGTTCAAATCTTGGTTCGCCAATGTCAGTATTCTATCATATACGAACAGTTTCTCATGGATAACATTATTTCGCTTTTGACTGGATTATCAGATTCTCAAGTCAGAGCTTTTAGACATACAGCAACATTGGCTGCCATGAAATTGATGACTTCTCTTGTTGATGTGGCTTTGACAGTATCAATCAATCTTGATAATACACAAAGACAGTATGAGGCTGAAAGATTAAAAACAAGAGAAAAGCAAGCTGCTGGTAGATTAGAATCACTTCTCGCTAAAAGAAAAGAGCTTGAAGAAAATATGGAAGAAATAAAAAATATGCTTACATACATGTTTAAATCAGTGTTTGTCCACAGATACAGAGATACTTTACCTGAAATTAGAGCCATTTGTTTGGCAGAAATTGGTGTTTGGATGAAGAAATTTCATCAACAATTTTTAGATGACTCATATCTTAAATATATTGGTTGGACATTGCATGATAAAGTAGGCGAAGTTCGTTTGAAATGCCTACAAGCCTTACAACCACTGTATGCATCAGAAGAGCTTAAAACTAAACTTGAACTTTTCACAAGCAAATTTAAAGATCGTATTGTTGCTATGACTCTTGATAAAGAGTATGATGTTGCTGTACAAGCAGTTAAACTTGTTATTTCAATTTACAAGTATCATCGTGAAATTCTTACTGATAAAGATTGTGAACATGTTTATGAACTGGTTTATTCTTCTCACAGAGCTGTTGCTCAAGCTGCTGGTGAATTTGTCAACGAACGCTTCTTTACTTCTAATGAAGAAACTGAAGAAGTGAAAACAAAAAGAGGAAAGAAGCGTTTACCAAATACTCCATTTATTCGAGATTTGGTTCTTTTTTTCATTGAATCTGAACTGCATGAACATGGAGCTTATCTTGTGGATTCTTTAATAGAAACTAATAATATGATGAAGGATTGGGAATGTATGACTGACCTACTGCTTGAAGAACCTGGTGATACGGAAGAGGCTTTAGATAATCAACAGGAAACATCACTAATTGAAATTATGGTATGTTGCATAAAACAATCAGCTACTGGTGAAGCTCCTGTTGGAAGGGGACCAACGAGAAAAATTTTATCAGCTAAAGAGACTAAACAAGTGCAAGAGGATAAGCAAAGATTAACTGAACATTTTATTAAAGTTTTACCAATGTTATTAGAGAAATATCGAGCTGATCCTGATAAGTTAGCTAATTTACTCTCTATACCTCAATACTTTGAACTTGATATTTACACCAAATCACGACAAGAACAAAATCTTGATTACCTTTTGAAAAAAATACATGACATAGTTGATCGTTCACACAATACCGAAGTTTTGGATACAGCCGCAAAAACATTAGAATACATGTGTGTACCTGGATCAGCAATATTCCGCCGTTGCGATGTAGCTCGATCTACTTTAATTGATGCAATTGTTATCAAATACAGGGAAGCAATTACCAATTTTCGCTACATCGTTGATGGTGGTGATCAACCGAGCGATGACGACTTATTTAATATAACAGAGACACTTAAAAAAGTCGCTATATTTTACAGTTGTCATGACATGAATAGCTGCGAAATTTGGGACTCCCTTTTCAGAGATATAAAAGAGTCCAGGGGTAGATTACCAGATGAAGCTATGAAGTACTGCATAAGCGCATGTTTTTTCTCTATACTCTGGTCTCAGAACCATCTGATTGAAAATGCTGAATCAGATAATCGCAGTGAAGAAAAGTGTTCTATTCTTAAAAGTAGACTTCATGAATTCATCAATCACATGAGTTATTTTATTGATAACTCAGAAGATGATGTATCCATTATCATCCGTGAAGAAGCATATAACACCATTTGTGATTTGCTTGTGATATTTTGCAACCAATTAATGAGTCACAAAAACCCACTTATTCATCAACTTATATATGATCCAGATCAAAATATGCAAGAAATGTTGAACCGTTTCATACAGCAATGTGTTTTTGCCGAAGCTGAAGAAGATGATCACGATGAGCACTCAAAGATTGAAGAATTACATAAAAAACGTAATTTCCTTGCAGCCTATTGTAAACTTATTGTTTACAATATGATTCCAACAAAAGCTGCTGCTGATGTTTTTAAACACCATGTAAAATATTATAATGATTATGGAGACATAATTAAAACTACAATTGGTAAAGCTCGAGACATTAATAAAGTTAATTGTGCTCTGACCATGCAACAAAGTTTGAATATATTATATAATGAGATTGCTGAAAAAGAAGAAAAAGTTGTGCGTAATAGCGAAGAGTTTACTGCTATTAAGGAGCTTGCAAAAAGATTTGCTTTATCATTTGGTCTGGATGCTGTAAAGAATCGAGAAGCCATAACTGCTCTTCACAGACAAGGAATTCTTTTTGCTGTCACTACACCAGATGGAATTGAAATTGATCCCACTGGTCCTCCTCCTAATTTATCATTTTTGGAAATTGTTAGTGAATTTACAAATAAGTTATTAAAGCAAGATAAACGACTCGTTTTAAATTTTCTGGACAAGCATTTACAAGCTGGTATGCCATCATCAAGAGGTGAAGACTGGCAGCCTTTACTTTTATACAGAAACAGTTTATTACATGGGGATACTGATACAGTACCAGTGACAAGCAAAAGAGCTTATACTAGAAGAAGAAAAGATCAAGCAGCTGAAGAAGAAGAAGCGGATGATGGTGAAGAAGGTTCTGAACATGAATATGTTGCATATTAATTTTAAGATAATAATAATATATATTTCATCTTTTTATTCTCAATCATAAAGTATTTACAAAAAACAAATTATATCTCTTAGTTTTAGCATTTTGACATATTTAAAGTGAAAACATTAAATGTTCTCTGTATTTAAATAATATATTATATTATTACAGTATAAATTTAAGCATTATACTATGAAACTAATATATGTTGTATATATTATATTATATTGCAAAATGATTTTTCAATTTAAAATAAAACTGCTACACCCGAAAACATTTTTTAAGTTCTGTAACTACTCAATTTTTTCCTATTTTTATGTATATTTTATTATTGAAAGAGTTGTAGCTCTACAATCTGCTATTTTGCAGTAGTATTTATGCAAATTAATAATTACAATGTTATACCAATATGCTCAAAAATAAAAATTTTTCCATTCATTCAAGTCAATTAATTCTATGTGCTTTTCTTTAAACGATTTAAATCAGTGTTTGGAATGCTTCAGTTCAAGTTGCTTCAAACAATCGATTGTCATTTATTTATTCAATTTATTTGTGGGACGTTTGAAATAAATGAGAATCAAATTCAGTCTCATCATTTATTGAAAATAGCTTTTATACATCATCGAGTTAACTTGAACTTAAAAATTTATTACTGTGCCTCCTGTTATGGCCATTACTTTGCGCCTCTTTATATGCTGCCCAACTTCATGATTCTTGTATTGGTGATACTGTTGTCTGCAGACTACTTATACGGTTTGCCTCTGAAGTTCGTTCATAATCGTATTGGTTTTTTATACCGATCCGTTCTGGCGGTCCTACGAAGTTGGATTTCAATTTAACATCCTCTGAAATCGGATTTCATGGTTTTGGGTAACATCGTGATTGGTTTACAAACCTTTTTGACCCTGAGAAGAACCCCAATCATTTTTAAGGTTAGAAAAGGAAAATCTCAGCTGGATACTCATTACCATGGAGATATCTACCTAAATTGTTTATGTAAAATGAAAAATCGTTTTCTCATCATCAAATATTTGTGCGAAATTTTATGAAGATCAAGTGGAAAAAATGGGTTCCATTAGTTTGACTTGCCCACTGTGTTGTGGAGAGACTTTTGATAATTTTGAATCTCTGAAGTATCATTTACTCAGTATAACAGACAATTTGTATTGCCCTGGTTGTTCATTAAGAATGCACTCCATAGCAGAGTTGACACAACATTTGGATGCTTGTCAAACCGAACCAGGAAGTACCACAATTGAAGATGAAGAAAACCATGAAAATCAAAGTTCAACTTTAAATGAAGATGTAAATGATATAATTATGGTATGTTTAAAAAAATTATATTATACCAATAATATTTACCAATAAAATATTTTAAAAGAGACCATTGTTAATTTGTAATTTATAGTACAATTCAACTTGTTACCCAAGTTTGAGTGATGACAATTTCCTTGCAACAGTTAATGAAGCTGGTCAAATGATGACAAGTGATGGAAGAGCTTTACAAGTAGACGAAAATGGTAAAGATTTTATAAATATTTCTTAGATAAAATTATTGAAATCTCAAATAATTTTTTAGGAGACATACAAGTTGTTGAAAAAATTGTTTGTAATCAACAACCACTCACAGATCCTTTTGAAAACAATTCCAGAGATTCAACTGAAAATGAAAATATATATATAGACAACTTAGCAACAAATGATATGCAGGAATCAGCTTCTGAAATAATTACCGATGAGTTAGTAGATGTAAATGATAATTCACCCATGAGTCTGCAACAAATAGAGGAACCTGCTATTAATAATACAGATTTATTATTAATAAAAGATGAAAATTTAAATAAAGAAGAGGAATCAAGTACTACATATAATTGTAGCACCTGTGATATGAGTTTTTCTTGCGTTCTAACTCACATAAATGAATATCACAATGGACAAGAAGTAGTTTTAGAAATGAATGAAACATTAGAAAAGGAATTAATGCTTCCTGTTACTAATACTAAAGTACCTAGTCAAATCAATTCTGCAGCCAATAAACCTGTACAAAAATCTAGACAAACTATGAATACATTGCAAACAGAAGAATGTATTGACAGTGACGGTAGATTATACACTAGAAAAGTCGTTCAAATTGAAAAATTTTGGGATAGACAGCCAGTTAACTTACCTAGCACTAAAGCTCCTATGATTGAAAAGTTTTTTTCCAATGTAGAAGGAGTAAAGGTAAAATTACTTATGCTCAGTATTTAGTAAACTTGGTATTAAAATATTAATACTTAAAATTTCATCTTTTTTATCAAAGGTTCGAGATAAAAGTGTTACTGTAGCCCCTACAAAAATGTATAGATGTAATCAGTGTTTAGAACAATTTGCTAAATTAAACGAATTTCATGTTCACATGTGTTTACAAGGAACAAATCGATGTCAACATTGTGAACAAACATTTGCTACCATGAATGCATTAAAAAATCATCTGAAAACACATGATACTGATTTAACATCCCAACAAATTTTTCTTTGTTCTATTTGTGGTACCGAATTTTTCACCCATAAAAGTTTACGACTTCATTCAAGAATGCATCAACCAGTACGTACAAGGCATGTTGACGCTCCTGAAGGTGCAGAAGAGGAAACTTTTCAATGTCAGGAATGTGGTGAGTTCTCAGTTTACAAATACTTTAATTTTTTTTTTCAAAACTTTATTTTTTGATATGTATTGTTACAGGAACAACTTTATCCGAATCATATCGTGAAGCACACATGGCTCTACATGCAAGCGAGCCAATTACTTGCACTGTATGTAACAGAAAATTTGATTCTGAAGAAAGTTTGATTATGCATGCAGCAGTTCACATGGATAATAGTAATTCTAATACTAACGATGTTTTAACAAGTCCAGAACTTCACTTTCAACATCAGTCTCAATCACCAGAATTGCTAAACCAAGACCTTTCGTCAATGAACCTAAGTGTAAACGATAGCAGTAAATTAACTGAATCTTTGAAATCCGAAACTATTGTATCCACACAAACTACTGAACAATTAAGTGAACAAGCTGACCTTCAAAATCTCAAGCCATACCAATGCCAGCATTGCGGCCGACGGTTTATGCGACCTCATGAAAAAGTAAAACACGAAAGGATACACACTGGCGAGAAGCCTCATTCATGTGAAGTATGAATCCTTCTATTTTCAATCAATGAAGGTTTTTTCTTCATGCAATTAAAGTTTTCATTATTTCCTAGGTATGTGGTAAGAAGTTTCGAGTTTCTTATTGCTTGACACTTCACATGCGCACTCACACAGGTGTTCGTCCATACGAATGTCAACATTGTGGTAAGCGCTTCAAAGCTTCATCTGTGTATAATCACCATCTGTTGACACATGGCGATAAACGAGCTTATACATGTCCATATTGTCCAAAAACATTTAAAACAAGAGTACAACTTGCTGGACATAAAAATAGTCACACTAAACCGTTTCGCTGTACAGAGTGCTCAAGACCGTTTGCTTCATTATATGCTGCGAGAGCCCATATACAAACGCATAAAAAAGTTAATAATCTCAAATTTAGCTGTGCTATATGTGGTGCATCGTATGGTCGAGCTTTTGCTTTGAAAGATCATATGCGACTTCATCCAGATGTGACCAATCCACCAGAAGCATCCAGGGAAGAAGAAGTACAAGAGGAAGATACTTTTTTGCTTCCCCATGAAGAAGTTTTATTGAATGAAAATGAACTAATCGTTCCATCAGATATGGTAGTTGAAGAATGCTGATAATAATTATGCGCTAAAATTCAAGTGTATTTTTTTCCATAATGTTATAAATAGTTAGTTTTGTTTTCGCATCTATTAATATATATAATAATATATATTTTACAATTACTTTGACTTTTAAACTTTAATGTTACTGTTGACATATGTTTAAAAGTTTAAATTCAATTTATAAATACAATTCATGGAGCTCGTTTCTAAACTCTATTGAAAAAAAGTATAAAACTTTATCTATACCACGATCTTTTTTGTAGAAGGTGAAGTCGCTTAGGACATATTTTGAATATAAATAAACTGACTGATCAGAATAATGGCTTAAGAAGTATATTTGTTATTAAAAGATTTATTTTACCGCTTGTTGCTATACAGTGAATTTAATGGCAGAGCTTCTGAAAGTTTTAATACACCAAATTATAAATAATTTATATTAAAGCTCTGAAAAAATGATGTGTATATTAAATTTCAAGTATTGTATAAAATTTGAATCCATTTATTTTAATTTTATTCCATTTTATTAATCTTGCACGAAAATTTTTCCATATGCAGTTCTTTAAAAAAAACACAATACAATTTTTATAATATTAGCTCTAATTGAAGATACCAAATTAAAAACAGTATTCATAACCAGTATTATCAAAATGATGCTGTAATGTTTTGTTTTACAGGTAAAAGTAGAGATCTATACAGACATTTTTAAAATCAACCTTAGAAAACACATACAAAAATTTGAAATTTACTAAGTTTGAAACATACTGATTGCAAGTTTAGTTAGTTTAGAAGTTTAGTAGTATAATATATTTGAATAAGAACAAAATTCATCACTTTAAACAAGTATTCATAATTATAAACTTATAGACTAAAATGACAACTCATGATACATACTAAATCGTGCCCTTTTATTAACTTTTCATCTTTGTTGTAGACAAAGCAAGCCATTGTCGGTAAAAAGAAATTAAAATTTTCATATAATCCATAATAAAAGTTACTAGAAAACCCAAAGCCAATTAAGTGCGAGGTGGTCGTAAGCAAGGTTTGTAATTTACGAAGAAATTTCAAAAACTTAAGGGTTTGCAAGAATATTGAAATACAAAATAACTGTAATCGTCAGCACTTTCTCCGAAAGGGAGTATAACTATCAGGAACTGTATGAATCTTCATATTTACATTTATCAAGTAAAAACAGATGTGATACCTTTGACATTGAAAAAATTGATTATTTGGTGGCTGGTGGACTTTAGGCAGGTGAAAAAATTAGTTATTCCAAAACAGCAATTTATAAAATACTTCAACAGTATTTATTTATTCACATAACTTAAAAGGAAAATTTCTCTGACGAAAGATAGAAATGTAGATGTCAATTTATTCCTTTCTTTTATTTTTTGTTGTTGTATACATCGTTTTTCATGTTTTGATCGCAGTTTCGGTCTTCTTCCAACTGATACACCTTCGATGGATTTTTGTATACAAAGTAAAATTTAAGTATTTCACAATAAAGCATCGAATGTGTACGTGTGCATTGGTATCTATGCGTGCTTTAGAATGTATACAATTTTCAGATCACGAACAAGTCAATTTTTGTTAAAAAAAAATATAATTCATCCCAGCTCGTGACAACAATTGTTTAATACAGGACTAATTCTTTGTTACATTTAATTTATGTTTATAATTATAAGTTTGTAACAAAATGAAATTGTAAAAATGTTTACAGTATAAGAGTCAATTTATATGTATAATTCCCTTAACTAATTTTTTATATATATATATATATAAAAAGCGAAAATCTCTAGTAAAATTCATTATATAATATTCACATGATTTTTCTTTTCTCTTAATTTTCGTTGTTTCTCCTGAAAAAACGTGCTTTAGTCGAAGCATAAGAAAACTTGATTTGGTAAAAAGTGTTTTCTCAAGATAATATTGCACAGCTTACTTATACGTATATTGCTCTCACGTATCACCGGGACATTCTCACCCATAAAAACAATCAAACGCTCAATTGCTTGAAATAATGTCGGCAATACAGCGTCGTTGTAGACGGCGCAGTATCAATCGAACACAAAAGCTCCTCCTCGCTCTCAGACAATTTGTCCAACGACAGTAGGTACTCCCGATCAAAAACTCCTAAAATTAATAAAGAAAATTGAGTTGTAATTTCAATGTTACCAACATCGCTGCAAGATACAATTATTTACCTTGGTCGATATTTCCCCGCCCTAGTACAATAAAGGCTAAAAAGAGAATATCTCGGTACACAGAGAAAGGCGATTTTTCGCCGTTCCGGTTGCGGTGGCGTTCCAAAGCCACTCGCTTGATGGGTTCTACGAGGTCATTGCGTCTCACGTAAGTTATCACATTTTGCATGAATCTGCGAAGAAAACAATTGTCAATTGAAGAAGAAAACTATTTCAAGACCAAAATAAGACAAACTTACGTTCGATCTTCCACGTTATTTCTCCATTGAATGTACATGGGAAGCTTATCGACGTGCAACTTTTCGTTGTCCCAGAGCGTCCTTACACCGACACAACTAGTCGATAGGGGCCTGACTCTGCCACTGCTATGCTCGTCACACTGTTCGAGCCAAAGCTCAGGCAAGTGGCTTGATAAATTGACGCGCTCGTAATACCAAATTAGATTCCAGTAAACAATCGGATGCTCTTGGATGAAACGGTGCTTGGTAAGGCACGAGTCGCCTTCTTGATTTAGTACGCTCTCGAGTTCCTTGCGTAACACTAACGGGTTAAGATACGGCACACTGAAAGGCTCTGGTAGTACTCGTGGTTCGGGTAAGAGTCCAGCCATTAGCGGATCGTGTCCGCCTTTTCCACTTTCGCATCTAAATCAATGTGCAAAGAGATTATAACGGGATTCATTCTTATTTTTTAAGAAAATAAAGTGACTTATATATTAACCTGTAATCGAGTATGGTAACGTTCAAGAAAGGCACGGTCTGCTTGTCACAGAACTGGCATATCGTATTGAGATTCGAGTCTTCCGGCTGCCAACCAGCCATAATTTCCTCGTCATAGAGTATTGCCGAGCAGTTGTGACACCGACTGGCGCTTGACAACACCAATTCCACGGCGACGCGCTCCTGCTCGTTGTCGCGCGTCACCCTCGGGTAAAGACACTCGGCAAGCTCGTAAAGTGCCGTTAGTTCCACATTATGATCACCTTTAACCGAGTCGGCCATTCTTGCCGACACTTCGTTGCGATCTTGCTGCGAGCCATCGGTCAGAGAATCCAAACTTTCGTTAGAAACTCCGTAATTAAGCCTCTGCTCGCGTTCTTTTATCTTCACCGGCGTGCTCGTAGCCGAAATAGCTTCCTTGATCTCGTCAAATTTCTTGGCGACTGATGAAGCGGCCGATTTCAAACTATTCAGACCTCCGAGAATGATTTCGTTGGATTTTTTGCCAGTCAAGCTCGATGGACTACGACAAAAGAATATTCGAATTAAATTTTTAACGCTGATTACATTTTTCTACACATTGTGTGTCATTCGAACAATTGGTGTCTTCTAAAACTATGACAACAACATTTCAAGCTTTTTTGAAAGCTCATCACGGAAGTGTAAAACGATTTTATATTAATTAAATTTACCATTGGTATCCTCGATCGGTGCAAACACGTGTAGAGTTAATCTATGATTTTACATTTAAAACTCATGCGACAAAAAAACAATCATAAAATATTAGTTATTTACCTGATGTAGCTTGACAAACTGAGAGACTCAATCAGCTGATTCTTCGATAACAAATCCTTGTTTTTGGCAAATGCGAGTCCGCCGGTAGAATAACGTCTATACATATTTAAAATACATACTCAAGCCAAACGTGCACAAAAGTTATGAATATAAATAGTAGAAGTAATAGTAATAAAGTAATAAGTCAAATTATACAATTTTGGGATATTTTTATCTTTCCCAACACGACATTTATTAGTCAATATCTCAATAAATTATTAGGAAACACATGAAATTGGGGCACACAAACAAAATATAAAGTAATTAAGAGCTCAAAGGGGGCTTAAAATCGAAAAAATTTTATTTTATTTTCAAGTAGGATTTTTTCGCCCCTTTCCATAGCGTTTAAAAAAAATCAAAAATATTCAATTTTGACTGAGATACAGCTGCTTCCATGAGTCTTTTTTGTATATTTTGCGTGTTATTTTCTTTTGCATTTTCTGGCGAGTCATGTTTTTGATCATCTGTTGTAACTTTCAAATGCAACCTCGGGCAAGACGATCCGACCCATAACGCAAAAGAAATGCAAAAGAAAAGAAATGTAACCCACAAAGTATACAAAGAAGGCTCAAAGAAATGGTTATACCTCGATAAAAAATGAACATTTTAGAATTTTTAATAATAATCATGGAAAGAGGACAAAAATCCTACTCGAAAATAAAAGAAAATGTTTTTTCTATTTCAAGTCTCCTTTGAGCCCTTTGTGTGTATATGAATAAAGAATGTATATCAAAGTAAAAATTTAGCGAATGAAAAAAAAACATTGCAAAAAGCGATTTTCCAGGTGTGCTTGAAGAGAAAAGAATCAAAACATACGTATCACGTGGTTACGAATACAAAGCTGTTCATTACCTTGATGTCCACGGCCAACTAGGAAATTATCCTCTGATTTGAAAACTTTTAAAACTAAATTTCTAATCTAACACTATTTTACACTATAGAGACTGTCAAGAAGATACATGAAGATCTGAAGAGTTTAAAAATTTAACTGTACCATTCCAATATACCATGCTCAAATAATACAAATAAACATTCAAATAAGATAACATTGAAAAAATATCTTATTCTAAATATATTGTAGCCTCAGATCTTCATTCAAATACTACTGTATTTACAGAAAAAATTTAAATTTGATTATTAAGCTTACCCAAAGCTGAGTTTCAGACTCGAGCCTATGCTAGATAGGCTGGACGTCACGCTGTCTTTATTTTGAGCCCAAAGACTTCCAATTTCTAAACGCTCGCGTTCACGGTCCTGTTCAACTCCTTGCACGTTATGTGGCATAGTTTCACTGCGTTGTAAATGACTGGATCCACTTCCACCTTCCAGCTCTGGTTGATGAAACGTCGCACTGCGTGGCATTGTGGCACTACTGTTGATAAACATTTAATTAGCTCATCCACTTTCAATTTTATTATATTTACTTTGTTTTAGAACATACTTGCGGAAGAGAAGAGGACCTCCGGGCCTGCTATCTTCCATTGCATTCGTAAGCACGGTCAACGTGCTTGTAGAACAATTAGAGTCATTCTCCTCGCAAGGCGAAACAATCGGTGTATCATCGTTGACTAGTGCACCTAAAGGATCATTTTCGGTGACTGGCGTTCGAACTGGACTTTTAACCGGAGAATCTCCGTTTCTTGCCAATCTATTATACAACCAAAAGGGTAAGAATTATAGTTTCTTCTCCATCGAAAAATCAATGTTCAAAAATGTCAAACATGTACCTTGGGTCGCTCGGCGTTCGATCGAGGACATCTGGCTGTGAATCCGGTAGAAGAGCTGCGTCTTTGACAATACTATTTTGTCTCGGAAGCAACTTTTTCTTCTCGTTCATGGTAAATGTAGGGAGATCAGGTATAGAACTACCTTTTAAAGCTGAAATACATTATTGATAAGTAACTCGTAAATTGAAAAAATTTCATTGTTATGAGTGCTTACAATCGCTTCGAGCGACTTCGGTATCTTGTGAGTGGTTACTATCAAGACTAGAACGCGAGATCGCATGTTCCAAATTTTGACCTTTGAGATCTTCGGGTAATAGTAGATTTTCGTTGTTCGAGCAAGAGCGTCGCCTGGCACGCTTTTTGCCGGCTTTCTTGAACAAAGCTGCGCCTACGATGACGTTACGTAGCTTGTTCCACATTAGCTGGCTAGAATTAGTCATATCGGAAGGCCACGTTGCTTCTAGGACGGCCTGAAGAAGAAAATATTTATCAACGATTTAGGTTTATAATAACAAAAGCAAAGGTTAAAACTTACTTTATTGTAAAATCCATAAGTAAGAGCATTGGGTTGAACACCACTACGTTTCATATGGAAAAGTAACTTGACAGCGAGTAAGGGTTGCCCGTAGACCCCGCAGAGCTGCATCATTGCGCGGTAACAGACCTCTTCCATTGGGTCCAAACGCAATTTTTGCATTTTTATAAGAAGTTCATAAGCTTGGTGTAATAAATTAGCCGGTTGATTAGATACGTGCAGCATAGCCGGTAGATGTAAAAACCACAAACTGTAACACGTATTAAGTAAACAACGTCCCCATCTTTCTGGTTGGGCAGCCTAAAAAAATATTTCGTTCGATTGAATTCAAAACAACTTCACTTTTTAATATATTTATAACTATGAAAATATATTTATTACCTGTTTACGAGCCATTCTTTGAGCAACTTTTATCTCTTGTTGAGTTCTACGAGCCATTGGACTGCCTGGAACAATACCGATCGCAGCGATTGCTGGATTTTTTAGAAAACAGTTTTTCCGTGGCCGCATCAATTTGGAATTCAGTTTAAAAGTTGCATAAACAACTGGTTCTTGATGAGGATCAGCTTCTGGTGGAGGTATAAAAACAGTTCTCTCGCTATGCTGCGACTCCATATCCATTTCCAAAAGCATGTCTATAAAAATTCGTCTTAATTAATACCTTTACTTGGCCTGAAAAATCTCGAAATAATCTTATCTTAATACTCACTGTTATCCTCTTCGACTCTTTCCGTACAATCATCGAAGAAAGCCAGACTTGTCATGTCCATATCGGATACAAAACTACGCTCTTCAATAAATCTAATAAACATTTGCGTGCGCACGAGCATGCTATAAAATTTGGCATGATTCTTATCTCTACTACGAAGAAAAGCATTTATATTGAATAAACTGGTCGGATCGGTGGTCCCAACGGTGGGCGCTTTGGTAATAGGCAACAGGTAAGCTCTATATCCTTTAAGAATGAGTGCCATAAATCTTAGAAAAGCATCTTGAATTTCGAGCTCGAGTGCCTGCTCTCGGTGCTTTTGTTGAAATTCCTTATCGACGCTGAAGTCACCCTCGTCGTCGGCAACGCTATGATTGCCCGACTGCGCGTGATCTCGATTAATCGTTTGAAGCTTCAGATAGAGCTTTTCCAGCGAGCTCTTGAGCATGCGGGCAGCTTTTTTCGGCAGTAATTTGTTGTTGAGGTAGCGCTTGTCCTCGCAAATGGCTATGTTATTCGTGTCGAGATTGACGCAATGGATATCCGCTGGAGGCTCGTCAAGATCGAAAAAGCGAGAATCAACGCCAATGAGGAAGGGCAGCGGTGCGTGTAGTACTTCAGCCAGTCCAAGAGGACACAGTGGTATGTAAGGACATTGCCACTTAAACGGAAACAATATCATAGATATAGCTTCGCTCACGGAAGTCAGAACATCTGGTCGTAGCGAGTGTACTAGTATTTTTTGTTCCGTAAGAATCAAAAGCAATATCAGCATGCAGTTGTCTGCACCTGGAATGCGCAAAAAAAAGTTATTAATATGCGTTGCAAATTGTCAAGGACGATACAAGTTTTTTTTTCTATCATTGAAACTTGGATTATTACAAAATAAAATAAATTTTAATACTTTATGATTATAAAAAGTGAAACAAATGACACTGATACACGAATGCAAAGAAAATAAATACCTAAATTCATCAGCAATTGACGAAAGCTGGCCCCCGAGCGAGGTAATGCGAGATCTTCTGGTTGCGTAAGTATAAGGCGATCGGTTGAGCTCAATTGTACAAGGATGCGAGGTCGCTGCGGACTAGGAAAGGGTATGTCACACAGGAAGTACGAGATGTACTTCTCAATAGGCACGTTTTGTGGTTGACGGTTCACTAGGCTGTGTAAAAAGACGAGAAAACGCTCGAACGTGTCGAAGAAAGGCCAATGCGAAAGTATACAAATGGACTTGCTTATATTTAACGATTGTGTGGATGGATCCGTATACTGGAGCTTTTCCAGTTGTGCTAAATTCAATTTTTTTAGTATGCCGAATTTCTTGAATATTTTCTTTTTTATCAGCGGCTTGGAGTTTATTATTTCGGACGGATCGGTCGAGTCAACTGGAATTTAATTAAATAAAATGTACAATTAATTCTATGTAAATTGAAAATTCATCTTATGTAATTGAAAAATATATCTTGGCAATTATTATCATATGATGATTATGAAAATGCACACGCAATAAGGTAGAGAAAAATATTTAATCTTATTCCATGTTACATAATATATGCATAATGAAGCAGGTACATGAATATTTAAAACTGCTATGCCATGGAACTAAAAGCCACTTAAAAATATCTTTGAAATGTTTTATAGCACTTACCACTATCATTTTCTGAAACTTCAGAATTCTCTTTATTCTTTTCATTCTCACTAATACTATCAGGAGGTAAAACTTCCTCATAAAAAGTTATTGCAGATCCATAAATTTTTTGCGCTGCATCAGCAACAGTTAGGACAAATGTAGAGAAAACAGGCTTTGGTTTACTTGCAATTTTTGGCCAACACTCAATTGTTGCACCCATTGGTAAACAAAACATGGCAACTGAATGAGGAAACTGAAAGGTATTGTAATCCATCATTGGATACTTGTATAAAATCGATGGTTTGAAAGAAATTAAATTGGCTCGGTTCATTGACTTTTTATAGCATAAGAATACATCACTTCCAAGCATTCCCTTATTTAAATTCTTTCCAATCACGCAAAAAGCATGTGGTGGAGTTTCTCCTTTGTTTGTCAAGATTACTCGTACATCTGTTACAACTAAAGAGTTACATGGCATCTTTTTACTAGCTCTCCTGTAAGTAACAAATATTCTTGAGGTAGAATTATTAACATTAGCTACTAATCCAGTAGGGGTTTTGGTTACAATTTCTGCATCTTTCATAATTCGCTCTTTGCCATCATATATGACACCTGGAAAATTTGTTTTCTTAGTAACAACTACATTGATGCTAATAAATTTAAAAAAATAGAAAGTATTCATACCAATATCAACAAGAGGTGGTTTATCTCTACCTCTACGATAACACAAATAACATTCCTCTGTTCGTAAACTTCCATGATTTAGGTCTGCTTTGAAACCACTGTCTGTATATTCAAGCATAGTGTAGCCTTCTGGACAATCCTCACCAAGGGCAGGAAATATAATGGCCAAGTCTGTAATAGGTGGCTTAAGATTTGTGTCTTTGGTTGCACCCTCTTGACACCAATCTTCCAATTTATATCCTCCATTTTCAATGTTACATTGATTTTCACCATTCGTTTCGATCACTTCTGTGTCTTGATCGGGTAGACCAGCTACAACGAAGTAATCAGCAACGCGTCGCTCGTCCATGATCAGAAGGTATAAAAAAATTTTCTCTCGTTATAAAACTTTTATCACAATGTTTCGAAGGGCCAGTCAAGAGCAGCATCAGCAAGTGCTCCGAAAATCGTCATTATGTTGCAACAATTAAAATCGTATATGTCTCCGTACACAGTCGCGTATATCGCAGCAGGCGCCAGCAGCATCAGCATCGACTGCTAATGCTTGCAAATTCACTCAAGCATGATTTCTGGTTCAGAACTCGAGCCATCATCGCGCTATACTATTGTATGGAAAAAGACTTGTGATCACGACGAGACATTCAACAATGCAGCGCAATAAATTATATAGACAACCGTGTAGGATATAGGTTAAGCACGCGTGGCTCAAAAACGGGCAGACTAAATGCCCATGATAAGCGCTCGATGTGCGCTGTCGAAACTACGTTGTTTACATCATCGAATACCTCATCAATGACGTTTCTTCTTTCTACGCGCTGCTAATCGCATTAAGCTGGCTACTGCTGCCACTGCCACTACTTATTATACTACTGCAGCTGCTGCTGCTGCTGCTGCTGCTACTATATACTGCACTAATGTATTACTAGCCACAACGTCGTCTCCCCTCGGAGCGGCTCACAACTTTTTCAATCATTATTTTCTGCCATATCATTGTCTCTTTCTTTTTGCCCACACAACAATTACCAGTTATCGCTGCATAGCGTCGCAGTGTAAGGATTGGGCTCTCGTATAAATTGAAAATGATCACGCCGATGTATGCTAATACATGCTATAATGCGGTGAAGGCGAATCAGTAAATCATTTCGGGCAATAAATAGTCCAATGCTTATCTAGCAGTACACTTAAGAATAGGTTCAATCCAAACGGAATTGCCCATATAGAAAAAAGGTGCGACTTTACGACACAATAACTCATAAAATGTCGACGTTTTTATTATGAATTTGTTTATAAGAATACAAAATTGATAGTGGCACTAGACCCGCTGTACTCTCAACGCACTCGCACGCGACACTGAGAATCGGAGCCGACAGTCAACGCATGGCTTGCAGTCACTATATGAGAATAATTATGCAAAGGTAACGTGAAAATTTTTTGCGCCAGTTCTTATCGTCGTTTTGCCGTGCTATATATTTATTAAAGGCGTAGAATACGTGGACGTAACCTGAGCTATTTCACGCGATGCATTCTATTGCGTAGCGGTGAAATTTCATGATAAATTTCAACGACTGAGTCAGTATCATCTTGGTCTTTTTATTATTGTTAAAAGTCATAAAGTAAAATTTGTCAATTCTAGGAACACGAAAAACTTGAGGATTTTATTTGAAAAAAGGAGAACCCCAAGCTCAGCTCGGGTTATACCTGTTATGATATGATGAACATATCATAGCTCATACAGCGAAAGTGATGCACTTTTTGCGCTGACTCACAATCAAAATTTCGCGAAACTCAGCACGATCCTCGTCTTAAAATTGTGAGCATACCTATACTGGTATCATATTGACTGCGCTTAAACACGCTCGGAATTTCGACGTTACCGAGTTGCGTGCTGTCAACAGATTCAAGTTAAATTCGTAATGTGAGTATAGAATTATTCGCTCGCAAGTCCAGCATTTTTTACAAAGATAAGATTGGCTATCTCCTTGTATATTGACTTCCTGTCGCAGTACTCTTTGAAATTAATTTATTTGAATCTACAAAAACATGATACGAAAGACATTAAAGGATCAAGAGAGATTATAACCAGTAAATTATCAATAAATAATGATTGAAACAGGTGATTCATGTATAAGTTAAGTAAACGTGGTTTTTTTTGCTTCGCGAATTTTTTCACGTTATGATTATTTATAAAAAATTCAGTTGATAATTTTTGAATCATATTAAAATCTTATCTTTTCAATTAGTTTGATTTGAGAAATTTTCGTACAATGCAATCATTTTTAATCAATATTATAAACAAGAAATAATTACTTAATGATTTATATTTAATCATAATAACTTTAAAATGTGACAGCAATCGCCCAGAACTGTCAAAAATATATATAACGATATTGAAACACGAGGGGCTTTGAGTCGCGTTAGTAAATATTGAGGCTTTCGACCACTTCTTGGAAAAGGTAAAAGCCTATCAAAACATTTCATCATGTTTGTCAACAAAAAGGTTTTCAAAGCTTGTTTTGTTCGGGTCCATATACAATTTGGTGAATTCGGCTAAACGCAATGCAACGATCATAACCTCAAATTATCGACCAAGTTCGGAGTTGTTGCAGTTGCAACAATCGGTATACGGCACTCGGTTTTATATGTGCGTGTGAGCCTCGTGCTACAAGTAAGCTCTTATACTTTGTAAAATCGATGACGTAACTATTCGATACAATTGTCGATTCGATTGTCGTTTGGCCGATTCGAGAAGACTCTATAAACGATCCGCCCGAGCAGAAGAGATAAAATTGATATAGAAAGTGCGGTAGGTGTTTGCGCCGTCACGTATTGCGATGATTTCGATCTAGATGTGCTATATACTTACAAAACTGTCGTGTAGTACAATAAGATATACATGTGTGTCTTGACGCAACACAATCTATACGATGTTGTCGTCGTTTCTTCGCAAACTTTCGTTGGGCGGCAAAATACGCGATGGTCTGCTACTCGACGATAAGAACGTCATGGGTACGACCGAGGACTGTGTAAAACCTCGATCGCTCTGTTACGAGCTTTCACTCAAAGATGAAACTGAACTCAGAGAGTCTATTTTTGGTATGCATAATTCTTTTAATTAATATGTTTATCCCCAATTAATTGAAGTTAGGGTTATGTTTTCATTGTCTTCATTGTTTTCAATGCTTTTGCATTGTCATCTTGCATTGGGAGTCTAATGTATTTCTACTCAACAGATATACTGAGAACAATAAAAGATCCAGAGAAGCCACAAACTCTAGAACAATTAGATGTTGTTTATGAGGAGGGAATAGAAATTAAAGAAGCTACACCTGGAGGTGTAACAGTAATAAGAGTGATTTTTAATCCAACGGTACCACATTGTTCCCTTGCAACACTTATAGGACTCTGCATCAGAGTCAAGTTGGAACGTCATTTACTTGCTCATTTTAAATTAGACATTTTCATCAAGGAAGGTACTCATGTCACAGAACAAGAAAGTAAGAATGAGTTTTTTATCATTTTATTTTGTTGTAATTTGAAACATTTTATAAGTATTTTAATCACTTTTTAGTAAATAAACAAGTCAACGATAAAGAAAGAATAGCTGCTGCAATGGAAAATCCAAACTTAAGAGAAGTTGTAGAAAAATGTATAAGGGAAGAGGAATAATGAAAAGTTGCCTATATTTTGATACTTGTAAATAATTTTCAAATATTTATAAGGTACTCACAATGCTCCAAAATAATTTGTACATATTAAAAATAATATTTTGTAATTAAAATCTCATTAAGAAAAACAAACAGACATCTAATTTTCAGTTTGTGCTTCAGTATTGACCATGAGTTGCGAAAGCCTAATAGATTCTCTTTTATCAAGTTCAGCCTCCTCTTCTTCTTCCTCTTGCTGTAAAAAGTAAACAAATTATTCATTTCATTCAAGAACCAATTATGCAAAAACTTGAATTAGAAATTACGGGATAAAATTCAGAAGGATACTGGTATTTGATTGGCTCTACGGCAGTATGCACAGAAGGAGTTTTAGGCTTATATTCTCGTTTTGGTCTGTAAATAACGGAATTAGGTAAAAAGCAGTTGAGTCGAAGAGTCGTTCCTTGCACAAACTCTTTCACGTCTCGCTCTGTTTCTTCAAGTTCGTCAAAGCTGTAACCTGTCTTTCAATAATATTATCATTGTAATAATAATATTAATTATCTTTTTGTACATCAAGACATTGCAACAATGACGAACCGTAAAGCATTTGAAACAATCCCTTTTCATTAAAATCTTTCTTCTCTTTTCGGTTTTTCTCCACTATTTCCTTGAAATTATGCTTGGGTACTGGAGGAAGAGGACGATCCAAACTACCGAGCAAACTTTTGACATATCTATCCCAGACCTCTTGTTCCATCAATGCTCGATCAGAAACAAATTTCGTCGGCTCCAATGCAAAATGTTTTACATCGTTTATGTCTGCTCGATAATTTCACAATGATTAATAAACATTGATATAAAAAAATTGTACTAACTTGCCTCTATCTCTATTCGCATACAGAGCACAGATTTGTTTTACAATCAAAACCTCAACAGACGGAAGCTCGTTGTCATTTTTATCCAAGCAAAGCAATGGAGTAGTTACAAACGGATAAAGCAATAATTTCCTGTCGATTTCCTTATCAAACACTCTATACTCAGTATTTTCTTCGTAGGTGTCCTCGATATCTCCGTCGTTTAATTCGCGACGAAGAACTTTCGATAGGCATTTGGGCGATAAATCTTGGAAATTTTAATTGTTCGGACAATAAACTTGTGTTTAAAAGAGATGAATAAGTTTTGTGAAAATTAAAAGCAAAAACCAACACTTTTTGTGCGGAATAGTGTACAAATGTCGACCTGCTCCAAAGACAATGTCTCCTTTCACCGACGAAAACGATATAATAGAGGCGTAAGTGTTGATCAACAGAACCTAAATCGATTCCAAATTTTGCTTAGCATTCACATAATTTTTATGTGCCCTGCTAGTTTATAAAGGAAAAAACATTGGGCTGACTTTTAGCAAGGTATTTCGGTGATCCCATATACGAATAGTATTGTCGAGAGACGATGTTGCGCAAATATCGACCGGCTCGCAAATCGACATATCCAATATGAAGCCGGTGTGATCTCTCTGAGTCGCATGTTCCAAATGAACTAATGATTCGACAATCATTAGTGCTTGGTCTAAGGACAGAGCTCGAGCTTAAAGCTAATTTAATTTACCTCTTTTTTCCATATCGTGCATAATTACTTCATGGACTTTGGCGGTTCTGGAGCTTGCAGCTATGCACAAATTCGATCTGAAAGTATATGAGTACAACGTATACGATAAGTCATAGAAAGATGGAAAATGAAGGAGAAATAAATACGACCTCATGAGAGCGACTCGCGCAATCGGGGTGACAAAGTCCAGCGAGTAAAACTGAACCAATGGCTCATCCAAGTCCGAGAAAATTCGCCAGACTTTGATGGAATTTTCACGACCCAACGAGACCAGCATTCTACTCGACGATGTCACGTTTAGCTGCACGACAGGTCCAGTATGTGCCTTTAAAAGATTTTTTTCTTCTAAGAACTCAAGTTTCGTGAAATATTGAAAAAAACCAAATAATCTCGTTCAAACAAACTCACGTGAATGAAGCACTCGTGTTTGCCGCACGCACTGATACTCGCAATGCCACCATCCTCGGAGCCAGCAATTATTTTAACGTTGATTGGATAATAAATTCTTCGGCCTGACACATTGATCAATTATTTTGCGATGTTTTTTTTAAATTATAATTTATTTTTTCGTTTACTGACCTATCATTCGATTCGGATCATCGAAAACGGAGTCGAAATGCTCGTAAACCGCGATACAAGTTATTCGAGGTCCATCATTGACAAAAACTTTTCTGTACGGTTGGCATTGTGAGTTTATGATGAGAGATTAATTAGATCACAAAAAAATGCCTTGAACTCACTTGAATTTCATGGGACAAACGTCGACGTCACTAACGAGAATTTCGCCGCTTTTTAAGATTATCGTATAAAGGTGATCTATTGAAAATTTCAATTCGTTAAAAGCTCCTAAGAAAGCAAATGTTATATTTTTTCTTATTTCGTATAGATTATTACTATTGTTTCCACTGTAAGCAGCCGAAACGACGTTGAAGCCATCTTCAGGTAAAAGCTGCACAGTTAATTGCTTGCCTTGCGGGGAAAATATCCTCGCGGTATTGTCCGTGCTGCAGGCAATCAATTTCGTCGAATGCATCGGACTCTGCGTCGAGAAAAGACTTTTTGCTTTTGCCCTAAAAAACATCAGAAATGAAGCAATCGAAGTAGAGCTCAAATCGTGTTGCGTTGCGAGCGCGTCTTACGAAAGAGGGGCAAAAAAGTCATAAGCCTGTCGCATGATCAAGTAATAGAGTTTATTGCCGAGGATGACGGCGGTCGAGGCTGTCTCGTTGATCGCCACCCAGCTTATTTGTCCAAAATCGGTAAAGCACTCGAGCGGTCGACGGAAATTGCAGCTCCAGACTTGGAGTTTGCCGTTGAAGCGTCCCGTGTGAGCGTAGGTCAGGAAGCCACACATCGATGGGTGTCGCTCGATGAAGATGATGCGATCGTTGTGGGCGCCTTCGTAGCTCAACAGGCATTCCATATCGAGCGTCCAACAGCTCACTGAAAAAAGTAAATGAAGGAAAAATCGCAAGAAAATGGTGTAAAAAATGCCAGAGCTTTTTATTTTTTGCACTATACCGTTGCCTTGCTGATCGCCGATCACGATCCATTTGCTGGTCGGATGGTAAAAGAGGGCAGTTATCGCGTACTTGGACGCGTTCGGTAGCTTTTTCATGCACTCGATGTCGCCGTCGAATTCCATATCGTCGGTAATTTCCAACGGAAATACGTAGACCGTAGTCGAACACGACGAGATCAGCAGCGGCAAATTATCTGCATCAACGCATAATCTTATGGAGAATGAATAAGACGAACAAAAGGCCGGCGACGATCACTACTAAAAGGACTCGTAGGTCATTCATTCATTTATTTTGTTCTTTTTTTTCTTTTTCCGCGAAAGGCTAAAAATACAACGACGCGACGATAAATCATTTCTTTTTGCGTCGAAATTTCGTTGGCATTTTATAGCAGGTTCTAGTCCACGCGCCTCATTATAAGGCGCTCGTACGTATAAAAGAACATCGTGTAGTCGCGTCGAGTTGCGGCAAAAGTGAGACACTCTTCACTTATAATAATCCAATTATATATAAGACATTCACACGTACACATGCGGACAGCAAAACGCAGCTCAATCTCGCACGCGTAATTTGGTAAGCTTCCAAGCCGAAAAAGTATAACGCGCGCGGAGAAAGAGATCTTGCCGCGAGAGAGAAGGAGAGAGGGGAAAAAAAAGAAGAAAGAAGCTCCTGCACGTGCGAACAGCTAAGCTTTAGCATAGTATGAAAATATGTGCCAAGTCTGTGTGTGAGTGAGCTTATAAATATGACGAACGTTGAGTATCGGATGCCGGCACGAAGGTGGTGCACTCGAGCTGCCAGGTCGGTCCGACTTCAGGGTCGCAGTACCTCAGCGGCTTTGTCGCTTTCAATTCCAATTCTTTGTCGTCGATGAGGTATTTCTTTCTTGAGAGAAAAACATGAAAAATTACACATCGTTATTGATAATTTATATATACAGATTACAGGCAGATATATCGCCCGACCAAAAAGTCAAAGTAAAGCGGCCTTAATTAATGTCAATGCTCGGCCGGCTTGTCACGAGGATTTTCCCAAAAATTCTCCACTAGACCGTGCCAAAAGCAACAAAAGCAAAATCATCGCGTGAAGTAAAAAATGCACACGAACGTACGATCGTCTCGCGCGAGCCGACGGCCCGTAGAGCCATCTCGTCGGCGTCGTAGTAGAGGGCCTTGGTGCGAAAGTCGCAGGGCATGTTGTGCAGGATGCTGAGGTCGCGTCGCACGATCCAGATATTGGCCACCGCCGGCTCGTGGCAGACGTAGCACTCGAAGCTCGGCAGCCAGCGCATCTGGCTGAAAGTCGCCGCCTCCTGCAGCTTCACGGCCGGTCGCAGCTCCTTGCCCTGCATCGAGTAGCGCTTGACTTGGACGCCTTGGTGCAGCAGCAGGTACTCCTGCACACCGTTCCGACATCGTTTTCCACTTGGATCGTTCGTGTTTTTTTCTTTTTTTATTTGTCTTCGCTCACCTGACTGTCCGGTTGGAAGATGACGCTGACAAAGTGGTCGTGAAGTACCGTAGTGACGCTGAGCTTCAAGCCGTGATAAATCGTCTTGTCGCGCTCGTCCTCGAAGGCGTTTTCGTTCAGCTGAGTGTCGAAGCGAGCCTTCATCACCCTCAGCGACGAGCGCCAATAGTTCTGCTCCTTTTCGTCCTGAGCTTTTTGCGCCATTTTAACGAGCTTGCAACGGGCTAGAAAGGTTGGATAGTGCAGTTGCAAGGTTAGAGAGATAAATTATTTAGAGAAAGTTTTAAAAGGCTTCATAAAATATATCTTTCTGATTAAAATTCTTACGAAAGAAAAATTTTCAAATTGAATATTGCCTTAAAGATTTTCTGATAATTTTGCTTTTACGCTCCAAGAAAGTCCTTGTGTTCCGCACAAGTCTGTTTTGAGTACGAGGTTATTTCATTCCAGCTGTTTCATCGGGGGGAAAAATTAACGCTTTTGAGAACCAGCATTTTTTCATAAAATTGTGCAAATTCCAGAAATTTCTAGCCTGTTTTCAAGGAGTTTGTTTAAAAAGTCCACGAATGAAATAACGAAACGAAAATTGTTATAAAAATGGAATATGACATACTTTGATAATACTAAAATTCTTTGATATCGTTAAAAGCTTAATTAACGATTGTCGCTCGCCGCAAACGTAAAGCTCATAACCGAACGAGACGTACAAGCTCTTTTTATATACTTCCTCGTTGTTTATACACGTGTATACGTATTTAGCTTAAGCATCGAGTCTCATTTCATCACGTAATCATTTATAGCATTTATTTTTCATGCGTAGATCTAAATACAACACGCATTACAACACTTCGAAGACGTCGACTTTGTCTAGAGATGAAAAAATGCATTTCCGATCGAGAGCTTTCTCGCTCCGATCGCGTCAACGGTATGCGTTATATACAGTAGATACTATTACAGCTCGACTTTGCTTATATTATATGCTCGTTTAATCGCATAATGAATCATCGCTATCGATAAAGGTCAACTTCCGCCCCGCCCAAGTTCTCGAAAAAAATTCAACTGTTGATCTTTTTTTCGACAAAGTAAGATCGATCCAAGCTTCGTGTAAGTTCATAAGAATCAAGGTTTCCATAGCGCGCGGAGGGCTATTTCGAGACGATTGTGAAAATAAATTTTTTAAACTACAATCGGCTATGCTACGTATAATTGTAGCGAAACTTTTCCTCGGGTAAGAGAGCTGCAATGATATATGTGTTCATTTGCTCTCTCTCTCTCTCTCTCTCTCTCTCTCTGCCAGTCTCGTATTATATGTGAGAAAGCACACAGGGAGATTCCACGTACATTATGCCATTGCCCGGAATAAATCCAGTATTTATTTTTACCGACCGAATAGCCGCATTGCGATGGCTTTTCAACCTAATTTATGAGTAGAAGCGAATGCCTGGACTTTTCGGATAACAAACTCAACTTTTAGTGAGCGATGGTTTTGCAACAAAAACCCTTTCCGTCATGTGGTTCGTATATCAATTTGCAATACTGCGAAAACGCAGCCTTGGAATCGTGCAAGCTCCAGAAAACTTTTTAAAAATCTGGTCCACGACGACTAACAGCGTTGATACATATTTACCATTCTTCAAACTATAAATGTAACAAACATTTTATTTTTCTTTCCTCTGAATCACAAGGCACCGTACAATACGAGATATAAGATATTTATAAAACTTTTTTCGCCATCGGTAGCGTTACGATACGAAAAAAAAACACGTTGCATCACATTGTTTCCAACGATTCCATCGTTTGTATACACGGCGTTGCGCACGTATGTGTAACATAAATGGCTAAGCATACTATAACGCGCGTGTTACTGGCCAATTTCTATCGCGCGAGGAAAAATCTTGAATATATTAGTCTTTGTCAATTTTAACGCAACACTAGAGCGCAATTGGTTCGTATCCAGCGTTGCGGCATGACATTTTTAGCATTTACGTCGCACGATCTTAGCTAGTTGCGCTGCTCGACAAAAGTGATACTCGCGAATTTTTGCAGACGCATTACGATCCATCTCCTCGTTATTTCCAAGCGCTATATTTTTTTGGCAGCTTGCACACCATCTCGGACAATGTGTAGAAATGCATTCTCTTCACATGTTTGAGTGTCGAGGGAAATCATCAGCGTAAAGTTTGGTCGTTAATTATAAAAATCTCCATTTATTCAATTTCAATAATTTATACAATTTGTTTCAATATGCACATGATAAACTATCGAGAAAACTTTTGTACATAATTACTACCGCCACAACATGTTTCTACAGTATTATTTACAAACGAATTGAACAAATTGATTTTTCGGACATTCCATAAAGAATAAGAAAAACAATAAAATAATAAGATCGTTTAAGATATAAGACAGGAAGTTCTTTGATTATCGCTTTGTAAATACTCGACCGAGTGGCTGCGTTGTTGCAGCTGCGGCTGATGCTGCTGCTGAGGTTCGTTCTCTATGAAAGCTCTCGGGACCGTAGCTTCGGGACCGTAGCTGCTGGATAAATTTTTCATCTCCGCATCGAAGGACAAAGACGGCACGAGATTTTGCGTCTCTACGGTGAAATCGTCGGCTTCCTCCTCGGTGACGTCTTGAAAAGACGAGTTGTTGATTTTCTGCTTGTCGACGCAACAGCGCTGAAGCAGGGCTATCTGACCCTGCAGCTCGACGAGGAATCGCCGATAGCCCAGGCACTCGGAGTGCGACCACTTGAGCAGCTTTAGCAGGCCGTCGCGCAAGTTGATGGTCAGGTCGAGCGTCTGAGCCGTGGCGTGGGCGGCTCTCACCGTCCTCGCGACGGCCGACGCGTCGCGCAGCACCACGGCGACGATGGCCGCCCAGCCGAGACATCCAGCCTCGAGGAAGAGCTGCAGCAGATAGCGCAATCGGACCTCGGAGCGCGAGACGACGCAGTCGTTGCCGGAGCCGGCGTTGTGCGAGGAGGCCGCGGCCTCGGTCACCAAAAGTTCCGACACGGTCGCGCTGCTGCTCGTCGGTATCCAGAGTATCGTGTCGAGGGTGCTGGTGTTGCTGGTGACGCTGGCGTTGTCGTTCATGTCGCTGCTGCCCTCGATGAAGCTGCTCATGTCGGGACTGGCGTCGGTCACGCTGCCGCTCGTCCTCAGGGCGTAGCTCTTGCGCAGAAATTTGCTGCCGCCCTTGGAAGAGCTGATGTAGCCGCTGTCGAAGTGCAGCGACTCGGAGTCGTCGTGATTCTGATCGTCCTCGTACTCGGGTATGTCGCACAGGTGGCTGCTCGACTCGATGACGTTGCTGTTGCTCTCGAGCAGCTTGAGTACCGGATAAGGATAGGAGAACTGCGCGTGAACGGCCTTGAGGGCAGCCACGTAATCGTCGACGCGCGCCGCCCGGTCGCGTTCCCTCGCCAACCAGATGACCAGGTGGAAGTCCAGGTGAGCGGCGAACGATCCCAGATCGAGGATCCGCTGGGTCGTTAATAATCTCCGCGCGTGCCTCTTGAGCATCACGTCGATGAAAAAGTCCTCGGCCGAGTCGTTGTTGTTATTGCTGTTGTTGTTGTTGCTCGTCGAGCTGGAAGCCCGCAGAGTAGCGTCTTGCTCTCGAATGTTGGAGAGGATAGGCACGGACTTTTTGCGCTTCGAGCCGGACTTGTCGTCGTTTTGCGGAGACGAGGAGGGCTCGTTGGCCGATCGCGTCATCGATTGGCTGTGAATCTCGGGCGTGGTCGACGTACTCGAGCTGCGATTCCTCGAGATCTGCATGGTTCCGAGGACCAGGGTCAGATCGTCCTGGGACGAGAGCGTCGGATTGGCGATTATTCGCCGACAGCTGAGGGCGTTGCTGGAGGACTTGTGCGAGTCGGAATTGACGTCGTTGGGATCGATGGCTCTTAGAAATCTGATGAGGTCCCTCGAGAGCTCCCACTTGGCGTCCTCGAGCGAGGCGTCGAGCAGCAGGGTAGCGTACTGCTTGCTCACGAAGGAGGCCTCGAGACTCTGCAGGATCAGGAGATAGCTCGCCGCGGTATCGAGCTCCTTGCGATTGAGGCAGGTCTGCAGCAGCTGCTTGGGCGTGCCGACGACCGCGAACAGATAGGGCCAGAGAGCTATCTCGGTTTTGCGCGCGCACTGCACGACGGCGCGTGCCCAGAGATTCGGAAACTCCTTGATGAACTCGACGACGGGCGGCAGCTGGGCGTCCGGCAGGGGCTCCTTGCTCGTCGCCTCCTCCTCGAGAACCTCGTGGAGCAGCAGCTCGAGCGAGTGCGAGAAGTACGGCAGGCCCGAGCACGAGCGAGCGATCTCCCAGGCGTGGAAGCCGAGGTTGCGATGAATCAGCTGGCGCAGTATCTGGTGCAGGTAGACCTGGCTGGTCAGCTGGAGCACGCAGTAGGGCAGCACGAAGGGCGAGTCGATGATGTTGGACGTGTACATGAGGGTGTCGTTTTCCGCGCCCAGCAGAATCGCGTCCTCGAACAGTATCGTCAGCGGATGGATCTTGAGGTGGAACGGCAGCATGATCCTCTTGCTGATGAACGAGTGCGACTTGTCGTGCTGGTGCTTGGAGAAGAGCGGCAGCCAGACTCGAATGCCGTGGGCGCCGCAGAACAGCCAGACGGCCTCGGTGAGGTGCTGCTTGCTCCGCCTCGACTCGCTCGGTATCCAGACGTTCTCGACGCTCGACGCGAGCACCAGCGGCACGGCGCAGGCGAACGACGCGTTCGAGTTCTTGGTCCAGTAGTCGCGCTGGATCATGAGCAGCTTGCCCGATATGTTCAGCAGCAGAGTCTCCGGTGGCGAGCTGCGCTCGACCGCTTCGGTCCTCACGAGCGACAGATTGGCGCTCACGACGCAGGCCGGATGGCTGCACAGCGCGCTGATGTCCACCGTCTGGATGAGCACCAGCTCGATCCAGCTGTCGCCTTTCACCTTGCGAGGCACTATGTTGTAGATGCGAATCTGCGAGCTCGCGCAGAACGTCAGCAGTAGGTTCTTCAGCAAATTCATCAGCAGAATTTGCGAGCTCAGCTTGATCGACCTGACGTAGCTGTTGTCGAGGCGAAAGTCCTTCGAGTACAATCGAATCTCGTCCTCGTCGTCCTGGATGGAGTAACAACTGGTGATCAAGTAGCTTCGGTACCACAGCAGTCCCCCCGTTACCACAAAGTCCCGCTCCTGGTACTCGTTGCCGAACAGCTTCCACTTTCTCGATATGATGGAGTAATGAGCCAGACCTGTTTTCCCGGCTATCGCTATGCTCTTGCCACCCTCGTCGATTGCCGTGAATCTTACTGGCCAGTTGCAGCGCGTGTAGGCTTTTGGTATGGGAATCACGAGCCACTGCTTGCGACCCGTTAGTACGTGATGAAAACCGTCGAGTCTCTCTTCGCTCGAATAAAAGTGCTTCGGATGAGACGAAAACATTTTGTGACCTAAATTTATGTATAATCTATCCTCGCCCTGCAAGTATATGTGACCATTTGGTGATAGGCATGGATTTACTGTGAGCGGACTTTTAACGAAATTCCACTGCATTACTGAACTACAATTGCCACTTGACTTCTCCTCTTCTATTTTTTTTCTTTTCAGAAGTAAATTTTCTTGCAGCATCCAAAGTTGATATCCTTCTGCTGACCACTCCATTGATGTAACATAAAAGTGATTTCCTCTGAGAGGATCGTCACTTACACCGTAATCCCATTTTAAAGTGCACAATAGCAGAGCACCAAACGTACTCCATAGCGCTATACCTCCACTGGACCATGCCATTGCAACTGCGCAACTGTCAGGTGTCCATCTCAGAGATGAAACAGCCCCTGTAACTCCAGGATAGTCCTTGGTTGATAATATTAAATTATGTGATAATTCTAGAGCACCGCTAGTCTCGTCGATATATAATACTATGCCTTGTCCATTTTTTCTACCAAAAGCCATTAATTTATATTTATGATTAACAGCAGTGCAAGTAACATCATCTACATCTTTAACCCAAACACCCTGCACTTGATTGGGATCAAATTTCAACGATAGAGCTGTTAAAAATGCAGCTTTTCCATTGTTTAAAACAATAGCAAATCCTCCAGCTAGAGGAGAATAATCCAAACAAGTTATATACACATTAGCACTAGTAAGTGGCACGGCGGCTGTGGACATTTGCTGATCAACACTGAACGGTATTCTTCTAAGATCCAGCGTATAATCTCTATTTTGTCCACCACTCCATTTATGTCGAATCACAAAACTTGATTTAGTTGCTATCATAAGTTCATCTCGTATACATACCAAGGCACTGATACCACCATCTATCCATACACTTGTATCAAATTTAATGCTAATAGAAGGAATGGAATCTTTAATAATGAATTCGGCACACTTTTTACTTTGTTTGACAGAATTGATCTGCTCGTAGCAAAGACTAGCATTATCCTCCACAAGATGATAGAACAGCAGGTAGCTCTCTGCAGTGGCAACTACGAGCATGCTCGAATCCGGCCTCCACTCGAAGGTGACATTCTGTCCGTACTTGTCCAGGCAGTCTTTCGTACGTCTTTGGTAAACGAGCGGTATGCAAGGGTCGCAACACCAAATGCCAATGGCATCGGTAAATAGTACGCCAAATAGTATCTTATCGCGATTGCAAATTATGGAGCATATTTTGTTGACTTCTGGAATGTTGAGTACTCGTGGCCATCCAACTGGAAAATACATATTTGCCTGTCACTCGCCTTTGGACGTCAGCAATGTAAACATCGTCTCGTTCGCTCGATGCTATCTCGTTGCATCGCTGCCCTCCATTGTTTACAGTACTAAGCAACACACTGGAATCTCCAAGTATGTTGCTACGTTGCTGAATGTACGGAAACCACAAGTTTTTTCTATTACAGACACTGCGCGTGATTCCGTTATCGAGGCACACACTGCCACATACGACGCTGCAGACACGGTACAACGACCCTAGGCACACATACGAACGATCGGCTCGTCGAAATTCGAAATTGCCATTAACGATGGTGCATAACCTCGTCAAAAAAATTGCAGGTTGTTGGAGTCGCGCACTTGATCTCGTCGCGCCTCTCGATCGAGCCTCAGAACAATGCGAAATTCTGCACAGCTGATGCACAATTTCGAGCTATACATAAGCCGGCGACGTCATCACATTGCTAACTGAACGGGCGCAGATCATTTCGTGACATATTCGTGCGTGGACTGCTCGAGCGATGTAGATATATACATAGCAGCAATCGTGACTTTAGTACCCCTCTTACGCCTGCTACTCGATGTGTTATTATTACTTTTCAAAACTCCGACCGTGCGCTGCACTAGTCGCTCGCGGCACAGACAGTATACAAGCAGCAGCAGCAGCAACAGTGAACTGGCATGCGTCGGGTCGGGCGCGCCGCGTTCTGCTAGATTTTGCCAAACTCGCAGCAAGTGCCGAGTGCTGTGCCCCGTTCCATTCTTAGTTTGGCACTGCCATCAGACACGAGCGGATCAAGACAGAGCCGCCTTATAAGTTGCTTTTAAATACACCCGTGCTTTTACACTGATATATACCATTACGAGGCTCAGTGGATCGCAGAGCTTTTTCTTTACAACTTTCACGATTCGCTGATATTCGGAGTGAAGGAGAAAATATATCGAGTGCCAGTGCTGCTGCAGCATTTCCACTGCATCACCACCCACACGGTGCTTTGATTATAGTCAAAAGCCCGATTGGAGGAGTGAAGTTGCGACGCCGTGCTAAAGCTCTGTGACTCGAGAACGAATTGTTGATCTTGCACAATTGCAATATCCGCACGATTGAGCGTGCTAAGGAATCGACGACATCGCAGCAAGTGCCGCCGCGAAGATGGAAGAGGAGACGGAAATGAGCACGAGCTGCTGCGGTGAGAACAATCTCATGATGCGCGTCTATTATGCGGCCAGCGACGGCATGGCTTTAAATCTTTTTGCCATACTCAGCGAGCTTGAGCCCGAGGAGGCCAAAAAATTGCTTCATCAGGTTTGTGCTCTTCTTACTCGTCGTCATACTCGTACATCTTGTGTATAAAAAAAATCGACTGCCAATGTTTTGATGGATATCGATTTTCAATGACGTTTGCCGTGTGAGTCTAATTTGATTGAGCGTCGATTATAACGCTCCAATTCTTGCGGATATTATTACAATATTATTGTGTATAAAGCCCAAAACTGAACTCGATGACATAAAACTCGTACGATTCGTCGAGCAACAATTGCCCAAACGAGATCAGTTGGTTAATTATTTATAAATTATCTATTGATAGTTCTGTAGCTACATGCGAATTTAGCATTGATGAATATCATTAATTGCAATCGTTAACGCGAGAGGGTAAACGGCCAATTGAATAGATTCCATGACATCGAATGAAATTCATTCAAAAAGAAACTCGATTTCGATTTTGTAAATGGCACCCTTTTATCATTAAACGGGATTTTAGGTTGATTTAAAATTGATAAAACATCTTTTTACTCCAATAAAATTTTTTTTAATTGATCCAAGATTGCAAATTAATTTACATTACGTTATTTTAACTATTGAACTGAGAAAATAATCAATATTACTAATCAACGTGTAAATAACTAAAATGAAAGTAATAAACTCATTAACAAGACCACCTCCAGAAAGCTTTGTCTTTTTTGAGGCAAAACTCTAAAAGCATTTTTTCCAATGAAAAATTTGAGTTTCTGGCTTGTTGCCAAATTTATTTGCTTTGAGGTCTTCAAACAAAGAAGTCTGAAGATCAAAATCATCACAAACTTTTTTTTATTGGAAACGTGTTACAATAAATAATTTTCCTAATTCAAAAACTATGGCCATTAAGAGAAAACATTATCTGAAAATAAATATCGACTTTTGCTTAATTGACCTACGAAAATTTACAGAAAATTTTGCAAGAAGATGGCCAGTGTTGCTCACCATTCATCGTTGCTGCACGATTTGGTCACACTAAAGTTATTAAAATGCTCTTACAAAAATATGACATAGATATTGAGCAAGAGGGAAGAGTGAAGTTTGATGGATTCATGATTGAAGGGGCCAGTGCTCTTTGGTGTGCTGCAGGTAATAAATCATTATTGAATTAATAGTTACAATTGTTTGAATGTCAATTGAAACATATGAAATATATTTTTTGCTTCTTATTGAGACATAATGCAATAGATGCTAAAATCTATTAATGGATTTTATAGGTGTTGGTCATTTGAATGTTGTAAAAGCATTGGTGAAGGCAGGAGCAAATGTAAACCACCCAACAAAAACAAATTCTACTCCAGTAAGAGCTGCTTGTTTTGATGGAAGATTAGACATTGTTAAATATTTAATTGATCATTCTGCAGACATTCACATTGCAAATAAATACAATAATAGTTGTCTTATGATTGCAACTCACAATGGCCATTTGGATATTGTAAGAAAAATGTTTTATTTATCCTAAAATGTTATTAGAATAATGTTGATATTAATGAGAAATATTTCTCTAGGTGAGTTATTTATTAGAGCAAGGAGCTGATCCAAATGAAAAAGCACAGTGTGGAGCAACAGCATTACATTTTGCTGCAGCTTGTGGCCATACTAACATTGTCAAGGAATTGTTGAAGCATGGTGCACAAATGATATCCAATAACAAGAACATGACACCATTGATTTCAGCTGCTGAAAGAGCTAGAGATGATGTTGTTGAATGTCTTATTGAAAATACAGAAATCGATAGAGAAGATAAAATAGAAGCTTTTGAGCTTCTTGGAGCTTCATTTGCTAATGATAAAGATTTTTACTGTTTACAAAAAGCTTATGTCAACTTGCATAAAGCTATGACACTGAGGTGAATATATTTTCCCATTTTTTAGATAAAAACAATTGTGAATTTTTCATATAAATAGCATATTTTTAATCGCAGGTACTGTGATCCAGACAACATTATTAGAAAAGTTCCAAGTAAACCTATTCCAGCTTATGAAAATTGGCTTGAATCAGAAACAGTAGAAAGATTAGAGAGTATAAAAAACAATCAAAATGCTATACATATGGAATCCCTTACTATCAGAGAGAGAATTTTAGGGACTGAAAATCCTGATGTACCTCAACCTGTGATTTATAGAGGAGCTGTTTTTGCAGATAATGCAAGATTTGATAGGTGCATAGATTTATGGTTACATGCTTTACATTTGAGACAAAAAAATAATCTGTCTGTATCGCGGGATCTATTACGATTTGTTCAAGTAAGTTTCAAATTTTAAATTAATTCCTTCATACAATATCAAATGTTTAAAATTTATAATTACAGGTATTCTCTCAAATGATTCACGTTGGAGTAGAACTCGAGTTTCAGCAAGTATTAGACATTCTTGAATCAAGCGTAATAGCGCTGGAAAGAAATAAAAAACAATTGTCCGAACCAGTCTTAAAAGATGATACTGAACCCTCAGTTGAGGTAAAATTTCATATTTTTTACATTGAAAGGGTCAATATAAATTAATTTTTAGTCAATATAAAATTCATTTATTTTAGGAACAAATAGAATCGAATTTGACGATTACGCTGTATATTTTATCAATCATTACAAAATTGATAACATTGAATGGAAAAAAATATCAAAAAGATTACATGGATAGAGCTCTACGTTTAGTTTGTCGTGTTACTTTTCTTGAAATGACTTTAAAAGATGGCAAAACTATATTACATTTAGCAGTTAATCCGGAGACTCCTGTGGACGATTTTCATACGAATGATGTGTGCAAGTAAGTCGAGTACAATTTATCAAAAAAAGGTAAAGTTGAAGAGCTCAACACCACTAATCTAACGCATTATTAATTAGTTTTCCATGTGCATCGACTTCCAAGTTACTAATACAATGTGGCGCAGACGTCAACGCAATGGATCATAAAAGAAATACGCCTTTACATTATATAGTGCAATATAAAAAGCCAATCAGTGACTTTATTACGTTGCACTCGATTATATTGGATCTCGTCCAGGCTGGTGCGCATATCGATGCTGTGAATTCTCAAGGGAAAACACCTTACGAAGCAGCGACAACAGGTTGGTGGAAAAATATTATTACACTTTGTGAAAGCATAATTAACCCATTCAAATATATCTGTCGATTTTTTAGGAGTAGCCGAGATTATTCTTCGAACACAGACAAAGCTATCATTAAAGTGCATTGCTGCTAAGGTCATAAAAAATCACAATCTTTCTTATTCTGGCAGTGTTCCTAGCTGTCTGGAGAGCTTTATTGAGCTTCACGGCTCGGGTCTTAACAAGGGGTAAAGTTGGTTATCTTCTCCGTTGAAGAAAAAATTTTATTCAAAAATTATCCCTGCAAAGAGGAAAATGTACTGAATACCAAAGTGATGTAGATAGCTATAATTTTAAGCAAAAAACCAAAGATATAACTTGTATTATTTTTGTCTATATATAAAGTTATTACATTTTTCTAACTACTTGCTACTGCTGTAGAAAAAGTTGTACAAATAAAAGATTTTATTACGATTTAAAATTTTATAAAAATTTATTTATTTTTACAAATCGACAATATCACGCACAATCGACAATTTAATAAGCAAAGCATCCAGCAAACATCTAATTACAATTTCTTAATGAAATTGTGAACATATTTTAATGTATATTTCAACAGTGGAGATAATTTTGATTTTTTTTTTTAATTTAAATCTTTGTGTTTTAATGTAAGTTAAATTAGTTATTCTTATAGGACTACAAATTTTTCTACATAACGATCAACAATAATGAGGATGCACTTTTAATGCTCCGTTTAACTATTGATTTCATGCTTCAACATTGACGAAATTAATTATAACATAGTCAAAGGCTACATAATAAACATTATTGAAATAAAATAAAGATGACTTTTTATGTATAAAAATATAAAATTGCGAAGTATATTTTTACGTTAAAGATATCTCTAAAATGTTGATTCAAACTGATGTGAAAAATGTACAGTATTTGTCCGTTTTCATCAGCTAGATTCGACGCTTACTTGATAAGAGTTCGTTTATTACAATTAGACATTTTAAAACCTTACGTATTATATAAAATATATTGTACAAAAATAAGATTGTCGGAGAATAATTTCATGGATAGCTCAATCGTCCAACGTCAATTCGTTATACAAATAAAACACTCGTTAAAAGGAAACTCTAACATGCTGTTCGTTTTGGTACAGCATGCCTAAGAACCAGGGCACTATCAGCAGATATGATCGGAAGAGCATTATCACAATGATGATTGACCAGGTGGCTTACACTATCGAAAACTCGGTCTTTCGTTCTTACCTATAACACAAATATCAACGTTAACTTAATTATCAGTTTGTTTTACTGATAAGAATGTCATAAAAGTTCTCATACAATTCCAACAGGATCAATCAGCAATAAATGTTTTGGAATCCCATTATTCATTCCTGTAAGAACGTATTGACCAGGTGTACCTTGTGATTCGCGAACTAAAAAATCTCCATCCTAAAATTTTTTTGGATTAATTATTGTTGACTATACATTATTTTTTGGTAATAATATAATAACATAATATTATTTACTCGTTTCAACATGGCTTCAGCATCCGCGCGATTGACAACTCCATGATACCAGGCTTCTTGTTTTAATTGCTGTTTTTCACTTAGTGGATGGTTTTTTGTTTTGTTCATTTCTGAAATGGCTGTGCTGAATGGTTCTAAAAGTTATTTAATTTTAAAAAATTTGTCACCTCTGAGCAATTTTAAATTATTTCATTTAACTCACGCATATCAAAAGCATCAAACAAAGTAGAGGGTTCTCTTCGATTACGATTTTCCACAACTACAGTATCATTAACATAATTATGTTCAGGATCTACACTTGATGATAAGCCATCTGAACTCAAGTCAATCAGATTTCCAGTTTCTGTATAAATTAAGTAACTTAATTGATTTTCTCAAAGAGGATAAACAATTTTTTAATGAATTCATATGAGAATTACCAGGCCACTGATGTGTATGCCTTCCTCCTCTTTCGATTGTATTAGACTGGGGTTTGTTTTGAGCACCACTACTACTTGCGGCATTTAAACTAGAATTTGTATGATGCTTCATGTTAGGAAGAGTTGAAGAACACACTGGTAGTGGTGGTACTGGTGGTGGACCTATATCTGGTGGGACTTTACCAGGTAAATCATTGTAATAATCACGATCTGGTTCCCGAGTGCCATTTAATACTGGCCTAATGAAATTTATAAATAACATTGCGTTATATTCAAGAAGATTCCTTAGTTCAATTTATCTTAGTGATAGTATATTATTCTTACTGTAAAGTAGCTGGTTTTGTGAGAAATTCTTTAAATCGCAACTCAAATGCTTGTCCTATGGTAGAGATGACATCTTGAGCTAAACCACCTCCACATTCTAATACATAACAAGCCCTCCACTCTTGTTTATCTTTTGCTACATAAGCTACAAAATCCAAAATTTCTGTATCCCCTCCAGAAGCAAAGGATATCCTAGGCATATCATGTTTTGCTATAACTTGACCAGTTTCCAAATTTGTTAAAGTTAAACTTTCACTGTTTATAGCTAAGTTAATATTTGATCCAGCATGTTTCATATCTGGCTTGTCCGCAATAGCTCTCAAAACTTGTCTGGGAACCTAGAAATTACAGAAAAAATCAGACCAAATTTAAAAAAATTTTTAATAAAAATAAAATGATATACCCTTCTTTTTTTATCAGCCGATTTTAATCCGGCTGCCTCGCACACTCTGTTGATACATTCTCTGGAAATGAAATGAATTAATTACTAATTGAATCAAAATAATGTTGAGTACTCATAAATTTAAATATTTCTTACTTGGCTACACTAGACCGAGTTTCAAAGTCCAGGCTTTTCATTGATGAGTGAACTTCCACGCATCCAATATACTATTAATTATTACCAATAAATATTAGTTATACTCATTCAACTAATAAATTATTTAATAAGAATCAAACTTACCCTGACAGCATATGAGACACCATCTTTGCTTACAAGATGATCTGGATGCAACCAACCCCTTGGAGGTTTGTTAATAAAGCCTCCAGCTTCTGCCATGCTCTTCCTAGAAATACTGCAACAAAGTACAGGGGTTATTTTTTATGTAAATTCAAGTGAATTTAATTTACTTTTGTTTTTTATGTGCATAAACCGTAACTATTCTTGTGGTAGGAAAAATGATAAAACACTGGACGCTCAAACAGGTGGCGATTCGAAATTTTCGATCATTTCGCAACACGATGAGTGCGCAGCATTGTAACAAAATGATAAAGCCGATAAATAATATCTCACAGCCGCAACGTCAGCTTTGTACGCACGATTAGTCATCGTCACTAAAAATCCACCGATCTAACGAAGCAATGTAATCAGTGAATAGCAAATGATTAAATTATGCTATACATATATATATATATGTATATTGTATGCGTAGATATATGCGAGTACCCACCCACCTACCCTTTAATCAATCCTCGCTACGTATAAGTAGGAGCTCATCTCAAGTTCGAATCAAGTATTTGAAATTAACCTCAATAGCGAGAAATACATTTTAAAAAAATGACGAAGCTGCGGAAAAGGCTCTAACTCAGCTCACTTACCCGAGCTTGGATAAATTTCCTCAAATCCGGGGAATTATCGCAATGTTCGTCAGCAATCGGCCGTATTAAGGTGACACGAAGCCTTCATCGAAAGTGCAGGCTGCTGCTTTCTTGCACACGACGAGGAATATGCGTCACACTGCCAATATATACTCGCGGCTCTCTTGCATATATACAGCAAACAGAGCCTGCTGCTCTTTCTCTCTTTCGAGCAATTTAATTGCAAGGAATAGATATCTTCGCTGCTGCATGTATGCATGCACCTCTCACTGCAACAGAGCTCTCGAGCGAGCGCGCGATCACTGCACTCGCGAGACTCGTCGATTATTTATTTCTCCACTGTTCCACTGCAGCTCGTAGCACGTATATATGTGTACGCACTTGCAGTCAACGTTCTATTGCTCGCCGTGTGTACATTACTTTGTTTATTTGGCCTTTTTTGTGCAACAAATGTACGACATCGTCGCTTGTGCATGCACTACTTCCTGCCTATATAGAGAATATACACGTTATACACGCTGCGATATTACACGCGTAGTACACACTGCGGTGCACGGCCAGTCTCGGTAGTACTATGCGCGCATGGATGTGAATGAAAACGTATTATATGCACACAGTCACACACTCCATTCTATATACAGTATACACATGCGTAATAGGCATACAGAAATATCAGCCGGGGACGTTGCAGTTGCTATAACGAAAACCACTGCACGTATCGATAGATATCGTGCTCCGATTACAGTCTTCGTTTAACTGTGCATTTCCTATTAACCCAAGCATCAGCTGAAAACAATTTTCGAGAAATCTCCGTAGCTATTAACAAATATGGTAATGATTTCAGTTACCAAGAACTTTTTTGAAATTTTTTATTATTTCTCTTAACAGGGAACCTTTTTGGGATGAAAAATAGTATAATAGGTACAGGGTTTAGGGAGGTAAAATACTGTTGAAAAAAAAATCGCTGGATATGTTGGTTTATAATCTATCTACAATAGTTCAGCTGGATTTTGACCTGAAAATCCAACGATTTTTTTTTAAGTGAGTAAACAGTTGCTAAGCTCTTTCGAAAAATACGAGATCGAAGGAATTATTTTTCTTAAATCGACCTTTTCAAAAAAGAAAAATTTTTCTTCGTGACAGAAACGAAAATGCAACTTTCGGCTAAGATTCAATAAAGTAAAAAACTTATTATTGAAATTAGAAAAGCACTTTATAAGAACTAGTTTATATAGCTCTCATATTTTCAGTAAAATACTGCACTATAAAAAGACGGTAAAGTTCCATTCTCTCTCTATTTACCACGAACGCGGTCAAATACTCACTGTGTTTCTCCGAGAACAAGCTGATGATGCACGCCAAGTAAAGCAAAAGCTACTACTACAACTCTCTCAATTGTCATAGTTACTGTCTAATTTTTTTATAAAAAATGTTCACCAACGACAACCTACTGTACCTACTGTTCTATTGCTTACCAATGTAATGTACTTATGAGTAATTTTACTATTTCATCTATGCACGAGTATTTATGGCGTTTTCTTATTTGTATGAAAAAAATTATTCTCGGCAGTCATGAGGCAAGAATAAAAAGCATTATTTTCCTCAACTGCAAATTGAAAGTTTGAAAATTTCAAACGATCCAAAGCATCACGACCTGAAAGACACGCGATCTTTACAGTATATTTGTGCATTTACGAATTCGTGCATTTGGCGCGCGCACGTCATGTCTGTGCATTGCACACTGCATTAAACCTAGACTATACTTGCACGTATATATTACTGTAAATATACAAGTAATATGCGATGGGTATATACTGTATTATGTATATGTTGGAAGTAGGACTCACCATTGCAGTCGGGCTGTAGCGGCGTGGAGGCTCGGATGTTGTCGGATTGGCTCGCTGAGGCCTGAGGAGACACCGGGCTTGTGTTTAGTACTCGCACTCGCTGTCGTAGGCAGTAGCGCCGCGCGTCCTTTGACACGCTTTTATAACCGCATTGTATGCTGCAAATATATTACAGTGCCGCGACTTGATGCACTAAGAAATACCCAGTGCCGCATATTTGTGATCGAGTTTACAACAACCTTTCCTTAATTATTCAAAAATTGTACACCAAAAACGTTAAGGTGGAGAAAAAGTCGAGTCGATCCTGCATCTCTCGCCAGTCGTCGCACCAGCAAAGCCTTTGCAAGAGGCCGCGTCTGCCGCGGGTGCATTATACCGCGCGCTCGGCATTACTAGTATATAATACTAACGAGAGAGAGAAAGATAACCAATCATGCCATAGAAGCAAGCAGATGCACGGTAGCTTTTCATCGCCGAGCGAAACTTTAAAAATATCGTCGAGATAGATCATGACATCGATCGAATGATTATTTACTGTTTTCTCTTTCTGGAGTGCATTTCGCGATTAGTGTGATCCAACGTCCTACACAAGCTCGCAATCGACTCGAACTTTATAACGAACGAATAAGAGAAAGAGAGAGAGAGAGAGACGAGCCTGCAGACTCGACGGCGAAACAAGTTGGGAGACTCGCGATTGTTGTATACATATACAAGATATAAAGAGACCGCGCACTACTGCTTTGCTTGACTACTGTGTGTTCTTTTCGCAGCCCATCGATAAGTTTATATTCTCTAGCTCTTGTCGTGTGTGAATGGACTTACCGAGCGACCAAGCGAAAATTCAACAATTCCCTACATATGCCTAATCAAAGGTATGTATAACACGGTACAACATGAACCGAGCATAATTTATATCAACGCGTCTAAAGAGTGTGATGATTACGAATAGCTTTTTACGCACGATTGATCGCCCTAACCTCAAGCTTGTTTTCAATTACTATTATTGAGTTCTCATAATTCGCCGAAATATTCGCAACTTAGAACTTCAACAAACTAATGAACGTTTTCTTATTTAAGTTGGGTGAATTTTTTACTGTGCTTGATGTCTTGATCGAAATTACGATGTGTATAAATACGAGAAAAAATGATTACTTCAAAACACTGTTATTAGAGACATTTTTGTTAGTGATAAATCTAATCTGTGTCATTATACATCGAACTTTCAATACAACTAGTATTTCCTGTATTTTTCTCTGCTTTACTTTAGTATTAAATACGATTACTTATAAAAATTTTATATTTTATTTTATAAAGTAGAATATAATTTGCTAATCTCTAAAATGCAATTACTAAAATGAAAATTTAAATTCAAATTTTTCAGGATTTGGAAAGTGTCTTAGTATAATATATTGGGATAAAAATCATCCTTGAAGCCAAAAATATTTGTTCAAAATGTCAGAAATTGTTTATCCTTCGGGGTGTAGACCCGTCACAGATGATCTAGGACCTGATGAGCTCATAAGAAGACTCAAGGTATCTTATTCTGTTTACCAGTAGTAATAGTTATTTATGTAACAAATGCCCAAAAGGCGTTTTTGGGCACGAATGTGCGGAAAAAGACACGAGTGCCGGCTACGCTGGCACGAGTGGGTGTTTTTTGCTGGGCACGTGTTGCATACAAAATTTTATGCAATAGTAGGCGAAAAATACGTTCATTTAAATGAGGCATTTTACCGCACACCCGTGTCCCAAATGAGGCATTTTACCGCACACCAGTGTCGAAATGAGGCATTTTACCGCACACAAGTGTCCAAAAACGTTTTTTGCGCACTAAAAAATGTGCGAAAAAAGACATTTTTCGTCGTACTATTGCATAAAAAATATTTAATTATTTGTTACTGATATTTTATTTTTAACAGACGTTGGCCCATACTTTGCAAGCGATGGGTCAAGATGAAGGCATGTACCAACAGTACATCCCTCTTGCACTACATTTAGCAGAAGACTGTTTCCTTCAACATCAAAGTAAGGATGTTCAATTACTCATTGCCTGCTGTATTGCCGATGTTCTAAGAGTGTATGCTCCAGAAGCTCCTTATAAAGACCCTGACCAAGTAATTAGCTAGCTTGTAAAAATGAAAATAATTTATATCTAAACAATTCAATCACATTTAAAATTAACTTATTTTCAGGTCAAAACTATTTTTTTCTTTTTAATAAAACAGTTATCAGGTCTCAAAGATCCTAAAGATCCAGCCTTTAAAAGATATTTTTATCTACTTGAAAATTTGGCTTACGTAAAGTCTTTTAACATGTGCTTTGAACTTGATGACTGTCAAGATATTTTTTGTGCATTGTTCTCTCTAATGTTTAAAATTGTCAAGTAAGTATCATAACTTGAATTAATAGTATGTTTTTATGGATAAGATTCATTTATGATTTATTTATTTAGTGATGAACATTCTGGCAAGGTTAAAAGTTTTATGTTGGATGTACTCTGTCCACTTATAACTGAATCTGACATAGTGAGCAATGAACTATTGGACATAATTCTTATTAATGTTGTGGAACCAAACAAGACACAGAGAAAAAATGCTTATTCACTAGCTAAAGATCTTGTAGTAAAATGCAGTGATACTTTAGAAACTTACATTCAAGCAGTGAGTGATGTTAATCTTTATCTCTGATACTCATTTTTATTTCAACAATAAAAATATTTCTTTATGTTTTAGTTTTTCAATCAAGTGCTCTTACTGGGTAAAGAAGAAAAAAGTTTACAAATCAGTAATAAAGTTTATGATTTAATTTATGAGTTGAATCATATATGCCCGAGTGTGCTTTTGTCCGTTTTACCTCAATTGGAATGCAAACTTAAGTCATCAAATGAACAAGAAAGACTTGGTGCTGTTGGATTGCTATCAAGAATGTTTTCCGAAAAAGGTTCACAATTGGCTGTTCAACATCCACAGCTTTGGCGTGCTTTTCTTGGTAGATTCAACGATATCAGCGTTTCAATTCGTATAAAATGCGTGCAATATTCAATGCACTTCTTATTAAATCATCCAGAACTCAGAAAAGATATAACAGATACTCTGAAAATGAGGCAGCATGATGCTGATGAAAACGTAAGGTATGAGGTTGTAATGGCTATTGTAACTACAGCTCGAAAAGATTTTGAAGTTGTATCTGATAGTGAAGATTTATTGGAATTTGTAAAAGAAAGAACCCTTGATAAAAAATTCAAAATCAGGCGTGAAGCAATGACAGGATTAGCAATGATTTATAAGAAACATCTGAATGATGCAGATGTACCCCAAGCTACAAAAAAGGCTGTAACCTGGATTAAAGATAAAATTTTACATGGTTACTATATGTCAGGTATGGAAGATAGATTATTGGTCGAAAGATTACTTAACACCTGTTTAGTGCCTTATCAATCATCAGCAGAGGACAGAATGAAAAAGTTGTATCATTTGCTTGGTACAATTGATGATCATGCCTCTAAAGCTTTTGTTGAATTACAGAAACATCAATTAGCGTGAGTAGCAAAATTATATATAATGTTATTTATAAAAATAATCATCTAGTTAATATATTTTATAAACGATGTTTTCTATTAAAACAGTGTTAGAAGAGCAGTAACAGAATGGGTTGAGCTTATTAAAAAAAGTGAAGCAAGCAACACATCTGAACCACAAGCAAAGATTGTGCAAATCTCTCGTTTTCTACCTGAACCAATGAAAGTACAAGAATTTCTTCAAAAATTTTGTGCACATCTCAAGAAAGATCCAGTTCTGATGCAAGGGATGGAAACAATTTTAAAACCAAAAGTTACGTGTAAAGACTGCGCTGAAGCTATAACTGTGGTTCTCAAGAAATTGGGTCAACCGGTCATGACAAATCTCTATTACAATACTATTAAAATGTTATTAGAGAGGATTAGTTCCGTCATGATTGACGAGGAGGCAATCAGGGTACTCATAGGCTACGTACTAGATTGCTTGAAAGGTGGAAATGTAATCGAAGAGGTTGGATTAAATCCAAATAATGCTGGTGAAAAAGGTCTTAGGTTATTACTGGTAAGTATAACAATATTTATCTCCATTTAACAGCACAAATACACACGTAATAATTATGATGAATAATCTTCCAGATGCTTTCGTTTGTATTTGCACCACATTTTCTGAGCGACGACATTTTACTACAACTTAAACAGCTCCTTGAACTGGAAGATGAAATGGTTGCCCCTCTTGTTCTTTCCATATTTACATTCTTAGGAAAGTACAAACCTCTGTGCGAAGTATCAGTAGATATAACAAATCAGTTGATACCTATATGTAAAAACTACGTAGAAAGTGGTACACCAAAGCAGTCAAAACAAGCTATCAGATGTTTATTCATTAATATGGTAGATAATCATGACACAATATTCCCTGCTTTAATCGAAAGTATAAAAAATGCTCTTAATCCAAGTTCAGCAGATTATAGAACTGCAATTGTTGCGTTAGGTCATATAGCTTATAATCTTCCTGAAAAATACCATCAGCAAATTAAAGTTATGGTTTCTAGAAAGGTACGTGATTGTCCGTTACATATCAAATAACATATTTCAATGAATGCATCGCAATTCTATTATTATTATACGATTTTTAGATCGTCAAAGAACTTCTCGTTAAAGAAACTAGTGAACAAACACATGAGTCAGAAGAAGATTGGTGTCGCGAAGAAGAATTACCCGAAGAAACTCGCTGCCGTCTTGAAGGTTTGAAATGCATGGGTCGTTGGTTGCTGGGTCTTAAAAATGACATACAATCAGCACAAAAAACGTTCCGCATGCTCAATGCATTTATCATAAATAGAGGAGATTTGCTTCAACAAAATAAGCTTAGCAAAGCCGAAATGAGTTGGTTACGGCTACAAGCTGGTTGTACGATGCTCAAAATTTGTGAGCAAAAGGGTGTTGGTGATCAGTATACTGCCGATCAATTTTACAATCTATCGCAATTGATATCGGTCAGTGGAAGATAAATTTTCATCAGTTTCAGAATAGCGTCAATATAATTCTAAAAACTTTTCTCATTGATTTTAGGATGAAGTATTGCAAGTCCGCGAAACTTTTTGTCACAAATTGCATAAAGGTCTTGGCAGAGGAATTCCTAATAAATGTTTGCCTCTAGATTTTATGGGTTATTATGCATTAGGTGGTAAAGAGCAAAACAAAAAATTGAAGAGTTTACTCAAAACATACATGAATACAGATATAAGCAAGAGAAGAGATTATGTAAAATCTCTGTCATTGGGTACAGTTGAACGAGCCATGGGTAAGACAGTTGATTATATTTTTTTTACAAATATTTTATGAAATTAACTTCGGTTGTTTCATTTAAAATTTTCTGTTATTTTTTATTATAGGCAAATTACCGCACATTTTGCCAGACTATATGCTAGTTTTCGCTGTACCTATTCTTGCACATGATCCTGACTTTACGAGTTATACGAATGTTGAACATTTGAAGATCATACAACAATGTTTATGGTTTATTTTAGAACCTCTTATAACCAAGAATGAGTTTTATTGCTTCAGTTTTTACAAAAATCTTATTGAACGTATGAAAAATCATAAAGACGTTGTCAAACCAGATGACGATTCCATGAACTACGTGAGTTGCAACTTCAAGTCAAATATTTGTATCATTTTCATGTTTAAATTTTACTATAATCAATATCTTTTTGAATGCAGAAATTGTGGGCCGTGTGCGATATGGCCATGAACGTGATTTTCTCAAAAACTACAAACTATGATATGAAAGAATTCCCAAGTGAAACTAGAATACCGACGATGTATTTCAAGAGATCTGATGAAATCATAACAAATACCAAGAATTACTTGCCCGCGGAACTGCAGATTAATATGAATAATCCAAAATCTAAAGGATCGTCCATGAATTCTGTGATTGAAAGACCAACTAGAAAAACAAAAATTAAAGTAAAAGAAGCAGGCATTGGACCAAATGAAACAGACGCTCGGGTAAGTTACATTAATTAATCTTATGTCAATAACTTTGTGTCAAAATCTGAACTATATTCGAAACACCTTTTAAATTAACAAATGTGACGTCAAATTAAACTCTTCTTTATTATGATATAATTTGAACATGATTCAACTAATCGGTATCTTTTCTATTCTTTATTTTAAATAAATCGCTTGAGCAAATTTAATTATTGTTTCAAGCTGCGCGATGATGAGATGAAATATATTGATGCTCAGGTAATGGATACTGTAAAGAATTTTATAGTGTATATTAGAATAAATTATGTGTGATGAATTTCGTAGTTATTGATATTGATGTAAATTTTATTTTTATTTTTTACACGTTTACTCATATTTTTTATTTTAGCCTTCAGAAGCCTCAGAGACAAAAATACATTTACCCATCGATGATGACGTAAGTAAAAAATATATTTGTTAAGCTGCTCATTTTATATTGTAAAAAATAAACTAAAAAATATGTTCATGTTGTAGGATAATGATCAAGAACCACCAGCAAAACGACCACACAAGGAAACAAACAAAATAAAATAACTGTGAGCGTGATCAATTCATGGAAATTTAAAGTATGCATCAATAGAGAGGATTATGTGATAATTCTAATGTGTAGATCGTGTGAACTGCTTATGAACAAGAAACAAATTATTTTGACTAAATGTATAACAAATGATGGTATACCCAAGTTGTTCACACATTTCTAGATAAAAACTTATAGTAAATAGAGTAGTAGGCGATACAGTAAAATACCACTACTAGTTCAAGTACTACGGTGGCTGATTGTGTAAAAAGTGTGGCTATCTAAAAAAATCGGAACTAAAACTTTATATCGCTTGTAATATGAATGTAAAAATTGCTTGACATCAAAATAATTTTCATATTTCCTTTGATTTTTGTTTCACGTTAATTTTATCAAAATTCATAACCCTGGTTAGGAACTTGATAAGAAAAATTACCTTAAAAAAATGAACTTTTGTTTGTTTTATAAGTTAGCTATTTATTTGAAGAAAAATATTCTCGTGTCAACACATCATAAGGGCATTATTTTCTACTAAAAACTCTAAATCATGAAAACTTGATAAGAATCATTTGTATACTCTCAGCACACTCTTTACCATTTTCTAACCAGGTTTATATTACATATTAAAACTTAAACGTGTATGAACAATCTTTTTTCACTCAATTCATTTGTCATTCCTTGTGCTGTTTCATAACTAATGCGTAAATTCTAATTCACTTCAAATTGATTCTTAATGTTGTAGGTAATGAATTATTGTTTCATCATAAGTTTATGAATAATTGATAATGAACAGTAGATTTAATATCATTTATAAATAATAAATATTAATATCAATAAAATTATTAATATGGAGTTATGTTAGTTCTTGAATTATTTTTGAATATCAATGCAACTAAAAACATCTCTATTTAACGGTAAATGTATTTATAAATTGTATATTGATATATTGATTTCGTGAAAATAATTATGATTTCACAATCCATCTCATGATTTCCTAAAAAAAGATAGCATCAAAATGTATATCCTCTCTTACATCATAAAAAGTTTAAAATGATTTTCGACTAAAAAATTTGTATGAGCATTCGTTTGTTTCAATGGTTGAATTGTATTTTAAATCAAAATGTGAATAACGAAAAAAAAATTTTTTTAAATTTGATTCATTTAATTTCAGTTTTTGAAATTATCTATCACATGAATTATTTTGCATACACCAGTAATACTTCAATTTTTTTCATAATTTGGTGTGAGTTAAAGAGAAATCTCGATATCTTGATTTAAATTTGTTAATTGTTCACTGTATCATTTCTTACAAAATTAGATAATAGGTTTAATTTATATGAAGAATTGTTACAAAAATGAAACATGCCTATGAAAAACTGAATTCTGTAAAACATGAAGGTTTTTCACCTGGCCTAGTTTTCGTTCTTTTTTCTATTAGTAGTACTATTTAATAATTACGATATTCTGATATAGAATGTGGATTATACAAATAATAATAAGCATGAGAAAGAATGAAACGGGCGAATGAGCGATGGAATACATTTACAGAAAAAACTTTCGGTAATATAAGTGCTAATAGTTTACTGTTTAATTAAAATTACTGCACCAAACTTGAATTGAAATTTATAAATTTATGGCTTAAACAAGATGTTGATGGAAGTAAAAAACTTTTTCGCGTTTCAAAGGTGTACAGATTTACCGATCAATACCAGCAGTTCCTCAAATCTCAATGTACGATCTAAGCCATTAAATTTGATATAAATTGAAGTATTTCCATATAAAGTATTTTTAATACAGACTTACATTCTGCACGACATTAAATTTTTCTGTGTTATAATAGTTATGCTGTTAACAAATGCATACATATTCATGTGAACTCTTAATTCAACATTACTGTGTTGAATGGCGAAAGTAAAGTATTGTAAACTGGATCACCAGTAATAAAACGAAGATCAAATAACATAAGAATTGATGTTACAACAATTCATCCTAAATTCTCCTAATTTTCATTTGATCAAAAAAAATTTGATTATTTGTTCAAATATTTTAATTTTTTGAATTTCCCTGTTAGTGAAATGATTGAAAATATTTATACATAATAAATCGGTAATGGTTAAATTAATATTTTATTATCATTAATGTGTTTTGATTGCTTTCGCAATTATGAGCTAATGATATTCATACCTTTTGCTCAATGCTCGAGCGACGGTTGGTTCCTCGACATATCGAACACTCATCTGTCGCCTCATATTGATGTAAGACTTATTCATTTATTTACGAAACTTATAAAAAACTAGCTCCGATCTTAAAAATCGTTGGTCGTCATTAATTTTTTCAACATGATAAAATAATCATCAAATCTGCAAATATAAACATTCGTGAATTTTTTATCAATGCTTTTCTTCGCACATTTTTTATTATCTTTTTGAGTATTAGTAATTTTATAGTTTTGAATTTCTATACTTATATAAAATTAGAAAATAATGAATTTTTTTTTTATAAGTTAAAAAGGAATAGGTGACAATATATTTTATGTTAATAAATTAATTATCAAATGGTTGTAATAAATATGAAACACAAAATTATTTTTCGAAAAAATACGTATTACGCTCCTGTCATAAGATCGGTTAAATTTATAAATGATAGTATAATAAATTCAAGCTTTTTGTTTAAAGTAGATGGAATAAAAGTTATAATTTATGAAACTACATACCTTTCAGCTAAATATATTGATTTTTATAAGAATTTTCAGCGGCTTACCAATGATTTAATTAATTACAATGTGTAACTATCCAAAATAATTTTTCCTTTATTCTTCCAAAACACAATTGTCGTGTAAACACTCAAAGTCGATTTCGCAATGTCCTTACAAGCGCCACTTATCGTAAATATATAAAATCGATTCTCTCTTTCGATTGTTCGCATCTCGAACATGATCGATGGCTTTTGGCGGGAAAAGTCCGCCTTTGTTTACCATCGTCGCCGCTGAATTGGCATCAAAACGCTCACATTGCGCATTTGCTTTACCCACGTGAACCGCAGACATAATCATTGTTTTTTATTGAAATAACCGATCGCAAATATTGGAACATGGGTATTTTGGGACTTTCAAAATTGATCGCGGATGTTGCTCCCGAAGCAATTAAAGAGTGCGAACTGAAACATCTTTTTGGTAAAATAATTGAATCTCTGGTCCGATTTTTTATTGACTAATGTTGAATTTAAGAAAACACGTTAATTCACAGGTCGCAAAATTGCTATTGATGCTTCTATGTGTTTGTATCAATTTTTAATAGCTGTCAGATCGGAAGGTGCCCAACTAACTTCTGTGGATGGTGAAACTACAAGGTACGTTTTCAAAAATTATTAAGAATAATCAGTATTTTACTAATGAAAAAAACCAATTTCAGTCATCTTATGGGTACATTTTATCGAACAATAAGATTGGTGGAAAATGGTATAAAACCGGTTTATGTTTTTGATGGTAAACCGCCTACATTAAAAGGTGGAGAATTAGCTAAGCGGGCTGAAAGAAGAGAAGAAGCTCAAAAACAATTACAAGCAGCTGAAGAAGCTGGTAAAGCTTGATTTTCAATATAATAATACAATTCATTTTTTCTTGGATCTTTATCATTCATTTGTGTTATTTTAAAATTATAGGCAATGCCGAAGATGTTGATAAATTTAATCGTAGACTTGTTAAAGTTACCAAACAACATGCTGAAGATGCAAAACAACTGCTTAAATTGATGGGCATTCCGTATATTGACGTAAGTCAAAAATAGAAGTGTAATAAGGAATATGAACAAAATAGCATGTGAAACTAAACGTTTTTACTTTATTGAAGGCTCCCTGTGAAGCTGAAGCTCAATGTGCTGCAATGGTAAAATCTGGTAAAGTGTATGCAACAGCAACTGAAGATATGGATGCATTAACATTTGGAAGCAATGTTCTATTGCGTCGTTTAACGTTTAGTGAAGCAAGAAAGATGCCAATTCAAGAAATTCAATATGATAAAGTATTACATGGACTGCAACTTAACAAAGAAGAAGTAAAAACATAATTATTAATCACAATACTTTTTTATCATTTTGTTTTTATTTGTATCACTCAGTTTATAGATTTATGTATCATGCTAGGATGTGATTACACATCGAGCATCAAAGGAGTTGGCCCAAAAAGAGCAATAGAGCTGATTAGAAACCACAAATCTCTTGAAAAGATTCTTGATAATTTGGATACTAAAAAGTATCCAGTACCAGAAGATTGGAACTATAAAGATGCTAGAATGCTATTTATAGAACCAGAAATAAAAGATCCTGAAGAAGTTGATGTAAGATATTTAGTATACAATCAATTACTTGAGATTTCATCCCATTATTTTTTAAATATCTATTTTACAGTTAAAGTGGAATGATCCAGATGAAGATGGCCTTGTTCAATTTTTATGTGGTGACAAGCAATTTAATGAAGAAAGAGTAAGGAATGGAGCCAAAAAATTGGTGAAAGCTAGGCATACAGGTACTCAAGGAAGAATTGATTCATTCTTTAAAATTCTACCTTCTACTACACCTCAAAAAAGAAAAGTAAGTCTAGAAATTTATTTTTAAATCAAGCACCAGTAAATTAACTTTTTGTATCAAATCAGCAGACTGATGATAAAAAAACTTCAAACAAAAAGGCAAAAACTACTGGAGGTGGCAGAGGTCGAAAACCAAAATAAATTTTTAAATTATAAATTCATTGTTTCATTTTGCTGTTGGTTGAGTAAAGTGAGTTTTTGAAACTCTATCATCATTACTTTTATCTCATATGCTTGAATATTTTAGATTTGTACATATTTTTATAATTAAATTTTTCCACAAAATTTTGAACTATTAATTAATATAACTTCTTTGACCAAATTTAAATAAACATACATACTTATTAATGAAATAAAATGTGAAGAATTAATATATATCTTTTCAAAATTCAACAAGTTTTCCATGCAGAATTTTTAATAATGCTTTAATGCTTTTAAAATAGTAGCGAATCAATTTTTGAATATTTTTATAGGGTATCTGAAAAGACTTTTCAAAGATATTAATATGAATGAAAACCAACAAGATTAGTATAACAATTATACATAAAATAAAATCTCTATTTTTTCAATTTTTTAAAGTAAATATATGTTGTATAATCTAAAAATATATTTCCTCTTGTTAATTCAATATGAATTACTTGAAATAACTTAATGAAACAATGACTTAACATTGCTTACATTTTACATGTGTCTGTTGTAAACATAGTTATGATATAAACTTTGAAGTAGAAGAATACAATATAAATTTACAATCATATTGTAGCAGAGATTTTTGATCTATTGAGAAAATTTTATAACAGTACTACCAATTGCATTTGAATCTAAAATATGAGACAAAGCTTGATCTACAGAATTTAATGTGTAAATTCGATCTAAAATAGGCTGAAGCTTTTTGGAATCAGCTAGCACTTGTAGAGACTGCAAAAAATCAGAATTCAGCTTAGAACCCTCTTTCCAATGACAATTGGTAGCTCCAAAAACATACTAAAATTTTAATAAGATTTTATAGAACAAAATTATGATATAAATTAGAATATTTAAATTGGGTTAGTTTCTTACTTGTAACAGCAATTTTATCCGTATACATCCAGAAAAAAGGCTTCCAGTTATATATCCTAAAGAATCTGATATTAAATATTCAGGGGCAGTAGATATATAAGATCCATTAGGAACTAAATGTTTCCTTAAAATTTTATCATCAACAGTTTGTCTACCAGTATTAAAAATTGCATCAAACCTAAAGAAATTAATGCATTGGTAAAATAAAATTTAAATATTTTATTTATGTATTATGATATTCAATTTTACTCACTTATCACGTGTTTCTAATTGTTTAAAGATGTCAGTATCATTGAATAAAATAATTTCATCTGCTCCTAATGCTTTTATCACAGATGCAGCTTGGGGTTTACAAATTGTAACAACATACCCTCCCCATACCTTAACTAATTGTATTAAAATACAACCAACAGGAGTACTTCCACCATATACTAAAACCCTAATAAAACAAAAATTTATAATACTTGAATGAAATATTTATGGAGAATATAAGTTGTATGCACCTTTTTCCGTGTGCATTTCCTATTTCAATAGTAGAACAATTAACTATTGTATGCCAAGCTATACAGCCACTATAAGGTAAGCTAGCAGCTGCCTCATATGGTAAAATTTTTGGCATTTTGGAAACTCGGTTTTCAGGAACAGCAATATATTCTGCCATTGTTCCTGTAGACCATGATGGTACAGCAACAAATACATTATCCCCAACATCAAAGTTTATCACATTGTGACCAATATCTACAACCACTCCTGCACAATCTCTACCTAAAATTACAGGAAGATCTTTGCACCTCTATAATTAAAACAAACAAATTAATTAAATACAAGGTGTTCAACTTAATTTTAAAGTTTTAAAAATTTACCCCAGAATTAAGTAATTTTCTGTAAGCCCTTGAATACCCGGAACAAATTTGTACATCTATTTCATTGATCGAAGCTGCTTTTACTTGAATTAGAATTTCGTTTGGTTTCTGTATCGTAGGCATTTCAGCATCTTCAATCAACGAAACACCCTATTATACATTTCATTAAAAAATTATTAGTAAAATATTAAGAGGCTGAGAAATTAGTTATTGTTATTAATTATACCTCCACACCAATATAATGATTGCAAACAATAGCTTTCATATGATGCAGATGTTTTGGAGAAAATCTATTTAACACCCAATAATGCCCTATCACACCTCCTATAAGCATGCCAGTAAAAAAATAAATGAACTCCCTTTTGGAAACTGAAAAATACATTTTAAAATCATTTTTTTGTTAAAATGTCAACTTTTCTAATCAAATCAATTACCTTTGGCAGAGTAAAAATTCAACACCCTGTAGTAGATGTATTTTGGATTTAAATTTATAGTAGATAACTGATAATTAATTTTTCTTAATTCTGCTTGAAACAATGTAATAATTTGCTGGATGAATTGTTTTATTTCTTGTCCATACAAATCATCACTTAGATCTTTGAAAGTTTGTTGACCTTGTGATATCCATGAACCAAGAATTTGTTGACCTTGCTGGGCACTTACAGATGCTTGAATCTAAAATGGTGAACATATAATCTTATCATAATTTGAATAATTAATTTACAAGAAAAAAAAATTGAAAATTACTTTCTAGTCATTGAACAAAAAAGCTTGAATGTATTACATATAGAAATAGAATGAGCTGAGAGTGAGAGTAAATGAACACTTGGATAAGTTCCCAATCCCTAAGAAAATCAAGGTCAATGCTTCCAACTAATCCAATGACCTTTTATACTGCCACAACAGGTTTGATTAAATGGCAGATGCTTGATGAGAATACATTTAAATTTTATATAATTGATTTACCTGTAACGTTTCAAGCTGATTGGACAATCTAAACATAATCTCCTCCATTGTTTCATTGATTTACAATTATAAAATATATAATTTTTGTCTCGTTTGATAATAGTAAAAACACAAATATTAGTGCAGTGTCAAAAGTGCATCGTACATGTCAATTAGTAATTGACATATCGCTATTTTTCTTTTTTTTTTACTTCATGAGTGAACACATGATCGGTCGTTTTACGCACTGCAGTGTTAGTGATAATAAACAAGTGCATCACACACACACGCACTGTAGTGTGCTTATGTCGTTAATACCTGTAACTTTATAAATAAACTATTAGCAAAAATAGACAGGGTAGGATCGTATAGCAGATGCTGCGAAGCAGACGAAACTTATCACATTTAATGTTACAATAATTGTAATGAATCGCGACCGCTCATGTCAACGATTCTGCGATTATTACGCTATCAGTATCAAAAATGATTGTAAAGAGTGAGATTCGTTGCCAAATGTGAGATTTTTGATTTACTCTTTAATCGTGAGAGGTTATAAATCACATTGAAATTTTAGTTTTTACCATCGGGATTCGCGAGCAGACTTATATACGTAACACATCGCTGTCATAATATTAAATAGTTGAACTTTATATTAAAACTACTATTTGAGAGTAACTAATTTTTATGGAAAGAATATTTCTTCGTAATTTCTGTTTAATTATTTAATCTATAAATAACCATTTAACGCCATTTTCTTATCAAATAAAAGTCAGTATTAGAGATGAAAAATTAAAACAATAATAATTATTTATTTACGTAAAAAAAATCGTACAAAAATCTACTAAAACGCAAGCCTTTTTTTTTGATACCTGAACTTAAAGATGACATTTTCGGTCCTGCGCCCATAACATAATAAAGATAAATCTGTTGGTATTCGACCACCTAGAAATCTTTATTCAGTACACCCTATCATTTTTTTACATCGAACTATCAAAAGATGTATAAATTATTGTAGTTTATTCTATAATAAACTACAATAAAAAAAATTTCACGAATAAAACATCAATCATCGAAAAATCTAATTAAACATCGGTCTAGTACCGGTGTTCCTAAAAGTAAAGTTTTCTACGTAAGTATCCGAACACATTTTAACACGATTTATTGAAATTATTTTTATTGCTTTAACTTTTTTGATACAATAAATAAAATAATTTAATAGTGAAAAACTCAAATGGACTATTTTAATAAATTCAAAATAAATCTAAACGACTCCTACGACTTGACATAAAATGGTCGAATGCTAGAGGGTGGTCGAGTACTAGCAGGTTTATACACTAATAGATTATGAGACAAGGGACAATGTTTGGTATCAGTTGATAATTTATAACATGTGATCTCAGACATTTTTTTTTATCTTCTATTATGCTTATTAATACATTGTGTGTATAGTTATGTAATTTAATACTTTATCACTGCGTGCGGAAAAATCTTAAAATCGTCTTCTTGCACGGTATGATAAAAAATATAGTACGCAACCGGGGCTGGGGGTGTCTTTAATGCAATCGCCACGCTCGAGTAAAATAAACAACCCCCGCTCCTAGTGTTTAATGTACTAGTTACCTCTCTCGTCCGATAATCTACTATCTATAGCAAAAGTGAAAAAAATAAAAAGTATCAGCATGAAAATTTTGAAAATTCAAATAGTATACAAAGACATACATGTGGGCACCATGAACGATGGTGTTGCATTCGCGTACATTCAAAGTTTTTAAGCTATTAATAATTTTAATTTTTGTTACATTTTTTTTAGTTTTTTATTTTTAAATAAAATGATGTACGAATTTTTCTGACATAATAAATTATTCTTTTCTAAACATTGATAATTAAAAGAAACAGGGTAATCGAGTAAACAATTTTTTCAAATATTTATGATAAAAGGACATGGATAAATGAAAATTTCTATTTATTTCTTGCTTTATTTACAACTAATTTACAACTTTTTTCCGTAGATAAAAAGATTATAAGTATACAAAATGAAAATAATACATTAAAAAGAGTACATTAAATAGGCATCATTGGTTGATCTATTATTTTGAAAACCTATTGTTTAACCTATTATTTAACTAGTTCAAACCACTGTCTCAAAGCATCACTTAGAATTCCAGGCAAAGCATTTATATCCCTCAAAATAATATAAAAGGGGAATGGAAAACTGTCCATGTAAGGTTTGATTGTAACTTTTCCGTTTTCTATAGTACTCATTCTTATATCCAAAATAGAATCCTAAAAAATTAACAAAAAAATATTATTTGTAAAAGTTTAAATTACACAAAAAATTTATGTGGTTAAATAGTTTACCTTATTCAAAGGATTATCAATAATAATATAAACTAAGGTAATATCGTTTTGGTTGGCTTTTCGTATAGCTTGTCGGACTTTATCTGCTCCCTCACTGAATATGTTTTGTCCATCTGATATTATTATTAAAATTTTAGCATTGTCAGATGAACTATTTTGACAATTAAACACTTTATCTGCTGTATGATTGATTAACTTCGCTATTTCAGTTTTCTGTTGTTCAAATTTCATTTTTTCCTTTATTCTAAAAAATATCAATAATAATAATTATTAATGCACTTTCTATTAATAGCTATTCATTATATTGTATAATTTTGAAATAATTAATACTTACTGTGCAATGCTAGTATCAGTGAATGGTTCCCCAAGTTTATGTAATTCAGTTGCGTCTGCTCCATAACTAAGAACGCCCAACTCTCCAGCTTCTAGATAAGACAGAGCTTTGCCAATAAGGAAAAGAGACTCGAACGCTATGTCTTTGGATAGATTACTTTCCATACTACTGGAATCATCGATCGCCAGTGCTATTTGATAGTTGCGCTTTGATGGCTTTGTACGACGAAGCCAAATTTTATCTTTAAGGAATTGACTAGCAATAAATTGCATCATTTTTGGCATAGATATTCGTCGACCGGTACGGTAATAGCCTTTCAAACGAGTCGCTTTGGTCGGTTCCAGGACAATTCGAAGTTTTTCTGATAGTTCACGTGCACGACCATCTACTCTGGAGCTCAAATCCCTTAAGGATTCCATTGTTTCTTCTGAAATTGGTTCTTGACGACATCGGCTGTTTTCGTTATTCAAATTTACTGAAGGCATTTGAAGTGTTGAGAGAGGTTCAGATTCGATGATATTAGTGATATTAGTGAAGAAATCTGATTCAGTTCCACGGGAAACTGTAGTAGTTTCAGTTATTTCACCCTCAATGTCAACTTCAGCGGCTGATTCAAGCTGAGTATCATCAACTCCACCTTTATCTTTCGAAGGAATTTTATCTTTCGGATCTTCTTTGTTATCCAAATGTTCTGGTTTTTGTTTAACGGAAGAATCTTCGTCCATTGCCATAATATTTTCGTCCTCGTGCATATCAATGTCCATTGCTTCTTCATCTTGATTTTGTTTTTCTTCTTGTTCTTTATTGGCGGCCTGCTCTTTCGACTGCTGCTCAGTCGCAGCATCTACAGCATAACAGTCAAATTTTTCTTGTTTTTCTTTCAAATGTTGACAAATATCTGGTTCGCCTTCTTCATCAGGATTTGCTCCTTCCTCACTTTTATCATCTTGTGAATCATTTTGAGCGTAAATCATTGTTTTCATTTTTTTCTTTTTAGGCTCAATGTTTTCAGCTAATTTGTGGTCTTCGTCACTTTGACCTGGATTTTTTCTTTTATTTTGCTGTTCTATTTCAGTGCCATGATTCATCATTGGTTCAGCTTTTTCCAAAGAACTTCCAGAATGACCAGAATCATGTTCCTCTGCTTGTGACTGACCCGTACCTTTATTTTCTCGTTCTTGTTGCCAGTTTTCAGCTCTGGATTCATCGTTTGATTCTTGTTGATCTTCCGATTGATTGGAAACTTGATCTCTTGAACCACCTTCGGGCTGTTCTATGGGAGCTGCAGCATCAGTTTCTTGAGCAGCATCGTCAACGCTCGGTAACGCTTTGTCTTCCTGACGTTCGTCTTCGCTTTGATTTTCCGATTCCGGTTCTTTATTTTCTTCTTTTTTCTTTTCTTGCGCTGATGCTTTTTCATCTGCTTTTTCCTCATTTTCATCATCTGCAGTATCACTATTATCAGGTTTATCTGATGGTTTTTCTGGTTCATTTTCATCGTCACTAGAATCATTTTTATCTGGGTCGACCTTGTCATCTACCTCTTCTTCCGCAGTTTCAGGAACTTCAGGCTCTTGTGGAATCATGTCTTCTTTCATTTTATCGATATCAAAAGGATTTTCTTCATTGATAGGTTCTTCATCTTTCATTTCTTTATCATCCATATTCATATCTTCAGGTAAATCTAATTCTTCTGGTTCAGGGGGTGCTTCCATTTTTCCATGGTAAGGATTTACTTGATCTTCATCATATTGTGGTTCTTCCATTTCATTGATTTCTTTCTGCTGATCTTTTTCAGGCTCTTCTTTTTCATTACTTTGTTCTTCTGAATCTTGTTGAGGTTTTTCATCGTCTTTAGCACCAAATTCTTTTTCACCCGTTTCTTCTCCATTGCCAATCTCTTCTTCTTTTTTTTCAGTTTCGTCACTTTCGGGTTCTTGCTCATCTTCGCCCCAAACTCGTTCGTCAAGCTTGTCAACACCATCATCGGTTTCACCCATTTGCTTATCTAAATCATCGTCATCTTCATCACCGGTATCATCGTCTTCCTTTTTATCTACATCTTGTAATTTTCCATCAAAATCTTCAGACATTTCAATACCATTATCTTCTTCGAGGCAATCCTTATCATCTGGTTTTTCCTGTTCTTGACCAGCAGGTTTTGCGTCATCCAACTGATCTTCAGTTTCGATCTGGTCAGAAACATCTTTCTGACCTTCCCCATCGCCTAGACCCATACCACTTTCGCCGGTTTTTTGTTGCTCGCCCTCATCACCTGATTCAAGATCCAAATCATTTGGAATACAAAAGCCATTATTTGCAAGATCCAAGAAAACGTTCAGTTGCATATGTAAAATTTTGCACGTTATACGTAATGAAGCGACTTGTTCAAGAAGATAGAATTGGGCAAGCAAAAGATAATGCTGGAACAGTGGTAGAAATTTTCTAAGAAGCCTGTAGAAGAAATAAAAAGATATTAATAATATAATAGTACCATTGAAAGAATTCAAACAAAATATTAACTTACTTAGTGTGATTAATAATACTCCTGGGTTTTTCATTGAAAATAGCTTTTAACAAATTGTTCAAACAGACACATATTCTATTTAATTTCAACGTTTGCACCTCCGTAGTTATCGACTTAATTAGTTTTTCTTCCAATTTATTGTCTTCCCAATCATCGATATTCCGTTTCTCTTTATATTTATTTTCAATGACTTTCAACATCATTAAGACTAATTTTTCTAATTCTTTTTCATATTTCTTCAAGTTATCACTGCAATCTATTTCTTCTGATACTTCAGTTTGGTGTAAAGAAGCGATAATATCATCGAATTGACTAATATTTTCATCAATTCTGTTTTTTAAATAACTAATATTATTAAGCAAAGGATGCAAAGAATTGTCTTTTGTAATAAATGTACTTGAAAATTCCATCGTTTTATCTCTGATAGTTTTCAAACTTTCGAAACTGTCTTTCATAAATTGGATACGCTTGAAATTTATCACAGTTACTTGATCTACAATCTTATTATTTTCATCGTATAAAACATGCATTTCTGGGAATACATTGTTGAACTTTTTATCCAACTCCAAAATGATGTCTGAGCACTCTTTAACATAATTATTGGCTTTTGTCCAAACAGCATCTCCTTTTTTACATTTCACCAGAGGCAGTTCATCGTCAGTTAAAGTATAAATCATAGCGTCTTCTTCTACTTCAGTCTGATGTGGACAAGCTTGTAGATAAATGAAGAATTGATCGAAACTAGCTCGAGCAAATACTAACAACTCGCGTAAGTTTTTGGCGCTACTGTGTATTTCCTTTTGTTTCGTGGTAGCGATATCATTGGGATTTATGTAAATCAGATCTGTTATTTGAGAACGAAGACTGATGAAGTATTTCACAACGGAAGTAAGATTTTTTCTTTGTGTATTAGCTAAAACCATAAGATGTGTGGAAAATCCTCGACAGCGTTCTATATTATCCATTCCTAAATCAGTTTTATTCACCGAAAGTGATTGATTCAATGCATTGAGCTTGATAAGTGAACCATAGTAGTACTTTTCACATCCTTTCCATTGGTCCATTACTTTTCCATCAAATGCTGTAGGTTCCAAGGAATTCTTCAATGCAGCATCAAGTTCTAATGGTAGTAGAGTAAAATCGAGCACTTCTTTCAAGTTATTTTTCCACAATCTCATGCCTTTCATGTGCGATAAACCAAAACTCTTTAGATCTTTGAAGTAATCAGAAAGAGCTAGTTTTTTCTGCTGCAAAATAGATTTAGCTAGTTTTTTCTGTTTTGGCAATGGCTGAGTTTTATCAATCGTTTTATCCCGGAGTTCAGCACTTATTCTAACTCTATCTATGATAAATTCTTCAAGATCTTCACGAATACGCGAATATATGGACGAAGAGATAATCTTTTTGCAGAAAAGCAATGATTTCGGTAAATAAACACGCTCTGCTTCATTGATCACGTCACTTTGCACTGTTGAAACAATAAGTGACTCGGTTGGAATCGAAACTATGTAATCCATGATATCCACTGAGTGGTCATGACTTTTTTGAGGCCGGTCCCAGATACCCTTTAAAATGATAAAAAAAAATTTTAAAATGTTATGAAATTGAGTAAATTCTTTTTAAAAAAAGTCAAAACTTACATCTTCACTCTGATAAACGGGTCTGACAATGAGGAATGGTGTCACTTTTTCTTTCAAATTAGTTTCGAATTCCTTGATATATTTATGAAGTGTGCTATGAGATTTATGAACCGTTTCTTTGATTGCCCAAAAGCTTATGTCGTTCCATCGTGCTATCTTTTCGAAATCTTTTAATTTTTTCTCAATCGGAGCTTTCACCGCTTTTATTCTATTTTGAATGTCAGGTAAAAATTGATAATAATAATTATGTAAGTTCCACGTAATTGCAAGCAACTTATTTCTTTGATCACTAATATTCATGTAGTAGACGTGGTAATGGAATGTCATAAGTAATTTTAAGCGTGCTTCAAATTCGACCAAAGGCGCTTCTTTCATAAAACGTTCCAATAATATGATTATGTTTTCAGTTGTGGAATCTACGCAATTTTCTTGGTCATCTGGAAAATAATATCAGAAGTTTTCACATTTTTAATATAATACCCTTATGATAAAAAAAATAATATTTTTATAAAATTACCTTCGAGTTTTTCTTGTTTAATGTAACTTTCTACAAGACGGTATAAGTAAAACCACCATACAGAGGTATTCTCTTGCATTTTCATCTGAGCATTCGATAAGCAATTTTTCCAGCATGTAAGTTCGAGTTGACGCCATTTTATAATTTGCCGTGTTAAGGGCTCTATAAAATCTTTTAAAGAGACTCCACTATGTGCGTTTTCTTCCCATTGGTGCATTTTTACGAGAAGAATTTCTAGACCAGTCAAAAATCTTGATACTGAAGAAGTTACCGGAAATGAATATATTCTTTCCAGTACTAATTTAATCGACTTAAGAGTAGGATGTTCTGGCCATTCATTCAATAATTTTGCAACTATATTGAAAATACTCTCAAGAAGAGGGATACAAGATTGAACCTCCTCTACTTTGCTGTCTCTGTAGTAATCATACGGCTTGGATGATTTTTCAGTATCTAGTGGGTTTAATTTTTCTCCCTGTCCTAAACGGCAGGCGAATGAAACAAGAACATTCATGCTAGTATATAACTGTCCTGTAAGACCGTTGGTCAGTGCCGGGGTAATATTATCCAAAAGTGCTCCAAATGTACCATAACGCTGAATAAGTGGTTTTACGTAATCGACCTCTAATTCTGATGATTTTTTTACCATCCATTCGGAGGTGATGTATAATTTCACCAAATTGGAGTGAATTTGTTGAACCTAAGTAAAAATGCAATTTATCATAACTTGAATCAATTTTTAATTGTATGTCGTTAGTAATAAAATTAAATATACATACCTCTTTGATGTCGTCATCAGTAATAAGATTTACAAAGTTATTTTCTTCATTCTGGACTATGAGCGTTTGTTCCAAACTAGGCGTAACAGCTTCATCAACATCTGCAAAATCATCTTCATGATGAGTAGGGAACAATTTTTTCAATTCAAGTGCCAGTTGTTCATCTTCGGGCAAAGTTGTAGCTTTGTTTTTGTACAAACTTTCCTCCTGCATTTTTAGCTTTCTCAGCTCTAATTGTTGCCGGTGCCAAACTAAAACTATTGGCTCCAGTAATTCATTCAATAGGGACCAATCTTTATTTGTTAATGTGCCTTTAAGAACCACGTAATTTTGAAATTCACTCAAACCAGATACCATGAGACGGAACTGTTCACGAGTCACGTTTTCCGTTGTAATACTCGTTGATACAAGCTCACGACTTTCTTTCGAGACGCACACGTTCACGAGTTTTAATAGGTCTTCTTGTCCAGGACCAAGAGTAGGAAAGCGAATCAGATCGCGCATAAATGATTCGAGCTTCACAGAATCAAATTTCGTTTCAGCAGCGCAAATCAATCGATTGCTATCTTCAATGAGAATCCGCATACCATGCCGAACTCGGGCAAGACCAGTTATTATTGGGTAAACAATGTCAGGATAGCCAGATAAGAATTTTTCTTCTATTCGGTTCATAAAACCACGTAATGATTCGAGCCATACTTCAGCGTTTCGCTTGGTTGATTTGGCTTTTTCCAAGAATTCAGAATCACCTTCGATTTTTAGTGTTGTTATTATTTCCTGTAAATTTTCCGAATGTTTATAGATGTCAGAATATGAACCGATAGAGTTTCTGAAATTAGAAAATTCTTTCGATAAAGCGATAAACTCAGAATTTGATGGCCTGACTGCTTTTTGACTTTTTAATGATTCTTTTTCAGCTTCTAATGTTTGTAGATTTTGCTTGACTTCAATGAGTCTTGGATGGAGATCTGTGGTATCAGCTAGCCCCAACATTTTTGAATATAACTTGGCCACGTATAAAGTCTTTTTGGAATCTGATATATCATCTTCAACATAACGTAGTTTGAGTGCTACTTTGTAAACTGGATCGATAAAGCCCATATTACCAAAAATGAAGGCTTGTAGGTATCCGAAAATAATCCAAGCTATACCTCTAATGGAATTTTCTGAATGATGCTCTAACATTTTAGAGATTTCCTTTAATTTTTTCAGTGGTTTCGAATACTCATCTTCAATAATTTTTTTTGAACCAATTTTATCATCTTTATAATATTTACTGAATAAAGTATTGGTATCAACCTTATCACAAGCGGTTAAAAAGATATTAATCAAAGAACGTAATGTCTTGACGTCATTTGTAACGTGATCGAATCGTTGCGAATTCAATGTTACACTATTTTTCCATAATAAATCATTTACAATTTGTAGTTGATTTAAACGGTCTTCATAGCTACCAAGATTTGCATCGACGTTCAAAGAATCACGACAGTAATTTTGATTTTTTTTCAGAAGAAGTTCAGAAACAAGGTTCAACAGTACAGGTCCGCTAATAAGATTTTCTTTACTCATTTCTTCTTGTGCGAACGGAAACTTGAGATCAAGTTCAGTATTCTTAGCTTTCCAATGAGATATCTGTAAATAAAAAAAAAATATTATGATATAATTGTAATTTTTATAATATATAGTTTGAATATAACTGTCAATATAAATGTTTAATACCTCTTTGTAGTGTTTAATAGCATATGAGTTTTCACTGAATTTCAAAAACCAAATCGAGAGAGCAAACATCAATCGATTTCTTTCTTCGGGCAAATTTTTCTTTGATACTATAGAATTCAATATAGCTAAAAGCTCTATCGGCACATTTGGAAGTTCTATTTCAAGACCAGTTAAGTTAACAGATGGCAGAGAAATATCATCATGATTAGCGCAAAGTTGAGTTTGGAACATTCCAATATATAAACGCAGCATGTACTCATGAATTGGCCACAGTTGTATCTTGTATGTGCATTTAAGCAAAGTTTTAGATGAAACTGTCTTGAAAACGTTAATGGAATCATTTTTTTCGGAACAATCAGATATGTTTAAGTGCGCATCGCAGAAACGACCAATTTCAAGCAATCGCTCATCAACACCCTCTTCGAAACCATCATTGGTATAGAATTTCTGCCAAAGGCTGATCAGCTCTGATCTTATTTCGAATGCTTCGTTAGTTTGTAAAGTAACGAATTTTGATTCTTCCGACAAATTATTACTAAAGTATTTGTTTTTATGCGGTGAAAATGAATTGGTAACTTTTTTAAGCAGAGAATACATGTTCAAAGCCGTTCTAGATGAACAAGGTAATGGTGAAATTATTTGCTTTTTGTAAAGTTTGCAAACTTTGCAGAACGGATCATAAACTGTTGCTAATTCTCTATCTACTTGATCGACACTTTCTTTTAATTGTCTAAAATCATTTATGTATTGATGATTGGAATCTCTATCTTCATAAATTTCGTTCAATAAAAACACACATTTTTTCAGCCATCTGAAGTGAACTTTCAATAACAAGGCAACCTCATCAATATTGGAGTTGGATTTGCTGGATGCATTCGTTTTTTTCATTAAATTCATAGCTCCTAAATTACAAAATCTCTTATACCATTGTAATTTTTGACGAATAATCACATACTTGGAACTGTCTAAGGCAGTTTTGGTAGTTTTAATCATACCACTGATACAAGTTTTAAACTTGTGTATGAGTGTTGCATATTCTGTAATAATTGGTTGGCCATCCAACTGAATAGATGTTTTTCCCGTGCAAGAAGCTTCAGAAAATTGAGCAACAGTAATAAACTCGTCTTGATTATTGGTCATCAAATAATTTGTAGGTTTGTCAACGTCAATTAATATATCAAAGAATAACATAAGTGATACATTAGTGGCTCTACTGCATCGTTCACTATCCCAAGGTAAGTGAACATTCAAACTGTCCTCAAAATCGTATGTTGAAATATCAGTAGCAAGAGTTTCGCTTTTAGAAGCTAGCAACTTAATATCCGAGGAATCCATATTAAGTAAATTCGATGCCCATTGCTTTCTTAACTGTACATCGGTCTGAGTTGAGTATTCATAAAAACTGAGTAAAACGTAAGGTAAGATTTTCACTAGATAATCACTCATTAACTCCTCTCCATCGAGAGGGAAAAGCTCGTTGACGAAGTCAGTCTTGAGATCGGTCACGAGTGCTGGATGTTGCTTGGCCACGCGCAAATACTCTTTGACACACCAATTCAGCAAGAAGCCGTGCTGTTTGACGATCGAGAGTTTTGAATTTTCTTGCAAGCTGCGCAGGCTACAAGAGGCCGAACTCAAGTCAAAAACGTAGTCGGTGATGGTGCCAACCTCGAATTCCCGTACAGTTTCCTCAACAATTTCGAGGAGACGCGACTGTGTCTTACAATCCAAGATCGATCGGCCACGAATGTAAACGTCTTTGCAAGTGCTGATAAAGGCATCCGTGACTGGAAATGCACGGTTGAGTTGTTGTACCACCAGAAAAGCGCTGTGTAGCAGTTGTGTAACGTTCAAGTGATCCATGTTCGAGGGGTTCTCGCACATGCGTTTGTGCAAAGTCATCAATGCTTCTTGATGATTGCGTTTGGTAAGTCCACTGTGGTGCAAAAGCGACCTGTAGTCAAGATTAGCGGTCTCGGGACTTTCATTGTTAGTCAGCATAAAAATTTCAACACCTCTGTTGCGCATAGCTCTTGAAATCTCCCCATAATTTGGATCCATTGTGAGGAAAAGTCGGAAGTTTTTGTGTGGCTTCACGGTCACGATGTTGCCGTCGTTGTCGACACCCCGTTCACCGATACTGAGTACTCCATTGGGTTCCAACAATCCATTAAGTCTGTCGAGTACTGCAGCACTACACACATTAACTTGATCCACCATTAGCCAGGTTCCCTCTTTCAGACACTTCACTAAAACACTGTCAACCCATTCAAATTTGCCGCCAGCATTGAGGCATTGTTGTTCTTTGACATAGTCTCTGAGTTTTTGTAATTCCAATTCTATGCTTTCTATATCTTTTATAAATGATTCTTCTTGTTTCATTTCGTTGAGTAACATCGATAATGCACCTATTCTGCGAATAAATAGTTCCGTCGCTGCTGCCATGGTGAGAGATTTGCTTTCATCGGACGAAAGGGTATAGACTCGTTCAAACAAACTCTGATACTTTTCCATCTGGCTAATGCTATTTTTGAGAAATTTCGTTTTTAAGCACTTCGTCAGCACAATCTTTGTTTGTTCAACCAAGTTTTCCAGGTGTCGATTGTAATCTGTCTGTTCGAAACCGCCCAATATTTCCGTCGTGTCCATTTCCGGATTCACCGCAATTGATCTAAGTTTTTGACCAGCCATTTGAGCGAGTACCCTAACAACGCTGCTTTTGCCACTTCCAGGACCACCGACGATTATTGACATCCAATTCATTTTAACACATAAAGCCAGACTCCGCAGGGTCGACAATTGATTTCTAAGCAGAAGGAGTTTCGAATCGACGCAAAAAGATGAGTCTGTGCGTGGAATATCTATTTGTCCAAAATAAATTTTTTCTGGGCTAATGTGCACAGTTACAGACGGTAATAACGGATAAGCAGTCACATCAAACATCTCGTGATAAATTTTTTTAACCATGTGTTTGTCTTCATTGGTTCTCATTCTTTCGACATAAATAAGTTCGAGAGCATTACCGGGGTTATACTCGATGTCTCCATTGGTGTTCACCTGTGCAGTTTCGATGGTTGCTTCGCACCAGCGACACACATCTCTTAAGTTCATTTCCCACGGAGCTCCGTAAGTACCCCATTCTCCGTTTCCAGCTTCACGAGCTAAACGTGAATTAAAATCAATCATCTTGGCGACGATTGACGATGCAATTTTCGGAAATAGCGATGTTGCAATAAACTTAAGATCATCGTCAGTCAAAATATCGACAAAAACTTGCGTGAAACGATTCAAGAATGACTTGGGTAAGCCGCGACGAGATCCACCTTGATTCAGTGGATTTTGACAAGCAAATACTTTGGTCTCCGACTTAACATCGAATGTTTTGCCTAATTCGGGAATGAAAATTTGTCCTCTGTGATCAAAACAAGCATTCAAACCTTCTAGTACAGACTGTGATGCTAGATTCAATTCGTCCAAGAGAATCCAATGACCAGACTTCAGGGCCCTCAAGAAAGGTCCATCTTTCCATGCGAATTCACCGCCTCGGCCACCTTCTACTGGTAGATCGGCCCCAAACAAATCTGACACATCAGTTTGGTCACTTAAGTTGATACGTAGACAACTGTGACCAGAAGCTTTGGCAAGAGCGGACACCAAGCTAGTTTTGCCAACTCCAGGACTACCTTCGAGCAAAATGGGTTTAGATAACTGCAAGGCTCTCAAGAGTTTTAAACAATTTTGTTGAGTTGTAGTTGCTTGAAAGGTAAATGTTGTGAAGCTTTCTGCAAGGCTCAACTCGCCTCTGTTGATGAAAAAAGGTGGTATTCCGTAAATTTGATCGGATTCAAGATCTTCGCAGTCCACTTCCATTAAATAATCTGACGTTGACTCAATCAATTTATCCATTTGTGATTTTAAAAAATCAAAAGCATTATTTTTGAAGGTCTTCAGCTTTTGGGTACTTTCCATGCTGGTCAATCCGGAACCTAAACTATCGATATATGTCAAACAAGCACCGTGATAATAGGCATCGCTCAAGGTGAGCTTTCTTTTGCCATGTTTTTCCACACAAGTGTTGACGAATTTTGCCCAACTGATTACGTCTCTGATACTAAAAGTGAAATTCTTTCCAACATCGGAACTAGTTAACCATTCAACAAAGTTTAAAATGCAATCAGCCAAAGTAGTTTTGCCATCAATATTTTGATTGAGATTTTTCACGATGATCGCTTGAAGATCTTTTCTGTTGTTGCATACATCGCACCAGATTTCGGTCATGCGATTCCTCAAAGCAGGAGAAAGTTCTTTTTTGCCATAATCACCACCGGGGTTCATGGTACTGACGAAGAAAAATTGTTCATGAGCGACAATAAGATTGTCCATCTCTTTCATATTTTCAGAATCAGTACCTTTCTCGGTTAATAAAAGACTTCGCTCTGGCTCTAGCAGCGAGTTTAATCTTTCTAAAACACTGTCATCTGCGAGAGATATTTCATCTGCAAGGAAGAAGTCCCCGTTTTGCATAGCTTGAATCAAAGGTCCGTCGACCCATTCGAACAATCTGTTCCCGTCGACATCGGCACGATTTCTCACAGGGCGCAAAGTACCGAGAAAATCGGATGATTCTGTGTGCATGTGACAATTAACCATATGCAATTTGCATCCCATCATTTTTGCAATCATTTGACAAACAGTAGTTTTTCCTCCACCAGTCTCACCAACCAATAAAACAGGCTCTTTAAATTCATAAGCTTTTTGAACAAGTACTGCCATTCGACGCATTGAATAAGTCCAAACGATGTTGTTGTACGGTGATGTTCTAATATTTTCTATTTTTTCCAAAATGTCTCTTGTCACCATCGATGTTTTATCGTGAAGAGTAAATAAGTTGTCAGGATCTACATCACGTTTCAATACTTTGTGAATGATTTTTCTGGAATTTATATAATATCGTAATGAGAAAATATACGAACTATCAAAAGTTACAGTTGTTTACAAGACTCATAAAATCTGTGAATCTTACCTAATTCTTTGGGCCTCTTCGGACGTACGCACTTTAGCTGTGAGTACAAGATAGCCTTCATCGGCCAAATGTTGTGGATAATCTTCAACTTTCTGTAACGACTTGATTCTCTCAGCCCACCGAAACAGGTCACGAAGAGTAATAAAGCCTTGTTTCCCAGCGAAGAGATCTTTTTCATTTCGTTGACGTTGAAGCTCATGCATCACTTCGATAATCAGCCGGCAATGTGTCTGTGCCATGGCACAGCGCTCATGTAAAATGATTTCAAGCTCATCAGACGGTATACGATCAAAGTGAAGTTCGACAAAGCGATTACGAAAAGCTCTCGAAAGGAGCTTGCGACCGCCATAAGAGCCAGGAGGATTCTAGAAATAAAATTTTTAGTCAGTAAAAGTATTACGTTCACATTTTTTATCGATTCAATTGATCGATGCATTACCTGAGTAGCAAACAGTCTAAAGTTTTCGTGAGCTTTGACGGTTTGCTGAGTTTCGGAAATGAATAATTCTCTGTTATCGTCGAGAACTCGGTTAAGAGCTTCAAGAACGTCACTGGGAGCTAAATTCAGTTCATCAAGAATTATCCAGTAACCTTTTCTCATGGCTTCAACAAGCGCGCCTTCTTGAAAAATTAGCTTGCCAGATTTATCGGCAACATAGCGGCCGACGTACTCTTGCAGATCGGTATGTTCGTGATTGTTAATGCGCACACAAACGTGACCCGTGGCTCGAGCCAAGTAAGTAATTAAACTGGTTTTACCCACAGAAGTATCACCCTGTAGAAGAAGCGGTATCTTCCCCAACGATACCACACGCACGACGTCTTTCAAATTACGCCGAACAGATGATGTTAGAATGTAATTTTCTGGGACTTCGGGTTCGTTGGTACCTCGGACAATCCAGTAACCTTCAAAATTCAGATACTCTTCACCAGCTTTGCAACTAAAAAAATAGAAAAAGAAAACGTTTTTAATAAAATCGAGTAAATTGATGATAAATTATGAGCTATTTATAAGTTAATGAACAATAGAAAACTTACAGAGGTTTTGGAATGGGTGAACTTGTAATACTTCTTTTTTTACTTTTTTCATCTAAAATAGCTTCTTCGATTTTTTTTTGGACCATATCATAAGAATAACGATCGAGTTGCGTGAGAAAACTAAGACACAAAGCTTCATACAGAGACTTTAGATTATTATTACATGGATTACCTGCAGCTACACTCAAAGCTCTGCACAATGTTCTTAAACTGTAAAGCGGTTTTTGAGCTTCGCCATCAGATAAAGTATTTTTAGCGTCTTTCTTGATATTTTGATAAAAATCAACGAGTGCTTTGTGATGCTTGCTTGTTAAGTGCAGATCCTTCAGGTAGTCTTTAACTAATATTAAAATGTCGGATTCTTGTTCAAGTTCATCAACATAAAATTCAGTAAAACGATTACGCAAGCCTACGGGTAATTCCTTCTTTCCTACATCAGTGGCCGGATTCATACAAGCAAAAATCGTAAAGTCTGGATGTCGTTTAATCGATTCTTTATCGCCTCTTTCCAAAAGGAACAAAGAACCAGAACTTCCTTCTAAAAGACCAGACAAACACTCTAATGTCTCAGCGTTAGCCAAATTAATTTCATCGAGAAGTACCCAGTAGCCTTCTTTAAGAGCTCTAATAAGACTACCTTCAATGAATGCAAATGCAATGGAAAGATTAGCTTTAACTTGAGATGCTAGTTTATCTAATTTCAATGAAAGCTGCTCCCATTTAGTCAATAACTCTTGATTTTTTGCAAGTTTCTTTTCATCGTTGATTTCATTTCTGACATCGTTGTTGTTATTTTTAATAGTACGTCTTAATCGTTCTAAAGCTGCATTTGTACTATATTTCATCGACTTCACAAGTTGAGACCACTTTGCTTTCTCAAAACAAGTTCCAATGAAAGATAAGTATGGTAAATTTGGTTCCACAGCAAAATATGATCGGAAAAGATTTTCGAATTCCTGACGAATTGGAAAAATTAGAATGCGCAGATCAATTGGCTTGTATCCTCCAAGCAAATCACCACTTTCACTCTGCTGGTTCATATTAATGACTAACAGTTTGTGCCCAGTACTTCGAGCTATGAACTGAATACTACTGGTTTTTCCAGTACCAGTCTCTCCAACAAGTAAAACTGGCTCTCGTTGAGCTATACTAGTTGTGATACGCTCAACAAGCCGAGCAGAGGGCTTGGTAAAAGAATATTTTGTTTCAATTTTATTAGTGTTTAAGAGTAAAGACTTTTTTTTGCATACTTTACTCCTTCCAAAGAGAAAGAATTCTGATGATCGAGTCATTGTAGGAGCATTATCTTGAATAAAATACTTAGCTTTTTCCTCAGGAACGCCAAGCTTATGGGCTATATCCTTAGCGAATTTAATTCTGTCATCTGTAACAATTAAAATTAAAGAGCATTGACAAAAATATTAATAATTTTAAATATGATGAAAATTATAAATTTAATTAAACTTTATAAGCATTATTTTTTTTACCTTGATTTGTAACAGAGCAGCAAAAAATATCAATGGCATCTTGAAACAATTTCATTTCAGATTCAGTTGATGATACCTCAAAATCATTTGCTATTCTTGAGCACCATTTAATTAAATCTCTAGTTGAAATATGCCTTCCGGTTTTTAATCCTAAGCTTTCATTTTTAATATTATTCATTTCATGTTTTCCCATAGAAAATAAAAGAAAAGTATCTACTATTTTTGTGGCACAAGTACTTAAAATAGGAAATAGGGTTTTTACTACTATTTCTAACTCTTCTTTAGACAAAGGTTCCATATTAACAACCAACCAATGTTTTTCTAATAAACTTGATGCACCAAATGATTGACGTTGAAGTCCAGAGTTAGTATGAATTAGTCGTTGAGTAACAAATAATTGAAATCCACTTTTGACACGAATTGTGTCTCTAAAACCTGGTACGGATAATGTTCCAGTTTCCATCAGATCACTAAGAACGCTAGCAACATCTAGTGCAGCACTGTCAATGTCCTCAAGCAATAACCACTTGCCATCAATAACGGCCTGAGTCAATACACCTGGTTGCCAAATAAATTCTCCTGGGATATCAGTACATTTGTAGGTACCCAAAAGCATTTTACAGTCTGTTTGATCTCCTAACTGTACTTTGATAAAATCTGATGGTCCATGACCAGTTTCTTTAGCTAAATACTCAACAATAGCTGTTTTTCCACATCCGACTGGACCTTGTAAACAGATACATTTTCTTGATACTACTGCTAAAGCTAAGCTACGAAGATTTTCTTTCATAGATGGTACAGATACTAGATCTTTATCTGAGTTTTCTGATATTATGTTTTTATTACGAATGGGCAATAAAACATCAGCAACTGATACTACCGATTTACAGTGTTTCCCTAATTCCTTCGTTTTACAAAAAGTGGCTCCTTGCAATTCAAAAGTAGATCTACCAATTTCTTCATCATCATTTGAAAAATGTTTTTCACTTATATTTTCAATCGTGAATTTGGAATTTCTCTCAGATTCTGACATTTCTAGATAAATAGCTTCACATTTAATAGCAATCCTGAAATATAATAAATTAGATAACAAACATTAAGAATATATCAATCTAGGAATAAGTAATGGTTTTAAGAAGATATCATAATCATTTTTTACCATTTCACTTTGGTATCGCTGTGATTCAGATATTTCAAAAATTTAGACCAGCTAAATTTATGCTTGTAATGCTCAGGAGAAGCTTGTAATATATTATAAGTTGCTTCCACGATTTCTAGATCTGTAATTTCTCTTGGACTTTGTCGATTCATGTGCCTTTTTATGTTTTGAGGTTCCCTGAGGTATTTTTCGGGCTCTTCAAAAGGTGATGGATTTTTATCAAAATAATCCAATGCAAAACTGCAAAATGGTTAGATGATCAAAATAAAATATTAACAATATTTACTTAAAACTCATATTTTTACTTACGTTGGTACATCAGGATGTAGCGATATTAATTTTCCTATAATAACACAATTTAGTTTATGAAACAGATCCCCATCATATGTATGGGCTTTCAATAATTGATCTGTTTTCATAGCTTTTGTTAACAAAAATAAAAGTGATTGTCTAAAACACTCACATACATCTCTACAATATTCTGAATTCATAAGTATATCACATAATAAATCTAAAATTTTAGCTTCATTTTCTTCAGTCAGTACCTAAAATTTTTGTAAAAGTTATTCATAAGTACATTTAATATAACCAATATTGCAAGTAATAAAGTATTTACCTGTAGTTTGAGGTACTGGTTGAATTTTATTTTGTAAATTTCGCGCCGAGCGCAAAATATCTTTAGATTTTCCAGTAACATTTTGGCACTAATATTAAAAAAGGTAACCAATCTGATTAGGTACACTACCTGCCATTTGTTCACTTTTAAAACAATTGAAAATTAAAATTGATTTACTATAAAAAACGTTGCCTCCACCCGTTTTCATATATACGAAAAGTATCTCCACGTGCTGACGCTACACTCAATTCAAAGCACATGCAAGTTGTAACCAGTAAAATAACCATGCTTCTTTACAGTTTACGCAGCCTGCATCATGCATGCCACATTGTAGAATTAATTTTTAGTTCAACGTAAGGCTGCAACGCTGTTTCATTACGATTGCAGTGTATCATCATATATGCATTGCGATTCGAACTATTAGACGAATTTTTGAATGATAAAAACCTTAACCTAGGGAAATATATACGTTACTATGGTAACTAGGTAGTTTTACGGTGATTTGTGTTTACATCGCATATTTTCTTTAATTTCTTCAATTAAAAAAAAGGAATCATTTTTATCGTAATAATGGAATATAAACTTTTCGTGCTGAGCGGTTTGTTTCTGATAATATATGGGGTAAATTCGGAATCAAATTTTGATAATGATTTAAATGGATATATTGCATTTTGTCCATGTATGGGTACGTCATAACTTATTGTACAATTTATTCAATAATTTTTACACCTAGCTGTAATTTTTCTATTATCATTTTCATCAGGGCGTTTTGGAAATCAAGTTGACCAATTTTTAGGTGTTCTGGGATTTGCGAAAGCACTTAATCGCACTCTTATTCTCCCTCCATGGGTAGAGTATAGAACTGGAGAAGTTAAATCAGTATGATTTAGTTATATTCATTTTCAAAACTATTATTATTAATTTGATTTTTGACGAAAAAAATTTATTTCAGTTACAAGTTCCTTTTGACACTTATTTCAATGTTTCTGAAGTAGCAAAAGCTCATAGGGTCATATTGATGGAAGACTTTATGAAACATTTGGCACCAATACACTGGCCCCCACACGAAAGAACAGGTGCATAGATAATTTAGCTTTCTGTATTATAACCGATTAGAATGATTTTATCATTTAGTTTTTTCTAGCATTTTGTTACAATCCTAGAGGAGGTAATAATTCTTGTAATGCTAAAGATGGTAACCCATTTGGCCCGTTTTGGGATACATTTGATGTTGATTTTGTGGAATCTGAGTTCTACAATCCACTAAATTTTGATGTATACCACAATAGCATGGATTATTTATGGAGGAAAAAGTATACTTCAGCAAAATGGCCTGTATTAGCTTTTACTGGGGCACCTGCAAGTTTTCCAGTTCAGCTAGAAAATAAACATTATCAAAAATATCTAGTCTGGAATGATCAAATGCTGTCAAGTGCCAAACAATTTATTAAAAGCAAATTACCATCTGGAGCATTTATTGGTATACATTTGAGAAATGGAATTGATTGGGTAAATGTGTTAATGTTAAATCCTCAAAAATTGAAAAATACAAATTTTAATTAATAATTTTAATTTTACCTTACAGACAAGGGCTTGTGAGTTCATTTCAACTACCCCTAATTTATTTGCTGCTCCTCAGTGCTTAGGTTATAGAAATGAAAAAGGAAAAGCTACTCATGCAATGTGTTTACCTCCTTATGATTTAATTGTCAGACAAATAAAAAGAGTCATAAGGAATGGAGTAGGCATTAAATCAGTATTTGTAGCTTCTGACAATGATTATATGATTCCTGAACTCAGTAAAGCTTTAGAAAGATTAGAAGTAAAAGTGTTTAAACAAGAAGGAGGATCTCCGCATTTGGACTTGGCTATACTTGGTCGGTCTAATTATTTTATTGGCAACTGCATTTCCTCATTTTCTGCATTTGTAGCCAGAGAAAGAGAAGTGAAAGGTTACCCGACATTCTTTTGGGGATTTCCCCCTGAAAAACCATTGACAAAATCTAAACATGAAGAACTGTAAATAAGTTAGAAAAAAATTGTGTGATAATTTTTGTAAGTAGCTTAAAAGATGCTCAAATTGAGCCAGTTTGTATGTATTTAATTTGATATTGTTTTTTCAATGAAAAAACTCTAATCTGTCAAATAAGTTGACATTGTGATATCTATAAACATAAAGTGTGTTTATGCATTTTATAAAATAAGTTCAATATACACAACAAAGTCAAATAAGTTTTGAAAAAATTTTATAGAAATTTTCAATAAAAAACCTTTGCCATAAAAAATATATAGAACTCCAAATAACAATCTTCTATAATACCTATTTCCTTAAAAAATACAAGAAAAAATACCACTTTAAGCGTCTGCGAGTTTTATCATTCTTATCAATGATTGTTTTAAGGTGTCAGCAAATCTTTGAGTAGATGTTTCAGGACATCCTTTGAATGAAGAACATGCAAAGAATATGTCATCAGATCTGGGATTATAACAGCATCCATAACCGTTAGGAACTACAGGACCATAACACATGAAAGAAGCAGTTTTATATGCTACTTGACTGGAGGTGAGAGTAAAAGATGTACTTTTTGTATAGCTAATATCGGAGAAAAATTCAGGTAGCTTTATCTGTTCCTCTTTAGCTATCATTTTGAGTCCAAAAAATAATCTATCTACTCCTTCACCCATAGAAGCCTATAAATAAAGTAAAATTGAATTGGTTTCTTCAATACAAACTTTTAAACATTTCGTTCTGTTTTTGTGTGAAGTAAAAGTAGTATAATTATTTTATTACCTCTGTAGCAAGTTTTTTATGAGCATTGACAGCGCGAATCATGGCTAATTTGAGAGTCTCATCAAATTCTTTTTCATTTGACATCAATTTGGCAAATTCAACTGACTCATTAGAAGTTGATCTGATACACTCTGTTCTTGCATTTTTGAATCGTCTTAAGGCAGCTGATTCATAATGAGCTGGTGGCTGGTTATGTATTTGATAGTAAGTTACTTGCATGGCAATTTGTATAAAGCTATCAGGACTCATTTTGCATTGTTTAATTTTGTTTGATCCAAATATATCAAATTGAAAGCATTCTAAATCTATGTCTTGAGACAACCTTGATATAAAATAAGCTATTAAAATTTTGTTTTAATTTTTTAAACAAATTTGCATACTCATACCTATCTACAGAAAGAGAGGCTTTTTCAATAGCATTTTCTAATGATTGATCTACTTCAAACTGTAAATGTTCAGCTTTTTGAAAGTCACTAGGAGCTTTTACTGTTTCTTTAAGTTTTTTATTTCTATAAACAGAGTTATTCAATAATAAAATAATATTTCCAACATCAATGAATGTTATTAATGCTACTTACACATGATTCAAAACATAATCATGCAACACTGTGATTGGAAGAGCTTCGCATGGACTGTGTTCATATTGAAGACCAACAAACCCATCATAAGAAAGTATATACTAAAAGTTATGGAAGTAAATTTATATCGTCACTAATTGTTTGTAAATAAATTATGAATGAAGATAATACTTGAACAATTTTATCATGCCATCTATTTCCCGCATTAGTTGAAGAACTGTAACCAGTCAAGCTTTGAATTCCTCGAACAGATGAATTATTTTTATTAGAAAATGCAGATTTTGGTAATTCTTTATCCAAACATAATACAAATAAAGCAGTCTCCAAATTTTTTAAAATTTCTTCATTTTTTCCAATACCTAAACAGTAAAATTATTAAATAGCAAAAGAAAAGAGCAATCAAATATTTAAAATTAAAAAAACTTGCTTTTTAATTTATTGTGATCTTCTACCCATATATCTCTATCATTTCCTGTTAAAATGCCTATTGGTTTTCCAGGTAATTTTGATCTTTGTGCAATATCTTCAATGGAGGCAATAAGTTGTTCTTCATTTACTTCAGATGTCAAAGAAAGTTTGAAAAACTAAGTACCAAATCATTAGAATAAATTTAAAAAAAAAAGCTCAATTAAAATAAAATAAATATTTACATGATTATTGCTCAAGACAATTATATGTTCAGACGTATCAATATGAATTAGTCTATCAACATCTTTGTTAGGCTGTCTATGAGACCCTAAAATTAAAGCATAAGGCCTCATGTCCAAAGGTGCATCACGGATCATTTCTTGCTTAATGTCACAACTAAAAATAATTAAAGTAATTTCTTGTTTATAAAATTCCCAAGTATTCAACAAAAATAAAGTTACAAACCTTTTTATCATATCATTATATTTACGTACACCACCAATTAGGTGAGCAGCATATCTGTAAAAATCTTTTGGAGATTTGAATTCTTGAGGAGGTCCTACTGTACCAGGACTAGAGTGGACTATTACTGGATATCTATATCCTAAATAAGCACTTTGTAGCCACCACTCGCTCATCTGTAATTTTTTTATTTGAAAAAGAATTCAAATACTTATTTTTATAAAATTTTATTGTTACATACCCAATTATCGGTTTGCTCATATCTTTGTTGCAATTTCATATACAATTTCTTGCCTATTCCTCCATCTTTAACAAAATCATGAAGAACTCTTTCAGTATTTTTCAACTCTTCAATTGTCAACAAAGGTTGCACTGATCTAAAACGATAGGACTAATGATAATTGAAATATTTTAAATTAATATAATTGAAAATTTATTGATATACTTGTCATTCATTTACTTTAAATATAAGTGAACTGTTTTTTCTAAATCAGGTACAGGTTGTTTCGGCAGAGGATGTTTATTTAATTCAATGGATGTCAATTTGGCTACTTGTTGTGCATTATATAATTGTTTCATACCCCCATAAAACTATAAAAAAGAAATTTTTATATTTAATTTAAAATAATTATGGTATTTCAAAGGTAAAGAAAAAGATTACCATGGGTTTATTGAAAGATGAAGTAAGATTAGTGATGAATCTCTGCATTATGTGACTTTGTTGTTGGCGACTCGTTACACCAGTCTCATTCCTGCAACAAACGCATGTATAAAAATACTCTCATTGAAAAGAAAGTTCACTGCACCATCGGCATTCTCAATTACAGTCTCTTGTTGCATATAAACGCACGTTCGCAAACACATATATACGCACAGCGTGCGATCAGGGCTTCAGGATGAATAAGACTATCTCTTTCCCGCGCATTGCATAGTCTAATAAAAAACGATTCCAATTGATACAATCTGGACCTCGAACTCGACGATCATGTGATGGACATTTTATATACTAAACAAAATTCAAACTTTTGGATGAAAGAAAATGGTTACGCACGTTTATACATTCATTCATGTTTATTGATAATATATGGCCAACATAATCATAATATTTATAATATAGCATAACTTGCCACATTTTTAACGTATCGTATTAGCCTTAAAAGGATGAGTGAATTCTGTTAATTCTTGCAGATTACTACTTTTAGGTATTGTACTCACATAACAATCATTAACTGAGTAAAAAACGCGAGTGGATGGTATAAAACGATAATACGCTGCAATTCATCTGCACGCATATGCAGAGCAGAGTGGGAATCGACGTCAAGTCTCAATTTTTTTCCTCACTTTGTCATTGTATCGATGCGGGACTTATTCACGAGCTCTCGAAATAAATCTTGATCCGCGACAAAAAATATCCTACCATTTTTTCGATAAGATAGAACATTTGTGTCTTTTCTTCAACAAGTGTTTACGTATTGTACAGCGTGAATATAAGCGAGGCGGTAATATTTGTATAACTTATTACGAATGACAAAGCCCCAAGGCACGCGCGTTCGATTATCGAATGGAAAATTGCGGTTTAGAAATTTCTAATTGTGTCGCGTAACGCACGCGAGAAAGCCATTCATTTCAAAAATGGAGTGAAAGCTTGATTCGAAAATATTCGATGGTATAAATCCATTGGATTTTTAATCATCAGCTCTCGAGTATAGGGCGAAATAAAAAATTTTAAATATGAAACCAATGCAATTTTCTATTTGACTCGCGTGAATTCATACAATGAATATCAGCGTGGATCTACTGTCATACTGAGATTATCTTTAGGTGACAAACTGTGCCGGTGAATAAATTATATGATAATAATGTAATGACAGTGTATAATATATAAACTGTTAAAATGTAACTGTTCAGAGTATATATAAGTTAATCTAAAAATTGAGGCAAAGACATATAATGTAATCAAGTAATTTTTTTAAAATTAATTTCACAATGTTAGTTTGCGAGTATTTTCACCCATTCCGACGATAATCCGATGAAAACTTTGTAAATAAAAATATATGACACAAACACGATGAAGATGAGTCATGGATGATTTATTAAATGAACGTCTATATATCGTGACTCGAAACGTTAAATCGGATCTATGTTCATAAAATATTTCATAAGTTGGATAGTCGATTCTTCATTAAATCTTAAAATAAAAGTTGAGAGGCGAGATATCACGAGAATATACATCTGCATCAACGTTGACATTTTTCACTTGTATTTCAAGCAAAAACCCGCTTCATAGTATCGATATCATTCCAGAAACAAACCAAAATGATACACGTTTTTCAGGACCGATTTTATCTATTGCACAAGCGAGGGGAAAAATCAGCCACATCGAGCGGCCGCACATCGTCGTCAAAATCCCCCTGTAAAAATCGTGCTTATAATGGGTAAAAATGAGGTGCTTGGCGTTCGAAAAACCCATCGGCGCTCGGTGAAATTTCGGTGCGCCTCCTTGGGTATAGGCGCGCACCCGCGATTGCTTGCGTAGGACCCTATATCATGTCTGCTATTATAATATGGTGAGCGGAGGAGAAGTTAGGTATAGGTGCAGGAGTGAATTATACGCCGCTTGTGCCTATACAAGCCTCCGAATCAGCGCGACGGGCAGTGGCATAGCAGTACGACGGAGCAAAGTGTGCGCTGTGGCCAGCAGCAGGCAGCAGTCTCTAAGGCGAACTGTGTGCGAAAAACATGGCGATAGCAGCTAGCAGCAGCAGCAGCAGCAGCAGCAGATGGGCGTCGAAGGCCTGAAGTTATAAGAGTGTTGGTGCTCCTGCGGCTCGGACGTTTTGCGACTGACAAGCTCTCATTGTTGACTATTGTTTATCGTGCGTCGTGCTTCTGGGCCTGTCGTCGTGCAACGAGACTCGTGCGCGACGTTCTGTTTGATCGGAAAGCTTGCGAACATTTTTTTATTTATGCTTTCAAGTACTCCGAAAGTCGAGTGTCCGCTGATTTTCTGGTCATCGGGATACGTTTTTACACGAGTGCGGTAGATTTGTAGAAGCAACAACGCAGCGCGCTGCCGACCGCTGCTGCATCGTCATATATATCAATACCAGTATACGTGCGTACGTACGTGATATACCTACACATCGAGTAGTGCATTCTTCGAGCAGTGTCAATCATCGCACGCACACATACATGTACATATCGTATCTCGTGTTTTTCATAGGCTTGCTCAAGTTGAAGCTCAGTTACGCAGTTTCGAGCGACGTACAGTATATCTATACGCACAAGCATACGCCTCTCATCTGATACATCGTCGATCACATGTATGAAAGGTATGTGAGCGTAGTATACAGCATCGCTCGATTTCACACCAGTGTAAAAACCGACAGTGCAGTCAGATCGTAAAGACAGAATTGCGGAGATATGCTCCGCGACGAGTTTTAACATACGGAAAGTCTTTGTGCCAGTGCCAGATAGGCTGCCTTGCCGTGCGAGTTAATAGCTGCCAGAAGACTCGTGAACATCGTCATATCAGTAATTTATTATATATATACATATTCACACAAACAAAGAGCCGAGAAGAAATTACGTTGTTATAGGATAGCAGCATCATTATGGCTCGAGATTACGATCACTTGTTCAAGCTCCTCATCATCGGAGACAGCGGTAAGAATACATTCGAGATAAAATTTCCTGCACTACACACACCTACATGCGATATAGATACGTGTGATTAGTGGCATTGCTATATCCTTGAGTTGCATTACATATCTGTATAATACTTATTACTACACGCATGCTTTCGCGATGTTTTTGTGCGCCGTCTTGTATATGTGAGTATACAACACACATGCGTATGTGGTGAGTCTGTTTGCGAGCGCATCATATGTGTGTGTATGTCCTACAGTGCACAAGCATGTATGGCTCATCTTGATTTTACTGCTGCTTTTGCTGTTTCACAAACGCCACTAACGGGCTTGGCCCGTTTATCTAATAAAATGTAAAAATATTTTTTGCTCGTAAATAAATTACTGCTATTATTCTAAGGTATGGAAAATTCGGAGCAAATTCGATCAAAACGTTTTTTGGTTTGAAAGCTATTATTTTTTTCTTTCCTTTTTTAAACCATAAAATAAATGGTCTAGAGAATTTTATTTTTACATGTTAAAAGTATTAAACCATGAAAATGTCTTGCTTTCTACGATTTTCACTGTTTAGAGTTGAAATTATGAAATTTTTCATTAAATACACTTATTGGTGCAATTTTTAAATAAGTTAATAATTCTTATAGACCAATTATTTTTACAGATTAATAATTGATTCATATCAAAATTCATGTTATTGCTATAATTATTAGAATGTTTCATTGAAGATATGAATAAGCCATTATGCACATTTTCTTGTAAGAAACTATTTTTTTAAAGATTTAAATTATATTTTTCATTATAGACACATTATTAATGAAAATAAATAAACAACTATAAACTTTCTATTAATTCTTATCTATGAAAAACAGAAGACTTGAAACAAAAAAGACAAATAAAAATTTCATTACTGCTATTACCTGTATCTTCTAAAACTTATGTCACTGTGCTAAATCATAAATCATTTTTCAAAGGTTTTTTAAATTATAGTTGAGAATAAAGAAAATTTAAATAAAAATTGTGAATACTTGATAGTTTTATGTCAAAATGACTGGCATAATGTAATTAATATCCACTGTAATAATTATTTGACATTATTTTTGTGGAATTCAAAATTTATTTCATAACTAAAAAAATTGAACACTAGTTCAGAATCTAGTTTTATATCACTGGAGTACACTATGTATATTACCTATAATCTTTGAGTTAATTAAATTTTTATATTGTTTTTCAGGTGTTGGAAAGAGTTCTTTGTTACTGCGATTTGCTGACAATACATTTAATGGAAATTACATTACAACAATAGGTGTGGATTTCAAAATACGCACTGTAGAATTAGATGGAGAACGTGTAAAATTACAAATTTGGGATACAGCTGGTCAAGAACGATTTCGAACAATAACATCAACATATTACAGAGGAACACATGGCGTTATAGTTGTGTACGATGTAACAAGTGGAGATTCATTTGCCAATGTTAAAAGATGGCTTCATGAAATTGAACATAACTGCGATGTTGTAGTTAATAGGATTTTAGTTGGGAATAAGAATGATGAACCAGATCAAAAAGTTGTTTTGACAGAAGATGCTCAAAGATTTGCTAATCAAATGGGAATTAAATTGTTTGAAACATCTGCCAAGGATAATACAAATGTTGAGGAGGTGAGTGGTACATTTTTAATGTTTTATGTATAGTGTTTTAATGAATTTGATTATAAGTATTTACTTATTTTGCTCTTTGTTTAAATTTTCAGATGTTTATGGCAATCACACGTGAGGTTTTAAAAACAAAAAAAGAAAGCAAAGAAAGACAGGCAACTAAAACCAATGACATAGTCAATCTGCGGAAAAGTACCAAACAGCATAGGAAAAGATGTTGTTAGCAACATTATTGTCTATTAGATAGATTATGAAAATACTATTGTTTTGTTTAACAGGCATACAGAGTAAGACAGAAAGCATGTTATAAATGGAATGGACATGAATTGCCATAAATGTTTTCAATGTTACCAAGACAACACTGTGAATTTTTCACCAATAATGCATTTTTACTCATGTTGATAACATTTTTTCCTAAATACCTTTTTATAAAGGTAATTATGTAATTATAGCTTGAATAAATTTTGGAAAAAATTTTTTTAACTATGGTACATTGTAATATGTTGCCGATTTTAAATATGCTACTTGTAAAAATAAAGTCAATTTGACTGTTGAACATTGAAAAATTTTAAATTAAAAAATTGACTACATGAAGTTTGGTATCTGTTACAAGATATATACAAAATTGAATACATTTATAATTTGCAATTTTTTTACACAAAAATAATATACAAAGTAATTATGACTGTTTGTAAATGTTATGAAATAACATACTTTACAATAAAAGTAGATCTGGGAGTTGAGATTTATTATGAAAATGAAACAAAATGAGTTTCTTAGTCCAACAATCAATATCTAGTTGAAGCTGATAACTAAAAATTGCACAAATTTCATTTTTATTATGACGTGATGAGCGTTGATTTTTAGTCGAACAACTAAATGCCAATATAGTTAGAAAGTATGTATATTCACATGTATGTTAGCATGTTTATTCACAAGTATGAAAGAAAATTTTACAAGTAGGGTGCTAATTATAATATCAGAAACTTTTTGATAAATATGATATTTTTTACGAATGACGTTCCTTAAATTCATTACGCAACACGTTCTGACACTTTTAATGAAATGGCCGAATGAGGACAAACATTTTTAAATGTAAAATTTTGTTGCCATAAATGTCGATATGATAATGTGTATTTTATGTTACTGAGCCTGATATGAATTTATCAAAAAACACATTAAAGCTTCCATAAGATGAATGAAAGTGAAAAAAGTGAATAAAAATTATCAGACCACTTGAGACAGAAGCATATGATAAAATTTAGTTATTAATGGCAGTGTTGTATAGAAAATTCATAATAAAGTGAATCGTTTCGCTATACAGTAAAGCAACAGGAAACAGGCAGACTTAGTCGCGTAACATTTTGTATGTGTAGGGCCAGTGTCCAACCATGACAAAATCTGTCTGTATTAATCTGTGATAATAGTTAAAATGCATCTTGTTTCGTGAATCCAGGCCGGTTTCTCGGTTTTTATTTGCAAAAAAAAAAAAAAAAAACGATCGCTTGAGCTAAATTCAAACGAAAGATGCTTTTTTCAAAGAATTCGTAATAGAATAAGATTTTGCTGTGTACTTGAGACAGAAAATATGTCAATGTATTAAATGCAAAAAAGCAAAAAATGACTTCAAATTTAATTTTTTCTCTAACCCCTTGACAATTTTTCACTTTGTTATGTTTTAAGACCAATGAATTTGATTTACATCATTCATTGTAAATCGTGTATTAATTTTGTATTGTAAAAATGGTCATGCCTGATTTAATTAGAAATTTAATTGTAATTTTTCAATTGACTGAAATGATAAGTGTTTAATAAATGTGTAATCGATTTATTGTATACTAGTTTGTTTCACTTTTCTTTTTAGAAATTTTTATAATTTCTCATATTTTTTTCATATTTTTCTAAGAGAAATTTCATGGCTATTGTGTAAAACATGGTTGTATTGTCAATTTTATGAATTAAAAAAAAAAGATTAAAAAAATTTAAAATACCTTCTTTGATTTTACTTTTTTCTTAGATCACCACTTAGATACTAAAAAAACCGCTGCCAATTCTTTGGCACGTACTTTCCTTGGTGAAAATAATTAATTATTTTCAAACGTCTTTTTTCTTCGCATTATTCACCTTACAAATACTATAATTGCAGAAATTTAAATAAAGCAAACGAAATTAAAGAAACCCCTATTTCATTTAAAAGATGTAAACTATTAAAATAATTCTTACATTTATGGTCTTGATTTTATTTGAAAATAATGAAAAAAATTTTTTTCGTAGCATTTACATTATAAATCTTTTGAGCTCCATTCTCATTGCAATCGACAATAAATGCAGCTTAATGTAAACATTCAATTTACAAGTCAGAAAGCTTCCAGATTGAGAAAGCAATATTTATTGAAAGTACATTATCCGCTTTTATCTACTTTCATAAGGATCTCTTGGAATTACTATAATATACTGATAATTTTATCCAAAAAAGATAAAACCTGACTCTACTTCCATAGGTACCCGTGAGCTGCTATACAATTTCAAATTCAGAAAATTCTGTACCTTTTTTCCACCGGCCTAAACAACCTATAAAAATCAAAATTCTTTGGAGAAGTCTACCTTATATTTCAGTTTTCAGTGTGATGCCCTTAAAATGTCATCTAGTGCCTGGACGCTTTGAAGGGACCAAAATTCCTGAGATAAATTAACTTTTACATACCTGTGTGTCGACCCAATGCGATCTGGGTGTTGACGTAGGCCGAGTTGAATTCCAAACATATTTGATTCGAATTGAATTAAATTTATTAGATTGTAAAATGAAATTTGATTTAAGAATTAATGGTTATTTATGCAACAAGTGTGCCCAAAAGCCAATTTGGCGTACAGCGTATGCACGAGTACTGGTCCGAGAGGGACAACAAGTGATAACCCCACAAGCAAAAGACAATAAGAAATAACAACTATGAATTTCACACAAATACGAGAAATTTTACCATACACCAGTGGCCAAAAATAGTTTTTGCATAAATAACAATTAAAAATAAGATAATGCTAATTGTGCGATCATTCACTTTACGAGGCTTAGAAAAAAGAAGATTTTTATCGTAAAGAAAGTTTAATTTATTATGTACATATAATTTTTTAAATAAACGTTCTAAGAATATAAAGGTCACAAAGACCAACCATAAATCTCGTCACGAATATATTTCTGTGGTGGAAAGGCATAACGACTTAAGTCCATTTTTCGTATTTTCGAGAAAAACGCGTTTTAAGTTGATTGTGCCAGCCTAACTAGACGCGGACGAGTTGAGGTCTGAACCTATGATGTTTTAAGCTACTATGAGGTAGCTTTTGAACAATGTACTTATGAAATTGAAAGGCGCATCATAGCGATGATAGGGAGCAAAAAGTATGGACTTAAGTCGTTTTGCCTTTCCACGCTTTGCACTTAAGTCCACTTTTGGCGGTCACACTTTTTTCAATATCGATAATTTCGCGCAGTTTGTTCGCACAACCTCATTTAATGATTTTACATTGGTAAGATAGCTCATTTAACGTTATACTCCCGTCAGATCTCAAATCTTGCAACGAAAAAAGGCCAAACTGAAAATCGAGAAAATTGCCCCTCGCGTATCAAATGTAACAATCATATAGTGTAATTCACAACATTCGAAGAGTGTGGAGCTATGTTTGACATCTAATATCATTTTCTTTCATTTTCAAATAAAATTAGACTCTCTATAGCATTTTGAAACTCGCAAGGGTGGACTTAAGTCGTTTTGCCTTTTCCCAGTCTTCGCGAAATGGACTTAAGTCGTTATGCACGATGCTGAAACTAACGCTAGACGCTATATTCGTCTATTATGACCCTTGTACATTAAAATAGACACTAAATATAGACGTTTTTCATCATAAAATCGATTTTCAAAAAAATGGACTTAAGTCGTTATGCCTTTCCACCACAGATTTAAATTCATTATAATCTCATAATACCATCGTTTTGCTTATTATAATATAATAATTAATTAGACATTTATACATTTACATCGATAAAATCCACAATTATTTAAAAATTAACAATGAGCACTTGAAATATTTATACAATTATCCTTATCGCACGTTATTTACACAATATAATTCTCATTATTACTTTCATTTAAACAAAAAATTGTGCAAGATAATCCAATGTCCCAACCTCTGGAGATCAATTCGTAACAATCGATAAATTATTACGTCTCTCCCGGAGACCTATTTTCACAGTTCAATTCGTACTCGCAACTGAGATACTTAATCAGTAGAGAGGTAAAAGCAAGGAATCGCTTCAAGATTTTTCTCGGTCGATGGAAATGGCCGAAAAAAGCTCGATCAGGCTGTAGTTTTGTCGAACTCGACGGAACTCACTATAAGCTACAGGGCCACTGTTGATAGGACGTCGCCGTGCCATTATTGTCCTTTCCGTTGGCCACCATCTGCAAAAGCGCACCGGAAGCAGCCGCGCGAGCCTCCAAATCGTTGAGGATTATGGCTTCGTTCGAGTCGGGGGACTGCTTGAGCCGTTCGTCCTCAGCGGCTAATTCGCTCGTGCAATCGATCGCGGCGGTGACGGGGCAGGTTTCTTGCTGCAAGTGCTCGGCTGCGTTGCCTCGATCATCGTGGACGCCTGGTCGACTGTATAGTCTGAAAAGTAGTAGAGGCTTCAATAAATTAATTTTTTATTGATAACGTATCCGATGAGAAGCAGTGACCCCCGTACCCCCGACTCGCGTGATGGCGTGACTCGTGGACTCACACTTGAACGTATACATTAATACATTTTATAGAAATTTTTATTTAAATTTTATGTGAATTATAGTAATAATAAAAAAAATTAATGAGTGGTTGTATACCAGCTAATAGAGCATGATTGTCGGATGTTATCTGCTGCGTCGTCACTGTACCATCACCACCACCACCACCACCACCACCACCAATAGTCACCAATACCACCACCATCAGTAGCAACTCAGTCCTCTCGATCGACGGCTCGATCAGCTTAATCTTGCTAGAAAAATTTGGCCATCGAATTGACACAGTCTCCGTGTGCTCGTCGTCAGATCGCAGAGTAAATAAGGAGAAAGAGAGAGAGAGAAGAGAAGAGAGAGACAGAGAGGATAGAGTAGCGATTAGCCATTCGACAAGCTGTGTGTCAGACATTCATGTTTGATAATAATTGAAATAAGAATTAAAAAGGTATGTGTTGTGGTCGTTGCCTTTGTTTATTCATAGTCGTTGTAGCACGAGTAACGCCAGCCGCCGCGATTTCAGGCTCGTAGCTAGGACCGACTTACCTGATGCTCTCGGTGCGCGAGCGCGGCCAGTAGGCGTAGTAGCGCCTGCCGTTCGCCTGGCTGTCGAGGTCCTGTCGCTGCAGCCACCTCGTGTAATGGGTTTTCATCGCGTTTCGCACCTCGCAGCTGAGGAAGCCGTAAAACAACGCCACCCAGAAGCCCTGCCGTAGTGGTAGTAGTAGTAGAGTCGAGCAACAACAAGCAAAATTTATGCCACGCAATAACTCATGATGTACGCTTCTCGAAATAATTTCATTTATATATTATAATAAAACGACGAAGAAGGAAGAAATGAAAGAAAGAAAGACAGAGAGAAAGGTGAAAATAGAAATGGAACGAGGGGTGTGAAAAAAAATGTATCGATATCAGCGCGTGCGACCAAGTTATTGTCATTTTAAACGAGTAAAGAGCCTTTATTACCGGCCTTTTTATTAGCGATCGTTATACAATCTCGTGGGAGGGATGCACTTAAGGAAGCCGCCTCCTTTTCCCGGCGCGGCGCACAACCGTTCAAGGATATGCTTTACGAGGCCGCGTGCTTTTACAGCTTTCCTGCGTATTATATACAAGCTGCCTGCCACTGCGTACGTTAAATTGCCGATTTAATGCGCGCCTGCCTGCGGCTCGTGACGCGACAAAAATTTATTCATTTTCATCTGAGCCGCTTAGCGCAACTGTCAAAATTAATTCTATCAAAGTAATTCGACAATGAAAGTGCCTTTCGACTGAATTACTCTTTTGAAAAGCTGCAGAGTATTTTAATTTACGCAATTGTCATTTGAAAAATAGTCGAGTGCGCTATAAAAAATTGCGAGTAATTGCGATGCAAAAGAAATGCTCGCGATATGCTCGTTGCATATACGCACAGCTGCAATAAGTAAACGATAAAAAAAGAAAATTAAATTATCTTTAGAGCTTTTTTGCGTAATAAAGTGAATGGCACATGTATTAGAGCACGTAATTTTCTATCCTTCTTCTTGGAAGCTTTACGATCATTGCCGATAGGCTTACCTGTGTCGAGAGCAGCACGGCCCTCAGATAGTCGAAGGCAGGAAAATTCGTAGGGCCGAAGAGCACGAGGACGTAGGTGACGCCTAGAAGCGGCAGCAGCACCAGAAGCGCCTTGGCGGCCTTTTTCGATTGATGCAGATGCTCGTTGTTGATGGTCTGCAATTTCGTTATCAGTACCTGCACGCCGAAAACGCCAGCGGATGGAAATTTTTTAGAGAAGGTGTAAAATTGCGCCACCCATTATCGATACAATCGCGCACGGATACTTGCCCACATTATCATGACGAGAAAGAGAACGTTGAAGGCCAGAGCGACGAGGGCCGGCACTTCGTAGATGTAGTCGTAAATCGGATGGGGCAGCATCCAGGAGCAGTGGCTCGTCAGGGCAGCGGCTTGAATGCCTTCGGCGACCTGATCGCCGTCGATGTACTTGGCGGTGGCCCAGCACAGCATCACGCTCAGCGGAAATACTGTCGAGGCAAAACATGTGAATGCTGTCTCGTCGAAAGTAAGCAGTCAACTGTACAAAAGACTCACTCCAACCAATGCAGACGCAGAGTCTGAGAGTGAGACAATCGGTGCCCGAGAGAGGCCTGACCACCAACAGCCACAAGTACAGTCCCTCGACGAACATCCAGAAGAAGTTGGTCAGCTGGAAGTAGTGGTAAAGGGAGAAGAAAGCCACGCAGAGCGGCACGTTCGGGCCCATGAAGAGCTGCGAGACGGTGTTGAGGCACCACAGCAGATCGGCCAGTATGTACGTGTACATGAGGTTCATGTGGATGATGTTGCGCAGGCAGCGCAGCTCGCGGAACCGATGGTAAAACGAAACGGCGATCAGCAACGTGAGCAGCGACAGACAGTAGCCGAAAAGGTAGAGGTGCGTCGTCATCTCGACGCTGTTCTCCGACTCGGGCGAGACGAGCTTCAGCTCCCGGCATTGCGAGTAATCCGACGAGTTGGACCAGCTACCGTCGTCCTGACACAATCGGCTGGCGTTCTCTGTCCACGACAAAAAAAAGAAAACAAATCATCCTCCGCTCAGAGATCGAATCGTGTCATAAGCTTTCGAAGCTTTCCAATTATAGTCCATCTAAATGGATTGGATGTGTTGCGTGCCCAACAACATCGATCGATCGTTGCATTCGTACAAAAGGTGTGGCCGTATTGTTTACTTACAAACTGTTTATATCAACAAAAATAGTCTTGTCACTTTTATTTTGTCATTGACATTACTTGGTCTTGCAATTATATGCAAAATTTACTCTGTGTTAACACGTTGCCCATCGACTTTTGTATTTCACCTTGACTTAAAAAAATGACATTAGGCTCCTTTGATAGAAAAATCCAAAAAACGGGTAACTGAAATCTTGCCCCTTTATCAACTTGTACTTTATTTCGAGCAGCAAAATTTATGGTCAGCTTAGCTTCCCCGCGCAGGTATAAAACAGGCTGCATAAATGTTGGATAAAAGAGAGAAAAAATCGTAACTCCGAGGGTAAAACTTTCGATATCGGAGCTTCGAGGCTAACTCAGGCTCGAAAACTCCTCGAAACATGAATAATTCGTTGCAACTGCACACACGCGCTTTATAACATTCGTTTCATATTTCATTCAGTGTGTCTCGGGCTTGTCACGCCCCGTGTTCATGCTTACCGTTTTTGCAGGCTCGAGATTTTTGCCTGCATGTTATGTGAGTATGTGCTTGTCAAGGATCCAAAGCGTTATTTTTTGATTTATCCTTTTTTTTAGAACAATCATATGAATTTTTCTGCAGAATTGTCATTTATAAAATTTCTCATAGCTCGATTGATCTTTACGATCATCAGTTGTTATTCGAATTGCATCGAACTACCGAAAAAAAAAAATATTTTTGGTGTTAGGTTTTTCATGTTACGATGTGTGTATGAAATGTGCTCGCCAACTTTCATTGAATCGCAAATTTTTCAGATCTTTTCAAAGCCATTCTGATAAGAAATTTAAATTCTTGGATTCTATGCTGCCCATAAGCTGGGATACGTCAAACAGATTTGATAAGTGAAAAAGAAATGAACGTTTTTACATGTTATATTTGGAACGGTGGATTATTTATTTTAATTGTAAACTTAATCCAATTTCAAAGGTATTTACCCTCAGCAGGTACTTTAATTAATCATTTAGAAAATCAAAGAGAATTTTTCATTCTTATTTATATTTTATTTGTTTCTTACCGTAATGTTTTTCCCACAAGTAACTTCGCAACAAGAAAAAATGTTTTAAATTAATTAAATTTACCACTGTATGAAAATGCACCATTGAGTAGGTGAAAAATCAACAAAGGTGAAACGTTAAAAAATCCTTTCTAATAAAAATAAGATACTTTGCTTACACATTCATTTAATGTTTTATAATATTTTGAATAACTGCTACAGATAGAATAAGCCCGTATTACTACAGTCAGATTAGTGAAAAGCAAGTTGATCTTGTTAAAATTTCTGAAATTTTCTTCTTTCGTTCTGTATGATATGTACTAGAAATTTTTGATTGTTAAAAATCTTAGGGAACTATTCCTTTTGAAGATTTATGCATCATCAATCATGGCATCTAACTTGAAAATATCTTTTACTAGTATCAATCGACTTATTGTAATTTAATGTAATCAGCATTAAGAAACATAGAAATAATAAATAAAAATAAATTTTTTTTAATGAGTGCATATGGCGTTTCTTATTTTTCAGGCTGTCTTTAAAAACATTACTTGTATTTCTATCTCACAGATACATTTAATTTTTTATTTAGATTTTGATCAGTTTTGAAATAATTACACAATGAAAAATGTATGAACCTCATCTTGAACTTTAAGCTGTAGTAATAAATTATAGTGGTTTTTAGCATAAGTCGTGCGAATTTTAAAAATATTTAAATTAATTTACAAAGGCATTATTTTCAATGGCAGTGTCATAGATTGAATAAGATATCCACATAACGGGCAAGAATGTAGAAGTTATACGCCAGCTCGAGCACGATATCATAGAAAATAGATGATTCACTCTCATACTCGTGTGTGCACGCGCGGATCAGGAGCAGCTTGAACGGCGTACAGCATAAAAGTGTATCAGCCATCGCTTCGGAATACTTTTGACATTACTTTCGCGATCACGTATAACATCCCTCAAGGAGCTGTTTAAGCTGGTGTCTCGCAAAAACCCGGAGCGTCATTCTTTCTCGCTTTATCTAACAAAGCTCTTATGCAAAAACGGAAAGAGAGGCGTTCGCGCAAAAGTGCGATATATCCTCATGGGGAATTCGACTGCCGAAGAAGCTTATGTATATCATATAAGCGTACGAAGTCATCGAATGAATTATCGATCATCGAGTAAGATGTTTATGCTTATCGCGTAGAGTGAAGTAATAACGAGGATAACGTACAAATTATTTTTGAGACAATTTCGAAAAGATTCCTTGATATTCAATTGTACCGAAATAGTAGATTACTTTTTAAGAAAAATAATGCTGCAACATTTTCGAAAGTATCAGCTACAATAAGGAAGTTGTGTAATAGAACATGTATGCAGGTTCCTGGTTTTTTTAGGGCAGGTCACATTATCAAGAGTCTTTTTACCGTACTTTTCATGTCGAGTATGTAAAAATGACGCTCGTTTTGAAAACTTGTACGTTTTCTTTTAAAAGAAATACATAATTTTTTAATTTATCACGCAGAAATTTCATCAGAGTCAACTTTACGTATAGAGCGAAAAAACATTTATCAGCTCTCTCAGAGCTTTTGTGTTTGAATAAGAGAAAACGGTAAAACATTTATCAATTCTCATCTCGCTCAAACTCAGTTATAAGACGACACATTCGAATTGGTTTGTTAAAGAAGATTGTGACAATTCAATCAGAAATTAAAAGTTATAATGACTCTGAAACGTATTTATCGCTTTGTGTTCTATCAGGACATAGTGAACTTTGGTAGCATTATAAAAGTTCATTTCCTCTCGAGCTTTTTATTTCCTTCCCACTACTCCGCGAAAAACTCGATTGAACTCATTCTAATAAATATATACATATAAAGCTTTGTGGTATAAAGAGATCAAAACGAGAAAAAAAAAGCGAGAATCTTACGTATGAAAGATGTCAGAATAAAACGTGAATAAGAAATAGAGGAAAAGGTTGTATAGCTATCTAAACGCAGGGATCTCTCGACGAGGATGTAATTGAATTTATGACTCATAGGACGATAAATTAATTAACCACATGCTTTTACGGAACTTGTTAAAGTACCAAAGATGATAATGCGATCTCCTATATAGATTTATAACCATGAGAAAAGAAATGGCCAATGAAACCAGGCTCTGAGAATGCTATATGCGAATTTTCGTAAACATTTATCTTTCGAGAAAAATAATACAAGTGTATCCGTTGGTTTTGTGTTAATAACGCGCGATTTTTGAAACCAATTCAATAATTATATTTTAAAAAGTAAATAGATACAATTTTTAAACGATATAAATTTATTTTTTATTATTTCCAATTTTTTAATTCAACATTTTTTCAAGCATCATATTTAATGAGTATTACGGAAGAAAGAAGAATAAAAAATTGAGTTACTTAGATATAGTTCGCTTCGAACCAAAGAATGCATATTTTGTGGAATTTTCGGCTTTAAGTTTCAAATTATCTTACATACAATACCAATGAAATTTAAAAACTATCGGGAAATAATTATTAAAGCCTAATCCAAGTAGTATAATCGAGCTTGTTGAATATCAATAAATTAAATATGTAATAAATTTTACAACAATTTGATCGTGTTTGTTTTTTTTTTAACTTTAATTCCCTTTCTGAAGTGATCGATATTACATATAATGATCGATATTACGAAAATGATTTCAAAAATTACACACTTGGGATTCACGATCTTGTTATTGCTTAATGAAAACCAAATTTTTGACTATTATACACCATTAGAGCATTCGGTACAGCATACAGTAAAAAATTTTAAAGTACAATAAAAAGTTCTAAGAATGAAACACAGTTTCTCATTTTATATTCTTCATTTACGTCAAGTATAAAAGCAAAGTTTTAAAGAAGGTAAGGTTTTATGCCTCGCTTTTACGCTTATAAAAGAGAATAACTTGTTGATTATGTTTAATTATGTTTAATATTGTAACTTTGAATTGGACGAGTATTAAATAGTCTCATTTCAAGTAGAAGAGAATTTTTTAATTTTTTTAGATTTTTGAAAAATGGTGAAGAAAGCCGGTACGGTTAGATAAACAATTGTACGAAAGAACTGCTTGATAGAACTAATTAAAGTCAGATGAAAATGCATGTACTAACAATTTTTTCGTATTCAATTCAATTATTTCGTCTAGTTTATACGGTATAAATCACAATTCAACAATCACAAAACTTATTCAAAGTTTTACATCATGTTGTTTAATTAGCATGAAGCTTATTTAATTCTTAAAACATAACATATTTTGCAAATTAGTATTGATTTTATCTGAAATTCACTGCAAAATCACCATTAAACAAAATAAGTCAATAATAATTATGAAAATTTTGTTTCTTTATGAAAGTTCTATTTTACTTCTTCCTAGACAGGAAAAAAACCCAAGAAATCACGCAAGAAATTAATTTGTTAATTTAGAAAAAACTTTGTTAACAAAAAAGGGCTCACGTGAACATGTAACGTAAAATTTGATTATCAAAAGAAATAACGAAAAAATAAAAAATCCTAAAAAAAAAGAATATAATATTTTTAATTTTAAGACTCTAGCGAGTAGCGTTACGTATTTTTGACCCTAACACAGAAATCGTATGATACTTTGAACCTTTATATAAAGTTTCAGAATCGGGAAAACATTATAAGCCAAAAATCGATGAATCGAAAAAAAACGAAAAATCCTATTTGCCTTGGGGCCACTGATCGTTGGGATTTTATTATTAGATCACAAATGAGTATTGTAATTGTTTGAAGCAGGATTGTTCTCAAATTTCACCCCCTTGGAAATTTT